TATCTTTGACACTCAGAGCCACAAGAGAAAAAGAAGTAAAAGGAATAAGGAGAGAAGAAAATGATGAAAAGGAGAAATAATCACCACTCATGCACACACACACACACACACACACACACACCAGTCTAATAAGAAAATTCCAACCAGTGCATAAATCAATGACATTAAACTTAGTATAAAGATAATGAAAAATGAGAAAAACGGCAATCAACTGCTAAAACCTCCTGAAGAGTGGATTGAACAATTACAAAAAGGTTCATTTATGGAAATCAATCTGCTATATATATATATATATATATATATATATATATATATATATATAATGAATTAGTACAAACAAAATTTGTCACTTAGCTGATTGATTTCCATAAATGAACCGTTTTGTAATTTGTATATATATATATATATATATATATATATATATATATATATGGATGTGATGGATAACTTGTCTAAATTATGCAAAAAGTGAAAATAATACTGACATCTCACCTTAATAGCAGGAAAGTCTGGATCCTTTAACTTTGGTTGGCAACCAGTCTACTGTGGAAAGTAACGGCAGCCTAATGCAGAAATTCTTCTTCCAGGCCAATCATGAAGCAAAAAGAGATCCGAGGAAGGCCTATGTACTACAATGAACTTTAACAGGCTGAGAAATACGGTCTCCTCAGGTGGTTTGTTCAGCAAATCAACTACATGGAACTTCATGGTAGTTTGCTCTGGTCACGTTTCATCCTTTTCAAATATTAAACAGCTCTGCAAGTCTGGTCTTCCGACTTTGTACTTTTAGCACTTTTAATACATTCAGTTTAACAAATATTTTACTATTTGTGTTACACTGTTGTATATATATATATATATATATATATATAGTTTGTGATGGATAAATTGTCATCTAAATTATGCAGAAATGAAAATAACACTGACTTCTCTTTTTAACAGATATACAGCGTGCGATGGATAAATTGTCGTCTAAATGACGCAAAAATGAAAATAACACTGATTTCTTGTTTTAGATATACAGGGTGTGATGGATAAATTGTCACCTAAATGACGCCGAAATGAAAATAACACTGACGTCTCGTTTTAACAGATATGCAGCGTGCGATGGATAAATTGTCGTCTAAATTAGGCAGAAATGAAAATAACACTGACATCTCATTTTAACAGATATATTTACCAAAAATACACAAAAATATCTTGAAATACTAAAGTGTTAATTTATTCAATAAAATCGCCATTGGATTCAACCACAGCCTCCGGATAACTTCGGGATCTCCTGCAACTCTTCTTGATGGTCTCCTTTTAAGTTGGGTAATACTACTATAGTCCTTGCCATCAGTTCATCTTTCGTGTTACAAGGAGTTTTGTTGGTCTCCTGTTCAACTGTGTCATGTATATAATAATCAAAGGGTTTGCAGTCTGGGGAGTTAGGTGGCAGATGTAAAGAGTGATGTGGTCACAGAAATTATCTGGCAGCCATGACTGAGTTCTTGTGCTTGTGTGGCATGGTGCAGAGTCCTGTTGCCAGACATAGGGACTTCCAGCAGCAACCCTCTTGACCCAAGGCAGTACTACTTCCTCAAGGCACTTGATGTAGGCCTCCTTGCTGATTCTGAAGCCCTGTGGGAAGATGAATGGAGGCATAATGTCGCCATCACCAGTGATCACTTCAAACACCTTTGTAATCACCATTAGATGCATCCAACTCTTTTGTATCTTCTGCACTATCCTCAGATTGACACCCAAACATTCTGAAATGTTTGTATTGGAGCTTCTGGCATAAATTCCAAGCAGTACAACATGCCGTTTTCAAATTTTAGCAGAGTGAATTGCGTCATGGTGCTCTTTTTCTCCCAGACAGTGCCCAACTGACCTTACTATACTGTGCAGTTGACAAAATCAAAAACAAATAATGCACATACGCAAAATTAAAAATATAAAATGACAACAATTTACCCATTTGTGAGTGAAATCTGGTAGAGGGGATTCTTCAAAGCTTGTTGATGGTTGTGCTAGCACAAAGTTACAAATCATTGTGACTGAGGGTTTGAGTGTACCAGTGTTGTTCAAACTGCTGATCATGACAGATTATGCTCTCTCTTCCAGAAACTGTAATAAAGGGTCTCCTCTTCTTTGCAGTTTAAATCAAAGGAGGTCTCTGTGGGTGTTGAACAAAATCAAATGTGCCTGAGTGGGTGTCTGGGACAGAGATTGGCAAACCAACCACCTTAGTAGTTGAGTGTGCTCAGAAAACGAGAGTAGCTGGCCATTATGTATAAAATATAAAACTGAATGTAATTAATATCAGTCATGAAGTATGATCAATGAAATATTCCTTTATTATAATAACAAAAAATATTACATGCCTTGTGTTTCCTGGAAACACAAGGCATGTATTATTTTTGAATAGTTTCCATAACAATGAAATATCTTAATCATAATGGGGTGATCAGGCTTTATACATTGATTTTTGTGTTTCCTAAAAACTGGCAACTAATTGCTTGTATGAATCTTATGTCTGACCAAACAGCTGGATCCAGGTGGTTAAAAATTAGTCAATAAGAATGAACATGGGACAAGCGGTGCTGACCATCAAAGTCACTAAATAGAACCACTGGTCAATTTAGGGTTAAAACTTTTATTTCCGGTTAAATAGCAAAACGGGACATTTTTACTTTAACACCGGATAAACAGGAAGTGGACTTCTTGCCGGTGTTTATGCAAATATTTATTTATTTCTAGAATATGTCTCCATACATGAGTGTTGGATTGGCGAGTCGAGTTCAAACTTTGACATAATCAGAATCTGTAGTATTCGCAAAGCTCAATGTCATTGAGAAAGGCTTGGTTCGGGGTAGATGATGCGACTGACGTTGTGACAATATATTGCGATTATTAAACAGAGTTCACAAGAATTCAGTTCTACACTGTAAAACTAAAAACTCTAGTTTTGTTTTAATGCACTAAAAAAACAGTAATTTTGTAAATTAGTACACTAAGAAATACACAATAATTAAAAAATGTGGTGATAATAGCCCCTGTGACCAGAAATAGTGAGCTTAGGTATGGTACAAGGTCGAAAGTATGGAGCACACAGTGGGAATATAACTCATTACTCAGTTGTTTATTATAGCGAAACAAGCTTGTTGCTTTACGACCAGAAAGAATCGTTTCTTCTTTTCAAGATCCATAGAAAAAAAAAAAAGAAATTCGTAATCTGCAGCGCTTTAAACCAATAAATGAAAAAAGAACTCCGGGTAACGAATTTCAATTTCTTTAAAGAAATCACGTGGTATGAGCACATATTATTTTGGCTTCCTTTGGAACAATTATTATTATTATAAATAACAAACTGCCTCCACTTAAAATACTTTTTTTATAGGTACCTCCAAAGAAAAGCGATGGCTAAGGTTTAAAAAATGAATTTTTAAAAATTAAAAATCTTGAAGCTTTTATTTTAATTTTATTTTATAAAAACAAAATATTCTAATTAAAATTAAATTTAATTATTTTTTGATTATTGAAAATATTGTTTTTAATAAAAAGAATATTTTCAATAATCAAAAAATACTTTGATGTATTTCAAAACGAATTTAAAAATTGATTGGAATGATTTTATTTTTAAATCGCTAATTTTATTTTTAGACATAATTCTCTCAGCATAACGTAAATTCTCTTTATAAAAAATCTTTCAAAAATAAAATATAGTTTTCTGAAACTTTATTTGAGGAAGATTAGCTGATATAATGTTTACAATCTGATTTGAAACAAATATTACTTTTAGTCACAGGAAAGCATTATTTAACACGGAAATGTTAACAGATCGATTGACAGCCTGATGGTTGGGAAAATTAAAATTTTTTGTATGGGGGGGACATATTCCTAAAAATTACCTGACGAATAATGTTTATTGAATTTTATGTAATTTGGCTTTAAATTTACTATAGTTACTGCTCTTATTTTTTGATAATGCTGTGTATGGATGTACGTATTTACAAAAATCGGCATGTTTATACACACAAAAAATCCAAAATTCTTTTTAAAATATTTGGGTGCTGTTGAATTGTTGTAAGCTTTTCCATTTATAATTAGTAAATATAGTTTTTACTGAATAACAATATCACCTAACCGGTACAAATTAATATAGAATTTAAAAATATTTAAAACTTTATTAAATATTCTAATTAAAATTTAAAAAAAATGATAACAATCCTTGTAAAAATTTAATATTCATTGAAAAAAATTTTTTCTTCAGACAATATTGTTCATAATATATCTTATTCATAAAAGCAATTAAAAGTTTTTCTTAAATAATGCCTTAGTTTTATTGAACTTTTATTTTATGATTTAGAGAAGATTTTTGGAAAGGGGGTGTCTTGTTTTAGAAAAAAAAAAAAATGATGGTTTAAATTTTCCAAAGTCTTATAATTTAATATAAACATTAAACTACAAAAATGAATTTCTCAATATTTCATAAAATTAAATAAGTGTGGAGTAACATATAAAAAATATTTTTACCAAGATTTTCGAAAAAAAGAAATGTTTGTGAAATAATTTAATTCATTTGTGAATTAATCCTGAAATTTTAATTAAAATTTGACAATTACTTGATTTTTGCAAAACTTATCAAGTCAATGTGTTTTTCACTTCAAAAAGATGCTATAATTTATGGTATTTCCTTGATGCAAGAAAAACAAAATTTTCAATCAAAATTCTAAACATACTAAAGAGAATAAAGACATTATAACTTAATAACCCAAAAATCCTTTGGTCTTTCCTCTTCATAATAATATAAAGATTTTGATGATAAAGCTTGGTTTTATTTAGTTTGGGGCATTTTTTTAATCATGTATGGGAAACATTTATAAACTTAGCATGTTTCACTTTTAAGCTTCACCAGAATAAAAAAAACAAAACGTTAAATATATAAACGTTTCCTATTTGGTTTTGTTTGGTCTGGTTTGTTTTATGGCATATCAACCTCAATTGGTTATTTAATGCTGACAAGATTTTTACTGCTGGTAATATTTCTATCTATCTATCTATCTATCTATCTATCTATCTATCTATCTATCTATCTATCTATCTATCTATCTCAGTACATATTGGTTTGGTTTACTTTGTTTTAAGGCATATCAACCTCGATGGGTTATTTAATACCAACAAGATTTTTACTGCAGAGGTGCAGTCAGCGTACTCTGAAGCACTAACCAAAAGAGCATGTTTCCTGTTCGTTCCTTATCCTATCATTCTGTCAGATTCTAATCCATATTTGATCCCAATCACACACACACACACACACACACACATATATATATATTTATCAGTTTAAACCTTATTTTTATTGGATATGCATATTTGAGTAGGTACTCCTCTATTTATTAAACAGTATATATATATATTAATTTTCACCTACTGGCCTGAATGTTTGAGAAATCTTATTATTAACAATATCATATATATATATATATGATATTATTGTATTAGCAGTATCATATATATATATATATATGTATGTATGTATACACTTTAAAAATCAGGAGGTCATTTGAATTTGCTACCTTGGTTTCAACCTTATGGTATCCTCAGGTGATTTTTATCAAATGACCACCTAACGCTTTTTTATTCTTTTAAAAAACTAAAGAATGCTACATTATTATTTTCAAAAATAAATAAACAAATGCATGGCACTGGGTGTAATAAAAACGGAGGAGGAAGATGGGAAAAAGAAGAAGAAGGAGGAGGAGGGGAAGAGAAAAAACAAGTGTATTGTAAATGTATTGGTGGGGGAGGGGTTGAGGTTAGGGTTAAATTAATTTTTTTTATCCAGCCTCATATGCACTTAAGAAAAATTTTTGGATATGTAAGCAAGGACTTAAGACTTCAGATTTCTGGGTTAAAAGGTTTCCTGGTCTGATTCTGATCATTAAACTTTTATGTATTATATATATTATATCTATATATATTATATATGTATTATATATATATATATGTCTATATTTTTGAGATGAGGTATTATGTACACTATTTACATTATTCAGACTATTGTCCTCATCTTTGTTGCCATATTTATCACAACATTTCGGCCGTTGTACACTCTGATCTTCTTCAGGTGGTTGGAATGTTGAACTGAAACCTTTATTTCACTCGCTGCAATATGAGCTCTGGTAAAAAAATGAAATGATAACGGCAAAAAATTGCAATATGAGCACTGGTAAAAATGGTTGCTGAAGATGTTAGGTTTATAATACACAGAAATTCATACACAGATGTCCTCAAGGACACATGACACAGTGGATAAAGGCCTTATTTAGATCCAGTGACAGCATCCAGAGAGTGTGAGTTCAATACCTGGTTAAGGTGGTGGAGAACTTGGAGTGGGGAATTAACAGGAGATATCTGATAACTGACATCCATTAGATATGGCACATGTGAAAGCAAGTGAAATAAAGGGTTCAGTTTGACATTCCAACCACCTGAAGAAGGCTGGAGCAGACAATGGCTGAAATGTTGTGATAAATATGGCAACAAAGATGAGGACAATAGTCCGAATAATGTAAATAGTGGTATTATATATATATATATATATATATATATATATATATATATATATTTATCACATTAAACCTTATTTTTATTGGATATGCATATTTGAGTAAGTGCTCCATTTATTTATTTAAATATATATATATATATATATATATATATATATATATATATATATATATATATATATATATATATTTTCACCTACTGGCCTGAATGTTTGAGAAATCTTATTAAAGGAAAATTTTCACTCTTCAGCCAGAATTGAACTTATGTCCCTCAGGACAGTGGGAGCTATCATTTAACCCTGTATGCCTTATTGCTTGGCCACAAAGAACAGACAGACAGGCGAAGCCAGTTTCATTCTTTCAAGCAAAATTTCTCCTGTCATAGATCTCTTGAAGTTTTTCATATGTGCATATAGTTTTCTATGCACACACAGACAACATGATAAAAATCTGTTGAAAGTATGTAATTAGCTTCACTTGACTGTCTGTTCTTTGTGGTTAAGTAGTAAGGTGTGCACAAAGCTAAGTGTTAGCTTTCTCTGCCTTGAAGTTTGAAACCTGACGAAGAGCGCAAATTTTTCTTTAATAAGGTATCTTGAGCATTAAGTCCAGTAGACAAAAATAAATAAATATACAGTTTAATAAATAAATGCCACACACACACACACACATATATATATATATATATATATATATTCCTAATTTGGCATCTTGTCTGAAGTCACTCTCTCACAGACATGCTGTGGCTTCCTGTCTTTTCTATAAGTATTTTCATGGCAACTGCTCTGATGAGCTACTTTCGCTGGTTCCCAAACTACATGAATTTAAGCATGCTACTAGGTTGGCATCTCGGTCCCACCCTTTCACTGTCAAAACGGTTAAATGTAGCTGTCTCTTCTACTCCAACAGCTTCTTCTCTCACACTTCCTGCCAGTGGAACTCCCTTCATGCTACTTGCTTCCCTGATAGCTATAATCTTCAAATATTCAAATGTAATGTCAATTGACATCTCAAACACCCTCTTTACACCTGCTCTCAATTTCTGTAACCCCTTGTGTGCTAGTGGCACCCATGCATTGCTTGGGATGATATGCTTAAAATATATATATATATATATATATATATATATATATATATATAAACATTGCTAAGGAGTGAAGGTAGTTAAAATAATAGTGTATAAAAGACAATTAACAATGAAAATACTTTTGATACACCATAATATTAATAATATACTGGAGTCATAAAACGTCTGTCATCATCATCATCAATTCTCCATCATATTTGATGAAAACACAAGGACATGAACAGTCGTCTCTGTCTAGGAGAATCTGGACATTCCAGGCAGCTTCTGAACTGCTTCCGTATTTTCAGTTTTTTGTTCTGTTGGGTATTGCAAGAGTTGAGGCCTATCAGCTGTGGCAAGGTGGTCAAGATAAGACATAAGCAATTTTTATTCCACCTTTTCCTAGGACTTCCCTGGTTACAGAGCAAGCAGTGTTATCCTTCAATAAGGCTGCAGGGACAATGGAGAAGATGGCTCACACTAGAGTTGTCTGGGGGTTTACTGGCATGACCATTTTACTCCAGCCAATGCACAAAGTTTGAACTTGTGGCTTATCGCACTTGACTTTGCTAAAAAAATGTCACTAGGGGGCACTCCCTAAGCCTATATGAAGGCATGCATTTTTCTCCATACCCTCTCTTTTCTCTTTTACAGCTTTTGGCTATAAGATGTAATCACATGTGGGTAAAGCACCCCCCGCCCATCTCCCACTGTGGAACATGGTTTTCTCTCTTGACTTTTGTACTCTCTCACATACCCTTGTTACACACACACACACACACACACACACACACACACACACACACACACACACACACACACACACACACAGTGTGCTAGTTTCAATTTTTTTTCTCTTTTCACATGTAATTCCTTTGTTAATATGTGTTATTATTTGCTTTATATTTATTGTTTTATCTATATTTCTAAGATGAGGTATTGTAATTATTTCAAGGACATATAGCCCAGTGGATAAAAGCATTGATTTGATCCAGTGACTTGACCAAGGAGTTGTGAGTTCAATATCTGGCTCCTGCAGTGGTGAACAAAAAACTTGGAGAGTTGAGTTAAAGGGTGATAACTGAGAAATCTGGAAGAGGCATGACATGTAGAACTAGAACAATCTACCCCAGTGGACGAAATAAAGGGTTCAATTTGAAATTTCAATCACCTGAAGAAGACCAGAGTGTACAATGGCCAAAGTGTCATGAATATGGCAATAAAGATTAGGACAAAAGTCCGAACAATTGAAATAATGGAAATTATTGTTTTGCATTACTCATATTTACCAAGACTCACATTGTGTCTGGCAATATTGTTTGTGGGATAAATTTTCCTGGAGTGTGTAAATATTTTCTCTCCAGTGTGTTGATTCCAACAACATAATGTGGATTAAATATTTTTCCAATCATACTAAGCACTCTGCAATAAACTAACATCTTCCAGGCTCTCTGGCCTGATGCTGCAGCCTTCACTCAATCACACAGGATTTTGCTACTTCTTTCTCTTCATTGACTGTGTTATAATATAGTGTTAAACTGTCATCACACACCAACAGCAGCACTCCCTGATTTGACTAGAATATGAAATAATTCAATGGAGGCATTATCCAAAGTATTTTCTTATTCTTTCACACTCAGTAACCTCTTGTGTCTCAGTGGCTTTACTGCCTTGCATGGCAGATTAAAAAATAATGATTTGATTAAAAAATAATTCTAAATTTTCTCAGTTGTGTTGATTTGTCATTCATATTAAATTATTAAAGAACAAATTATTTGGTTTTTCTCATTTTCAGGAGGTTCATAATAATTGTAGGATTTCTTATTGATCGAGTGGAGATGTAGGGATATTATTATTATTATAGATAAATAAAAATAATATATAACAATAATAATAATCAAAATTATAAATAAAATAAAACAATAACATAAAAATGTTGTATAAAATAAATTAAATAAAGTAATAAAATACTACCAGCATGCAACAAAAACTGTTCCTACCGGAAATATGGACATACCACCAAAAGATGTTAAATTCATTCTCTTCACCATGAACCTTGGTATGAGCAACATGTGTCCAACTTCTCTCAGTGATATGGCTTGTAATACTATGGAGTAAATTCTCCCTTTTATCATAGGTACCATAAAACAATTGTAACCTAAAAAATACACACACCAATGCACATAAAAAAATATAAATCAATTGTATGAAATTAACATACAATTTACCATGCTTTTCCTGTTATTTGTGTATGTTTTATTTCCTGTCAAGTATGCTTTTATCTCCATGAACACAAGGATAATTTCTGCTACTATGATGTGTTGAATACCCTAAAATGTCTCTTGAGTATGAGTGTTTTTCTTTGTGATTCTGAAATAATTTATCAGAAGTAAGGGTACAAATAGGTAAGTCTGGTCAGCTTTACTCTGTGTTGAGAAGACCAAAACTCTATTTTGTCAGCGAACCAGGAAAATTAACATTCTCATTGGGAACACTATTACTGCATGGTTCATATTTTGAAGCCAAGAGGAGAAAAAGAGAGATTCTGTCCTTTCTAGAAGTGGGCTCATAAAATTGCACATGTAACCAGAAAAATTTTCTGGGTTCTTTATAACTGGCATCATGGTAAAATTCTTTTTTTTTATTTGTTATTATTATTTTTTTATTGGTTTTATTTCATTTTCCCAGCAGTATTCTTGCAATAGTTCTTAAGAAATATGCTTCTGAACCAGATCCTGTTCTCTCAAATCTCTACAATAAAAATGCTTTACTGCTTCTTTCTTTCCTGCATGTTGGAAATCCTCTTTACAGTCTTTAAGAACTCAAGTGAACTACTTTGTCCTTCTCTCAGCCTATTAAACTTCTTGGATCTTTTCTGTTAATTCACTCCAAAATATTAATTCAACCCCAAATAAAAAGAATTCATATTTACTAAAATTCACACCAAATTCTCCCAGTGTGATACCCTTTCATTGCTCTCCAGCTGGGTTGACCTATGTGATCACCCCAAATGTGCAGTGTTTCTAAGTGTATTCTCACCCCAATAAACAAGCCAAAAACAGATTTCTTTTTTCTTTTTTTTTTTAAATTGTAAAAAATTCCTTTTAAATACCTTGAATATCATCCACACTTACGAAATGTGAATAACTCCCTGATTTTTTGTAACTTTTTATTCTGAGGGCTGGAGTTGTTGCTAGGCAAGCTAAACTAATTTTGAATTAAAATTTATAATTTCAAAAATGTGCCAAAAATTTAATAAAAAAGCAAACAAACTTTGATTTGAAATTTATAATTTCAAATGAGTGCCAAAAATTTAATAAAAAAACAAATTTGATTTAAAATTCATAATTTCTTGGGGTGAATTAATATTTGCAAAAAGTAACTTTACATTCATTGGAATGAATTAACAGAAAAGATCTTAAAAAATTAAATGCAATACCAATTGTTATCTTCTAAATTACTGTTCTTTTATTGTCCTTATCACCTTATGTTTTCTTTTTCTGAAACACTCTTACCACTTCTTGCAACTTAGTGGCTTTACTGCCTTGCCTGGGGTTAAATGATTAAAAGAAAGAAAGATAAATGAATCGTTTATCTATTCGAAGTTAGCTTTAAAAGAAAGATAAAAATTGTTAACTGATAATATTTACATAATAAAAAGAAAGAAAGAATGATTTGGGTCAAAATGTAGGGCGATTAACTAAGGGAGGTAACAATACATTTGCGCTGAGAGTTACCTAACTTGACCAGTTTGACCGCACAATGTCGATGTCGGATGAGAGACCATAACGAAGATATGGTTTCTTTATTTCCGATGTCATATCGCGTCCAATTTAAGGTGTAATTGTTTAATTGACCGTCAGTGGGGGAAATCAGGGGTCGTTGTTTGCCTTCCGATCACCTCGATGTCTGTTTCCCGGGTTTATGGCGTATTATTGAGGCGTGGAGAGAAGGGACTCCTTCTACGACGTCGACTCAAATACAGGACGACATGCGAAAAGTACAACAACGATCATTATTTCTCGTTGACCCTTCGTCATTGTTCGTCCAAATGTAAATATCATTTACTTTGAAATTTCTATTGAATTCTGATCTGACAAATATAAGGTGTATATTCGTTTTTATCTTGTTATTTTAGTTTTTGAAAACCTGGTCGAATATTAGCAAAAGTTCATTTTGAAAAATGAAGAATAAGATCAAAGTAAAAAGAATAATTTGTTGTAGAAAGTAAAAGATGATCTTTGGTTTTTATTTTTACTTTATATCATAAAGTTGCCAATTTTCCAAATAGTGTCAAATCGAAATATTTAAATGTTTGATCAGGTTTTTAAATTGCAGGTAATTAATCCGGTAAAAATGTTTTTATCTTCTGTAGGAAAAAGAAATAACTATGGCTTTTTATTTAAAAAAAAAAAATTGATTTTTTAAAGGTTTTTAAAGTTGTATCCCTCTCTAACAATGAGAACTGAAAATAAAGTTTTAAAAAAGTCCTGTTTTTAATTTTTAAAACTTAATGAATATCTGATTTTTCAATTAATATCAATTTTACTTTTATATTGCATTTTTTATTTTACAATTCAGAGCAGAATTTCGGTGAAAGGGATAACTGTTTTTTTTCACAAAAAAAAAAAAATTGATGATTTAACTTTCTCTAAGGAGTAATAAAAAAAATCCAGCCCTAAAAATGGAATATCTCGAAATTTCATGAAAGTGTGTGGCAACATATGTAAATATATATATATATATAATGTTTTTACTAAGATTTTCTAAAAAAAAGTATTTTAAAAATAATTTAATCCATTTCTGAATATGTCCTGAAAGTTTCATTAAAATCAGACAATTATTTGATTTTTGCAAGAATTTCCAAGTCAGGGTGTTTTTCACCGGTAAAAGCGCAAATCCCCCCCAAAATAAAGTTTATCATTACGTCGGTCGCTGACATAAATTAAAAAAAAAAATTTAATTAAAATTTGAAACATGCTAGAAAGGATTAGAAAATTTCAAAAAATACTTTGGTTTTTCTTCTTAATAATAACATAAACATTTTGATGACAAAACTTTGTTTTTAAGGGTTTGTTGGGGCTTTTTTTTTTAATCATGCTATGTTGTTTTTTCTGTGAAAAAGTGGAGGCACCTATATTACTGTCACTTTAACACCTAGATTTGTAATTGAATTAACAGACAAAAAAAAATAAAAGTAATAAGTAGTTAGACAGTAAAAAAATTCACACATACAAACAAGTTTTGTTAAATTATTAAATTAATTTCAACCAACAAAGTCGGTCTGTTGAAGGTTTTATTATCTATTTAAAAATGCCTTTTTTTGAATAAGATGTCAATTGGGATCAAAACTGTGTCTATAAACTTAAAACTAAGTATTTGAATAAAAGAACCATTTATCCATAAATTGGATCCTGATATACAACATCCATTTGAAAAATTGGAAAATGGCTACATCACGTTGAAACAGCGGTTCTTCAAGCTCGGTCAATATCTAGATTGGTGACAGCTTGGGAATGTAAGCTTGGATGTGTGAATGGTGTAATGGTTAATGGTTTGGAATTGTTAATCAGAGAGCTGAGTTCCAATTCAAGTTATATTCACTCCTGTGCAAATGCCCTTTAGAAAGGTATGAATCCGCCCATCTATGGTTTAATTAGTAAGACTTGTATCACTAAAACCATTATTATCCCCCGCTAAAAAAATAAAATAAAATTGTGTACAAAATATTCAGATTTTGGTATGAAATAACATAGAGGTTGATATGCTGCTAAACAAAAAACCAACCAACCAACCATCCCAACCTCATAAACAAACAGATCTTGTCAGTTTTAGTTTTGTGTGTGTGTGTATATATATATATATATATATAATCATACTTATAAAACCCAGGTTGTGTGTGTGTGTCTGTATGTTTATATATTGGATCGGATTTCCTACATTTTTCAACTGATTTCAACAAAACTTCACAGGACTACGTAAAATTACCTTGCAGTGGTTCTGACAGCACCAAAAATTGGAAAAACACAATTGTTTTTGCACGAAAACACAATTAAGAGGCATCGCGAGAATGAAAGGGGGACAACTCATATCGAGTTATACTTATTATAAAACCCAGGTTGTTTGTGAGTGTGTTCGTTTATATATGGGATCGGATTTCCTACATGTTTCAACCGATTTCAACAAAACTTCACTTCTTTTTTTTTGGCAGGTAGTGTTTCTTATTGTCTTGCACACTTTTTTCTTTATTTTTACATTCAGAATGCTTTAAAAATTCCTTTTACAAGACAATTGTTTATAATAAAATTCTATTCAATCGGTAGACTCATAACAATTGAAAACAATGTTTTTGTTTGAGTTTGGGTTTGACCAATTCATAAAAAAAAAACCCAAAAAATAAAACAGCAAAAAAAAAAACTAATTAAGACATGCGTGTCCATCAACCTTAAACAATAATCTTTGTCAATTTTATTTTTCAGTCTTTATGATGGTCGATACTTGATCTATCTCTTACTGTTACATCCCCAGGCAGCACCGGGCTCTACTGCTAGTATTACATATATATATATATATATATATATATATATAAGCAGCATATCTTCATTCAAACATGTTTTATTAAATAAAACATTATTTTTATTTATTTTTATAATGATCCTTTCCAATTTTCTAATCAGTTTCCTGATGTTAAGATGAAATTCATCAAGGAAGGCGCCATAGTTTTTTCCTACCCAGGTACTTTTGATCTCCTCCAAGATCATCCTCAGGGGTGAATTACAAAGACAAACTTATTGTAACTGTGATAAAATCTGTATTTCGTTGTGATGATGGTTTTTTAAAAACACACATGTGAACGCGCTCTGCAATAATGCCATTTTGCAATTCTCCCAATTTCTGGTCAGCTTCCTTATATTGGGACGCTTGTTTTGCAAAAAATTCTACAGCTACAATAGATAAATTTAAAATTTTAAAATAATTCCACATGCCAAGTCTTTTTAGGATATCTCAGTTTCAGTTAATTCCTTTTAGTAATTCAATTCTCCAAGTGTTTGTTCCCTCAGCTGTGGCCAGATATTGAACTTACAATTCTTTGGGTTAAGTTACTTTTTGGATTACTTCAACCAAGGCTTTTATCCACTGGGCCATGTGTATATCACCTGAAAAAGGCCAGAGCATACAATGGCTGAAAAATTGTGAATATGGCAATAAAGATGAGGACAACAGTCTAAATGATGTAAGTTGTGTAAATAGCTACAATACCTCATCTCAGAAATATAGACAGATGATTGACTGACATTAGAGAGTGTACTTTATTTTTTTTTTTTTTTAAATTCATTGACTCTTCTATCTGTTTGATATATATATATGTATATATATATATAGAGAGAGAGAGAGAAAGAGAGAGAGAAGGTCCTCGGGTTACGTTGGACCTTATGTACAGTGTTTTGTGGTTATGGTGTTGTCTCCCATACATCGTCACACGGCACTATATGAGGAAGAGGATATTGTTTCTTCACCAGTTGTATGTCATATTGCATTGTGCTACATTCACTATCTCTCGTTTTTGTCGCTTTGGGGGGAACTTTTTGCCCTTCATTATGGTTCTCAACCATAAGGCAGACTTATCGGCACTTATGTAGGTGAGTTTCGACCTACCTTGAAAATCAGGTTAGGTTGCACCATAGAAATGAATATTCAACATAAGTCAAGGACCCTCTGTATGGGGTGTGTGTATATATATATATATATACATATATATATATATACATACATATATATATATATATATATAAATTTGATGATACAGATAGTTGACATGTAGGAGCAAAACAAATTTTCTTGGAAAATCACAACCTTTGTTGGTGTTTACTATTTCATATAGGATTGAATTTTATTTATTTTTCAATGTGGAAAACAAACTGGTATGTATATTTAATGTAAATAAGTTGAAGAGAAAATAAAATAGAGAAAAGTAAAGAGAAACTCAAAGTTTCTCTCTACTGAGAGTCCATCATATATATATATATATATATATATATATATAAATAAATGTTATTCTAATCTCTGTGGATGAAGTTTTGGTCTGTGACCAAGTTTGAAATCAATTCATAAACTATTAACTAAAGCAATTTTTGTGCTAACATATCCTAATATTTGCTAATAGTATGTATATGAACTCATTAACTGCACAAAGTCCATATGACATTGTTTATTTTTTGATTTCATTTTTTGGGTGTTTATTTCTGTCAAGAAGATTTGGGAGCAGGATTTTAAAAAAATATATTTATAGATATTGACACAGACATAATATGAAGGAGTTTGACTAATTTCTCATTTTCATGTAAACTTATTAACAACCATGCAATTCTATTTTTTTTTCGTCTTGAATTATCTTTTAAATTTTACAAATGTAATATCTGTCTATATCTCTGTGATGAAGTATTATGATTACTTGCATTATTTACATTATTCAGACTGTTATCCTCATCTTCATTGCCATATTGACAATGTTACGACCATTGTACACTCCAGTCTTCTTCAGGTGATTGGAATTTTGGACTGAACACTTTATTTCATCCACCAGGGTAGATTGTTCTAGTTCCACGTGCCATGACTCTTCAAGTTTTTTGGTACACCACTGCTGTGGTGGTATTGAACTCACAACTCTTTGGTTTTAGTTGCTAACCAACGTCTTTATCCACTGGGCCATGTGTCCTTGTGAATATGTCAATGAAGATGAGGATAAGAGTCTGAATAATGTAAATAATCATAATACCTCATCTCAGAGATATAGACAGCCATTATATCACTAGAAGCTAGTCACTGGATCTAATCAACGTCTTTATCCACTTGGCCATGTGTCCTTGTGAATATGGCAATGAAGATGAGGATAACAGTCCGAATAATGTAAATAATGTAAATAATCATAATACCTCATCTCAGAGATATAGACAACCATTATATCGCTAGAAGCTAGTCACTGGATCTAACCAACATCTTTATCCACTGGGCCATGTGTCCTTGTGAATATGGCAATGAAGATGAGGATAACAGTCCGAATAATGTAAAAATCATAATACCTCATCTCAGAGATATAGACAACCATTATATCACTAGAAGCTAGTCACTGGATCTAATCAATGTCTTTATCCACTTGGCCATGTGTCCTTGAGAACTGTACAACAGCTAAAATGTTGTGAATATGGCAATGAAGATGAGGATAACAGTCTGAATAATGTAAATAATGCAAGTTTACAAATGTAAGTTGACTATTTTTAAGGAAAGTGTTGTTTACACTAATTACTCATTAAAAATAAGTTTTCACCTTGACTTAATTACTGTTAATTATCTGGTCAGGTCAAACTAATTATCCCTGGTATAGTCTCTAACATTAAGCTAATATGACAATGAAAATTGTTTTAAATTAATTACAGTTTTAAAAATAACAGTAGATCATTACACACTGTTACAAAAAAAGTGAAGCTACTCAATTAAATTAAAATAATTTGCAATCAATTATATATCAACATAAGTTTTTATATTGACTTCTTTAACCCAATTTTTTTTTTTTTTGCTTCATTTAACATTTGGGTTAGTAAGTTAGCCTTTAAGACCCAGCTTAGTTCAATTTGGCATAGGGTCAAATAAAGAAACGAAATATAGAAAGATTGTGTAGGGCCATTCTTCTATGTGGGGTGAACCTGTTTTAAAGATTATATTTGAAATTTAATGCTTTAATTTAATTATCACCTGTGCTGATAAAGAAAAATATTGTTTTTAATAATCAAATTTAAAATTTAAATTTGTTGGTTTGTCTCAATGAAGAATAATTCAACCAAAAATTTACTGCCCAAAATGGCCACTTTTGGTGATCCTATTTTTGGGACAGTGGCTATTGGGAGGGGGTGGCATTTATAAGGAGAAACTTTTAATTAAGACAGAATTTTTTTTAATTTTAGATTTGTATATTTTTTGTTTTTTTAATACAGATTTTTATTTTTTTTTAATACTGGATTTTTGTTTTTTTTTGTTTTTTTTGTAATACTGGATTTGTTTTTTTTAAATATTGTTTTTTTTTTTTGTAATAATAAATTTGTTTTAATTTTAATTTTTTCTAGTATTGGATTTGTTTGTTTTTTTTGTTTTTTTTTGTAATACTGGATTTGGTTTTTTAATATAGATTTTTACTATTTTTTTTAATGTTGGACTTTTTTTTGTTTTAGCAATTTTATTTTAATACAGATTTTTATTTTTTTTAATACTTGTTCTATAAGAATAAAGTGTTGCTGCCAACACTTGAGTTTGAACATAGATCACCAGTGAGCAAACACAGGTGATCCCATTATTGAATTAGAGGAAATGCATTTATAGAAGGTACTGTGACATCTGATTGATCTGCATTTCTAGTCTATCCTCTATTACTATCTGGATCACTATTTCTACTCTGTCCTCTATATGGATCTGCATTTCATGTCTATGTTCTATTACTATATGATCTGCTATTCTCTACTCGGATCACTATGCTATTTCTCTATTCGGATCACTATGCTATTTCTCTATTCGGATCACTATGCGAGCAAGTATTATCAAGCACTTGCTATTAGTGTGAGTAATATTTGAAGACGTCTGACACTAGTATTGTTCAAAATAGTTGTAACTGTAATTATAAAGTCTCTATGACAATGAGCATTACAAAAGTGACATCAGTTATTCATTGACATTACAAAAGTGTCAAACGAGTGTTCATTGACATCACAAAACTACTGGATTTTTTTAACATTAATACAAGATTTTACAGTTGGTATTAATTAATGGGTTAAATTAAAATTTTATCAAATTATTTTCATAAAGCTTCAGGACATAGACGGATATGGTTCTCCACAGCTTCTTTTAATAACTGTAAATTGCAAATGTTAACATTTATAACATTTACACAGCAAACAGTGAATTATGTTATTTACATGTGGACTATTGTCCCAATCTTTGTTATTGTTATCTGGACAGCCTTCAGAGAATTTTAAACATATAATTAAGAAACATAAAGATCCCTTATGAAAATAAAATCTACCCCCTTTTATTTAATCTATGAGGGTAGAGCATTCTCATTCTGCTGTCTATGTCCAGGAATATCTTGTCTAGTTCTTATTTAGTGCTGCTTGCTCCATTTCCACTGAGTCCAAGTATAGAGATTGAACTTGCAATTACTGTTGCCAAATTCATAAAGCAACACTTTAATCCACTAGGCTATTGTTCTGTGGGACAATCCTGAGTAGAGAACTTGGAACCTTCAACCTAACCTGCCTGTTGATTAGTGCTACTGCTGCTTGTTACACTTGACTACACTCACTGAAGCTTCACTCTTTACTGCTGCTGTTGTTGAAACCTTGCTGTCACTTCTCTTTATTTTTCAAAATGCAGAATAGTTCATTATTTATGAGGTATTGGCAGGTCATAGTGGCATGCAACCTAATGAAGGGATGGACAAGCACAGTTGTAATAGGATAATAATAATAATAATAATAATAATAATAATAATAATACGTTTGCTCCACTCCATCCTTAAAAGGGTTGTGGTGATATATTTGTAACTCTTCATTTGGTCATTTTCCAATTACTTTTCTACGAGGATTATTGGAAGTGGGATGCTATAATTGTTTGCTTATGTGATCATGGCACACCAGAACCACATTTTTTACCCCAAAAATTTAAACATTTTAAAATTTTCTGTCTTTTATTTTGTTTCCCTTTAGAAATTTCTACTGTTGTTTTTGGGTCGTTTTTTTTTTTTTTTAAGTTTTTACATATACAGAACTGTACCATGCATTTGTGTGGGTTGTGTCAGACTCTGGATTGTGAAATGGAATCAGGTACCAAACGACACACCAGTGGGTCGTGGGTAATAAACACTACCTATGATATCTTTGCCTCATATATGAACCAATGTTAAAACAAAATCATTTGTGCCAAAAAGTGTAGGGACCCTGGGTCAGCAAGGGAAATGAGACCTGGGAGCCACTACTGTACTGTACTGATGCGGCATTCACCCTGGGCGGATTGAGCCGGCTTCTTCCTGTTATGAGAAGAAGATTCTTGGGATAAATTACAGAAGTAGGGTACCCAGGCCTACTCGGATAACGTTCTTGCTTGCCGCGGGGTTCCCACAGACGCAGAGACAGGAACGACCAGAAGCCGCCGGTTACCGATGCAGACGCTCCTATATTAACAGGGGTCATAGATTATCTTTAAAGGTGAAATAAGCTTTGGAATAAAAGGCAGTAAAAATGAATACTTGTAATACTGCCAAATATGTAATAATACTATTAATAATACAATCAAAACATAGGCAGTCTTTAGATGTATTCATGGATCTTTGGAATAAGCGGCTTCAAGAAATTAAGATACTATTGATAAATTCTAATAAAATTTTCTGATAACTCACTCTCAAGATATAACTTCCAAGATTGGGAATAAACTCTATTTCCAACACAATGACATACACACGCACATACCCTATAAACGGTTCCGTGTAGGATACAGGTTCGACGAATCGTTATATTGTGCTTTACCGATTTAGCCACAGAGGAGTGTTTCGGTTAGCAAGGTTGATTTTACTGTTTTTAAACTACAATTCTCCATGATTTTCTCTTGTACATTTATATCTGCTCGATGTGATTCCTGTTGGAGGATGCATATTTTCTATGAAGATTTCTCGGACATTCAGGCTGGTAAATGTTGTTAATACTGTTTATTATAAACAGAGCATTTACTTAAATATTTGTATCTATAAAAAAGAAAATATAAACATAAAAAAATGTCTTAAAATAATTGTCGCACTTTGTCCATTTCATAGTCCATTATATATGGAGTATCGACAGGGAGTAACGATCGCACAAATTAATGAAGGGAACGACAAGCACAATTATGATAGAGGCTTACTAAAGAGGTCCTTAAAAGCCTAGCATATGTGCTGATTTGAAAGAATCAGCACATATGCTAAGTTTTAAGGACCTGGCTCTCCAGTTTTTGTCTCTATCCAGTATTTTTACAGAAGAACTTTACTTCCTTGGGAAAGAGATAGGGTAATATGTAGCTGGGTTCACCCGAAGGGATACCAAAGTAAGTTTTGTACTCGGTGACATCTCAGAATGTCAAAAAGCCTAGGAGCTACCAAGAGTTGACCTAGAAGGTAACCTCAAAGCCAGCAAGTGCAGAATTGGCCCTCGAAGTATGTTGATGGATGCACCAAGCAAGTGAACGTAGGGTATACACATATAACACAACTGGATAACAGGAAGTTGTATAATCACCTGACTTATGCGTGGATGAAGTAGAATCTCACAAGAAGATCAAATGTTTGAAGAAAGACCTGAGACAACATACCCTTGGTTTAGTTGACATTAATTTGACAGAGTCTAGAAGTGAATAAACAATTATTTTACATTTGGAATATTTATTCTTATCACACATTAAAATTGTATCTATATTTGAACTGATTTTTCATTTAGTTTTTAGCATTGGTATAAGTAAATTTTTTTAGTTTAACTTTGGTTTCTACTAATTCTGAAGTTTTGTTTTTTTTAAAGAAAAATTGTGATTTCAATTTCAGCCAGTGATTATGTCAGTATTGGAGATGTCAGTAAACCAATCATCCAGCCAAAGAACGCTGAATTAGTTCCTATTAAATACAGTAAGTAATTTCTTTATTACTATAAACGTTATTTTTAGTGGGTAAATATATTTAAGTTGCTCTCCCCATTTTTTATTGTCTTAACCGTTACCATGGTAATTTCTTTCTAGAATTGTCTCCAGTGCCACTGCATTTTTTTCAGGATGTAAAAACATAAACACCTACTGTTTTAAAATTCTTTGTATTGTGCATATACATTTTATTATTTTTTTTAGGCATGTCTGATTAAATAAATTACAAACATTATGTTTGCTTATTTTTAGCATAATCCTTTCATATTCACGGATATTTTTCTGTGTATTACAATCAAATGAGGCAAGAAATGCACTGTATCATTGAAAATCACTTTTATTCCCCAAGTACTTTCGATCTCTTTCTGAGATCATCATCAGGGGTGCAACTAATAAGGCAAAAACTATGTGTAGCTATCCATTACTGATTTTTTTCTTTTTGCATTTAAATGCAACAGCTGAAATGCAAAAAGAAAAAATTCAGTAATACACATAGTCAGTACACATAGTTTTTTGCCTTATTAGTTGCACCTGATGATATGTTGGCACCTGTTTGTACAGAGAGTAAGGACCTACGTACATCAAATTGTATTTAAATTAAGTTGCAGCAGAAGAATTATTGTTGAACTTTCTTTATATATTAATGCAATACTTAAATTCAGCGAGCAATTTTGAGTTCTTCTGTAGTTTATTGTTGCCTACTCCTCCCTACTTATTGTGATGAAGGCCCAATCAAGAGCCTCCTGCAGGAGCTAGCTTAAATGCTGCCCGATAAGGTGGCTTTTAAGCTAGTTCTTGATAAAGTAAATTTTCTAAAACACTTATTTTAAAAATAAAACAATTGGTGTTTACCTTGACATATCTTAGAAAAAATAAATTTATTTTAATAATTAAATATTGTAAATGCATAATGATATTAAAAAAATTATTATATGATAAATAAAAATATAAGAAAAAAATGAATAATTAAAACAAATACTTCCTTTTTAAAATATGATAAACTAGGAGGAGATTGGATGCTGATATCAGAGTAAACGGATGTGTATTTTTCATTGCTCAAAGAAAGTGAAATTAATAACCTTACTAAAGAAAGATTGTGCTTCTGACTGGAATTGAACCTGTATCCTCTTTTTCCATCAATGAAACCACTTCTATAGCTGAAACCACTGTATCAATGTGGCCTCTGTGGCCAAATGAGTAAAGGCATGTTTAGTATAAGTATTGTTTCCCAGATGGAAAAAGGGGATAACGGTTCAATTCCTGTCAGAAGCAAAAGGGAATATGTTGGGTGTGGCAGAGCTTCCCAACCAAGCTCTTTAATTGCATGTTTGATCATGTTAGCAATGTGGAGGTGAGCATTGTCATATTGAATCGCTTGTCAGGTCTTTTCAGTTGAATTGCCTTTTTGGGCCTGTTCATTTGTTTAAAATACAGCTTAGTATTGACTGTTTTGTTGTTTTGAAGCATTTCATTGTAAATTAGTCATTGCCAATCCCACTAAACTCAGATTATTCATTTGTGTGGATGTAGATCTGGCTTGGTTTGGGGTGTTGCCTGCTTAACACAACTCATCCATTCTTTTCGCGACTTCATATTCACACAAAGACACCAGTTTTCATCCTTAGTGATAATATTGTAAAGGAATCTTTCTTTGTATCCGCAAGTAGCTTGGTGTCAATAGAGGGAAACCTGCACATCCAAGTTTACTGCACCTGGTATTCCTAAATGGGCAACCATCTGGGAATTGACCATGCTCAATGTTGCTTAACTTCAGTGATTGTATGGGAACTAGTGTTTCAACACAATGTGGCTATAAGTCCATTACACCACCTGCACATCCTGGTATTCCCAAGTGGTCACTCATTTAGGTACTGACCAGGCTTGGCGTTGCTTAACTTTGGGGATTGTACAGGAACTGTTGTTTCAACATGATATTGCCATAAGCTCTATGACGTCTTGAATCACACCAGGGTTGATTTGCCCAAAATGTAACTACTTGATAATATTAAACTGTGGAGATGATCCCAGTGAGTGGCACCATTTGGTAAATGCAACTGTTTGGAAGTTGTTGATATCTTAACACAAATTTTGACTGAGGGTTTGAGCATACTAGCCTTGTTCAGACTGTTGATCACACAAAATTATATGCTCTCTCCCAGAAACTGTAACTAAGGTCTGCTCAGCAAAGTTGCAATATAAACCACATGGTGAGTTCTGTGGGTATTGAAGGGACAGTTATGCTTGAGCAGATGGGTGTGCTTGGAAATGAGTAGCCAGTCATTCACTGTATATTAAATTTGACCTGGCATATTTGTTACACAGGCAGCTGGTACTGGGTCTATTGTAAATGCTTCATGAATTTGTAAACCTAGTCCCTTTTAGTGATTTTTTTTTTAACATTTCCTGAAAGCTTCCTGTAATATCAACTAATTTTAATAACTATTATTTTTCAGTTCCTGCCAACAAATCTCAAGCGATATTACGACACTTAAGATGGATAATGCAGAAAGTAAGTTTTTTTCTCATTTCATATTCTGTGATTTAAAAATTAATTTAGTGAATGACAGAAAAAAAAAAACAACTTTTGGTTACAGGTTGAAGAAGAAATAAAAAAAACATTGAAATTTGTATCAAATCCATTATCAGTGATCAGCAGTGAGTTTAAAAATGTGACAATATTATTACTATTATTTTATTACCAGTTTTGTTCCATCTTATTGTTGCTTTTTATCCCAACACTCTGGCTCTATACACTCTTCATTATTACTATTATTTTATTACTAGATTTATTCCATCTTATTATTGATGCTTTTTATTCCAAGACTAAAAGTCCGTATTTTTATCGTTTTTCTTTGTCCCAATTTTGTCATGAGAAAAAGCCCTCAACAACAAAGATAAGTACATTAGTCTGTATGTAAATAGTGATGCCAGAAGTTTAAACAGAAAAGACCTTTTAACTGGAATTTTCCAAAAAGTCTAATCAGAAAATTTATTACCAATATTTTTCTAGTAAATAGAATTTTTTTTCATCTGTCTGGTATTTTTTACCTAAATTTCTGACATGAGGCATTTTCTGTAAACTGTCCATTGTTTTATTTGAGGTAATCAGTTTAAATCAATCCATGCTTAATTACAAACTGTTGATTCCTTATATAAAAAGTTTTTTAGAGTTTTTCACTGCAAAAAATTTCCAAAGATGAATTCTCAAATGTATATGTTTTGGAATTTATTTCCCATTATTTTTTTTTTTTATTTCTCCACAGGATATTCTTGGGCAGGACGTGTTTCTGATTGGTTCTCCTGGTCCATTACGCAGACAAATTGCAATGATGTACTTGGTAAAAAAAATTTTATTATTCCTAAAAATAGGGACTTATAGGGACTAAAATATTCATTGCCATTGGCTTTATCTCAGATCGAAGAATTGAATTTTTTCTTCAGTGATCCTTTCCTTTATGATGATGGCATTGATGACTAAATTTGCTGCCAATGTGCAGATACAGGGTTAGAAACTTCCAGTCTCACCAAAACCTGTTCCTGTCATCGATTCCCTATCACCGTTTGGCTTTGTAAGAGTTGGTTGGAGGTCTAATAAAACCAGAGTAGAAGAAAGTGCTGATGGCATGAATTTTTTTAAGGGGGACTGCAACTTACCAGGAAGTGATCAACACACTTGATTCTATGACATTCCTCTGTGGCACATATGGAATGAAACATACAGAATCCATTTATGAAACAGCAATGACTGCCACTGACTCTGTTATAATTTCCTGTGGTATGTCCATCATGTTTACTCTTCTTCATCTGCTGGTTCAACTGTTGAGATCTGTTGTAATTATCATCTGTTTGTTCTCCTGTTGGGGTCTTTGGGGTTGATTGTGTTTAGTCTGGGTCCTTGTCTCTCTCTCTCTCTCTCTCTCTATATATATATATATATAAAATAATCAATATTAAATAATATGTGGTATTGATCAGCATCTATTCACTCTAAAAAAAAAAGGTGTCTTTAAGAATATATATATATATGTATATACACATACATACACTGGTTGTAACAGCAAAATTGTCCAATTTGTGTAATGCCATAATTGTCTGTTCATCCCGCAAAAAGGTGGAGCTGGAAACAACAACAACTAATAGGTGGTGCCATATGCCTCAAAACATCCAATTTCCTGATCAGATGCCTTGCTACTGAATGGATAATATCTTGGAATGAAAAATTGGTGCACTGAGTTTGAATTTCTGTTGGTTTTGTTACATTCATTTATGCGCAACTTCCCTCGGGTGATGAGAAATTGAAAAGAGACATAATTGTCCAAAAATGTTACATCTGCTCCTGCCAACATGTAATTTTTTTTCTTTAATCATTTCACTCAAAGTAAGGTGATAATGCCACTAAGATGCAAGGGGTTACTGGGAGTGAAAGTGAATGAGAAGACTTCAGTGAGGAGAAATGACAATAAAAGAACAGAATTCAGGAAGACAGAAGATGGAGATAATGCCACTAAGATGCAAGGGGTCACTGGGAGTGAAAGAGAATGAGAAGACTTTAGTGAGGAGAAAGGACAATAAAAGAACAGATTTCAGGAAGACAGAAGATGGAGATAATTCCACTAAGATGCAAGCGGTTACTGGACATGAAAGAAAATGAGAAGACTTTAGTGAGACGAAAGGGTAATCAAATAACAAGATTCAGGAAGACAGAAGATGGCAATTGGCATTGCATTTAAACTTTTATTGACTGTAGGTGACCGGGAAGCAAGAAATTGAAAGGGAATTTCTATAGGCAAGAAGTGAAGGGAAAGAATCTATTAGAATAGAACATATGGTTGCATCTCGCTATTTCAACAGTAAAATGGTGAGACCTAGTTGCCAATCTAGTAACATGCTTGAACTCATGCAGTCAAGGCACCAAGGAGGAAAGCTCAAGGAGACAAATGCCATGAAAATATCAAACAACAAAAACCTGAGAAGAAGAATTTTGAATGATCATAACTTGATAAATACAGGTTGCAGCAGAAATATATCCCCCATTTTAAACTGTCACCTGTCTAGTACTAGTGAACTTAGACAAGTGGCATTGGTGTGTTTATCTAGATAATGTCTTACAATTTTTTCCTTATACTGTCAGTTACCATTATGGCTTGAATTGGTGCACACAGTGCATTTGCTGTTGAAATGTTTTTTTAGACGGGTGAATCTGTAATTGCAACACAGAGATTTTTGTGCTCATCTCTTGTTATGTCGGAATGATGCTGTTCCAGAAAGAAAATCGATACAGCTATAGGCTGAAAAGTTTGAGCACATTAAGGTTGGAAAACTTTGAAGTGCTTGAACTTCTGGTTGATAGAACCCTTTAGAATCGTCTACAAAAGTATGGTGAATAGAGACTACCATTTTGCCGGATGTCATTTTTAATAGCCAATGAATAAAAACTGTAGCTGATTGTTTAAAGAACAGTGAAATAAATTTTTTAATAGCTGCTACCTTATTCTTTTGTTCAACCATGAAAATATGGGCAGTATTTCTGCTGCATCATGTACTTGAAATTAGGAAAAAAACCATTTGGGGAATACAGAGGCTGTTTACTTTCAGACAAGGTGGCGCAGATATCACTTAGGAAATGATCCCCAAATTCTAAATAATTGCTTGTGAGCCAGCTGTATTAGTAATTAGTGTCATATTATTTTGGATTTTATTATTAGATAAATCATTGTCAATTAATATGGACTGCACACCATTTATATAACAATTCAATCACCATATCTTCTTGTGCATTTGAGAAATTTTCAGATGATTGGAATTTCAAAATGAACCCTTTATAGGGTAGACTGTTCTAGTTCCATGTGCCACTTTTATTTACTGGGCCACGTGTTCTCTGACGGATACTTGGCCCAGTTGGTAAAAGTGTTGATTGAATCCAGTGACCTGACCTAAAGAGTTGTGAGTTCAATACCTGGCTACAGCAGAGGTGAACAATACATTGGAGATTTGAGTTAAAGGGAGATAACTGATACTAAGACATCCAGAAGAGGCATGACACTTGGAACTAGAACAATCAACTCTGGTGGACAAAATAAAGGGTTCAGTTCAGTTTGAAATTCCAGTCATCTGAGGAAAGTCGGACTGTACAACAGATGAAACGTTATTGGCAACGAAGATGTGGACAACAGTGCGAACAATGTTAGTACATGTTTTCAGAAATTTTTACTTTGTTTAATATCCTCTTATTTGAAAGATTGCATATATACTCAGCACAATAGATAATAAAACACGAAATAGGCAGGTGTTGATAACAACTATTTACAAAAGTTATTTGATATGGCGGCCATATTTGTTTCTCTCTTCATTCTTAATGAGAGACAATATATTTTTTTTATTTTAATAGCTTATTAATATATAGAAATATTATAAACTCATATCAAACAGAAAAGTATATAGATTAATTAACACTTTAAAATGTATTGCTGGGTATGTTTGATTAGCACGTTTCCTTGAAAATTCAAAAATAAATTTTGAAACTGTTATGGTCTGCTTCCTTGTACCACGGTGATAGCCCAAGGTAGAACCAATAAAGAAGAATGCGAACACAGGTATGGAATAACACAGATATATTACAAACAGGAGTATATACAGAGAAGTAGAAGTGTTAGTATGAACAATCAGGTTTAGTAGAGAGAACAATGTAGTCTCGACCAGTATCACTATTCCAATGTCTTGCAGTAATTGTCTGAACGCGTCTCTGTTTCGGAATGCTTCTGACTCGACTCTTGACTCGACTTTAACTACTGACTGACACGACTTGAATGACTCCTGAGGCACAGTATTTATTAAGTATGGAATAGTCCATTATAATTATTATGGGTAAGATCCCATAACAGAAACAGAAATTAGAAGAAACATATAATTTTTAACCATCTGGTTCATTTCTATTCTTAAATATTGTTCCACTGGGTTTTTGGTGGAAAGATAAATTATATGTGACTGGCCGTTGAAAAGCAGAAGCAAAATAAAGACAACACAGGACATGGTAAAGTCAATAACTACTTTATTCAAAACTGCTGCTTGATCCATTTGCTCCTCGCATTTCCGAGTGCTTACAATTATCATCATCACAATCAACATTATTGATGTTGTTATAAACAAATATCTTTCAATGAAATCCATCATCTGAGGGTCACGATTCTTGTCAGCAACTTTATGCAGCTTTAAGAGAATTTCATTGACTTTCTTTTCCAGCTCTAGAGATGCTGTCATTGCATCCAAACTGGTGCCCCAATCATCACGCTCAGGTTTCTCAATTTGCTTAAGAATAATTCGAACACCTCTCTTGTTCTGATACTTCATGAATTTTTCAGCATGTTCCCCTTCCTCTCCAGATCTATCTTTGAAGAATTTTCAAAAGCCAGGTAGAGCCACATCATCACGTTTAAAGTAAAATCCCATGGACTAATACACATAGGAAGTATATAGAATTCCAGGTTGATCTGACAGTTGATACCAGATTCACATTCTTTGTGAAAATTTTGTTGAGGTCGTGTTTCACTCATTTTTGTTTAGATGTACAAATGTTAAAATCAAGATATACGAGGAAAATAAAAATCAGACGGTATTTTAAGAACTTGTTGAATCACTTGATTTCCTTTTTGTCTTCCTTTTTTTACTCTTTTGGTTAGAACTGATCCGTACGTTCACTGGCGTAGAGGATCAAGTGGTTCAGACACCTGACTTGTATGCCTATCAACTGACCAGCCCTACGAGCATACACCCTCAGCTACCCTGGTTGGAGGGTGACCAAGAAGATGCTGGAGTGACTCAGTGGCAGACAATCTCAGAGCCCACGAGATATCTCTCCTCCAGGCCACTCGCCTTGCCGCTGACAGACAACTGTGTCTCTCCACGACACTTTTTTATTAAATTTGTAATTTTCTTGTGTTCCCTTAAGTAACTGTGTTACTGATCAATCCGAATTCATAAATAATTACATCGGTCACACGACAGGAATGAGGTAATAAGAGATATGATAGGAGCAATACCAATCATACAACAAATCGAACGACAAAGGATCCACTGGTTTGGACACCTCACTCGTATGCATATCAACCAGCATACACCCTCAGGTACTGTGGCTGGAGAGCGAGAGGCAGACCAAGAAGATGCTGGAACGACTCAGTGGCAGACACTTTCAGCGATATCTCTCCTCCAGGTCACTCGCCTTGCCGCTGACAGACTATGTCCCCCCGCAATGCTTAACAGCACAAGCAGAAGGAAAAACTAAACTAAACTATATAAACAAATATGAAAAATTAAATATTTTAGTGAAATATATGTGCGACATTGAGATTTTAATGGATTTGTGGTACAACTTTTCAAAAAAGATTTAGATAGAGATGGCTGTATTAACAGAGTTGTATTATAGTCAAGGATATAATTTAATCCGTTTTTAGATTTAGGAACATGGGGTTGTATCATACATAACGATATAATTTAATCCCTGTTTTTAGATTTAGGAACACATGGTCGTATTGTACATAAGGATGTAATTTATTCCCTGTTTTTAGCTTAAAAATATCAGGGTCATATTATGCACAAGAAAATGCAGTAAGCTTCTGTGTCTTTTTGACTAACATGCCAATAAGAAAGCATTATAGCATCATAATACTAATGCTATGGTTTGAAAATATGGACTCCCATTAATAATATTTTTTATTTCAAGATTTTTTCTATTTTCATTTTTTTTTTAGGAAATGACTAAACGAGAGGTCGAGTACATTTCCCTTTCACGAGACACCACAGAGTCTGACCTGAAGCAGCGACGAGAAATTTTGGCTGGTACAGCTCTGTATGTTGATCAGGTAAGAAATGACTTCTCTTCTCATCTTTTCAGCTGGGATCAGTGTGTAGTATCTTTTTGAGTAGGTATCCATCTACTTATCATCTCTCAGTTGCGTCTCTGTCCTTGGACAGAGTGCGCTCAAGGGGTTCTCTTTCAAAGGACAGAGAGGCAACTGAGAAAATTATACTGAAGAGGTGCCCAGCCCTGGGGAACAGCTGCCCGAGGCCGCGTCCTCCCATTGCACCAGAGGGAGGGATCGGTGCTTGCATCAAGGCCAGCGCAACCGACAGTTGTAGGGGCTGAGGGTCCCCACCTAAAAATAGACCTTGTATCACATCTTGTCCTAGTGGGGGGACAGAGTAAACTGTGTGTAGTATCTGTTCTCCTCATTTTATAATGGAGAAAATGCAGGGTCTCTGGGTTTCAAACCCTACAGCAGCACCTTCCTCATTGCACTAAGAGAGGTGGAGGTCAGTGTAATATTGGTGACAGTGGTCACAGGCTGGGCAGTTTCTGTCTTTGGCCCATATATATGCATATGGGAACCTCTCGGAAAAAGAAACCTTGTGTCACATCATACCTTAGTGGGGCACTCAGGTAAATAAAATCATGGAAGAAAAGACTTCATGAAAAAGGATGTTTTTACCTTTTGTAATTTTCAGACGAGCCATTTTCATTTCAAGAGGATTTTATTTTTTTTGAGAATCAAAACAATTCTTTTTTTGTTATTCCAATTTTTCATTATTTAAATTTGAACTGTCATCTTCTTTATGATCATGTTTCGACTGTTATGCTCTCTGGACTTCTTCAGGGGTTTGTTAATCTGGGTAACTTTCAGGGATTTTCAAACAGGACCCTTTATTCAAACTGTGGAGGTAGATTGTTATTGTTCTAATGCTAGAGATATCACATTGTGTTTTTTTAGTTCTGCTCAGTTATTGCTAGCTGAATCTTCACTACCAAGACCAGGAATTGAACTCAATAAGTATCATACTATGAAAAATCATGAACCTCGGCTGTTGTTGCTCTATGGACACTCACGTAGAAAGGGAAGAAGTGATTTTATCTCGATCTTAAGTGTTTTCATTTGATAGACCATTGGATAATTCCTTTTGAAGTTCAGTCTTCTAAGTGGCTGTGATGGTGGAGTAATGAATAGTGGCTCGGATTGAGGAATCAGAGAGCTGAGTTCAAATTCCAGTTGAATCCATTACATTCATTTACATACTAATACCCTTAGGGAAGGTATGAAGACACTTCTTCTCCCTCCAGCTATGGGTAAATAGCAGGACAGACTGGGTTCTATAACCTTGGATGGCAACTGGTCTACCGTAGAAAGAAATGATAACCAACTACAGGAAAAAATCTGCCTCATCAGTCATTTATCAAAAGATACATGATTGCCTAAGCGTATATCACGCATGGCACATAACTGAAGTGGCATCTACTTTGACTGAAGGAAGTAAGGGGGTGAATGAAAGAATTTTAGAGATTTTTTTTAATCATTTCACCCCAAGCAAGGCAATAAAACCACTAGGACATGAGGGGTTACTGAGTCTGAGAGAATATGAGAAAATTATTAAAGAGAGATGACAATAAAAGAACAAAATTTAAGAAGACAGAAGATAACATGTCCCTTCAGTATGTGGGTGATCATGGCTCTCCACAACTTTCTTTTATTGCTCTCAGTAAATTTTGACTCTTTACCATCCATCTTTGTCTCTGCCATCCATTCACTTCTTTTTCTTTTATATGCTGTGCTATTTAGAATGTGGCCGATCATGGTCCTCCACAACTTCCTGTTTTTTGTTACTTGAAATACATTTTACCCATTATCATCACTCTTTATCCTTGTTCATCCATCCATTCACATCTTCTTTTATATACTGTAGCTCTTCAGAACAGAGGCAATCATGGCTCTCCACAACTTCCTCGCTTTGTTGCTCTAAATAACTTTTGACCCTTTAGTATCCCTCTTTTTTTCTGCCATCCATTCACTTCTTTTTTTTATAATAATAATTATCCTTTCAGAATTTGAGCAGTCATGGCCCTCCACAACTTCCTGTCTTTTGTTTTTCTTAGTAACTTTTAACTTTTTGTTCAACCATCTATTCACTTCTTTTAGATTTGATGACCTTTCAAGACGTGGGCTGTCATGGCTCTTCACAATTTCCTTTCTTTTGTTGCTCTTAGTAACTCTTTGTCCTTGTTTTGCTATCATAGCTAAAAAGATCTTAAGATGTTTTAAGATTGATCATTCTTGATTTAATTTATTTTTGTTTTTTTTTAGTGTGCTGTAGAAGCAGCTGTGAAGGGTCGTGTGTTGGTGCTAGAAGGAATTGAAAAGGCTGAACGTAATGTCTTACCTGTATTAAACAATCTCTTAGAGAATCGAGAAATGCAGTTGGATGATGGAAAGTTTCTGGTAGCTGCATCCAGGTATGATCAACTCTTAAAGGTAAGAATACATCAAATTAACAATAAGCTCGTTAATAATTTTCTGTCTGAATTCTGGGATCTTATCATTATTTACACTATCTATGGAGAGGGAAAGGAGTCGTCATCAGCTCTTGTAGAATGTAGTCCTGGGTAATTGTCTAGAAAGAAAAAAAAGATAATACTATTGCAGTCACTTGTCTAGGTGAGCATTGAATATTGCTATCATGACTGACTCTGTCAAGTTAAGTGCTGTGTCTTGCCAGACCCCACATCACAACAGATATGGAAAAATATTTTGTGTCATTATTTATTATGTCAAATCCCAACTTTCAAGTTGAGTGCATTACCACAGTTCCAAATCGCCCTACCCTATTGTACAGTTGTCAATTCACAAAACATACATTGATTATGAAAATGCAGAACCATGAAAACTGTGGACATCAACCCAGAGTCCTGGGCGAGCCTGGCAGCCATACGATCCAAATGGAGGGCAATCCTGACCAAACACCACAAGTCAGGGAAGTAGAAGCTGACACAAATTGCCATGGAAAGGTAGGCCCGCAGAAAGTAAAGTGATGTCTCCAACAGACCAGAGACAGAACACTCATGCGACCTCTGCAACAGAAATTGTCACTTTCACATTGGCCTCTACAGTCACAGACATTGATGCTCCAGCCAAGTAGACAACTAAGATGCCTGACAACCCTGACCAACAGAGGCCTACAGATGTAAAAAAAAATAGTATTTTGTAGCTGAAAACTTGCTCTATCTGACAGTGCTACATTGCTCACTTTGTATTCATGGCAACGAGCTGATCATTTTAAAAATTTTCAGTTATCTGTTTTGGATAAGACTTGTTTTTATGTCCATCGTCTTTGTCAAATTGAACTGAATTGTATTTTAATGAATATGTTCCTGAAGAAGGTTTATTAAACCGAAACGTCAGACGTCGACAATTCATTCATTTTAAACAACATAATTGCATTTAAGGATTCTTGTTTGTTTTTTCCAAATTTTTCTTCATTGCTCCCTTTATATGTTTTATTTCTGTTGAAATAAACAGGAGGCATTACTTTGGTTTTTTTTCAAATATCATATGAACTAGGAAATGATTCTGAAATATTTTCTTTCTTTTAAAAAGGATCATACCAAAGAAGAACTGGATGAATTAAATCTGGTCCGAGTGAGTGAGAATTTTCGAGTTATTGCCCTTGGGTTGCCTGTCCCACGGTACAAAGGCAATCCTCTTGACCCACCACTGCGTTCTAGATTTCAGGCTCGAGGAATACAAGCCCTGCCATTCAAGGTATTATATTTCACTTCTATACAATTATTAAAAAAAAATTTGGCAAAGCCATTTATAATTTATGGATTAGTAAAACATAAAGGAGTAAATATGCATATAACGTCTAATAAATTCTAAATAATTGTACATTGTTAATTTATGTTCTAAGAATTCAATTTTTAAAGTTACCTCCCTTTTAGATTAGTAATTTTATAAGCGGCCATTCACATATTCTTTTTTGTTTACATTACATCAGCCTGTTAGAATGCAGCTCGTTATGTGGCATGTGGGGGGGGGAATGCGTATAATACTAGTTGGCCATGGGGGGAAGAGGAGAGAGAGATTTAAGAAGAAGAAAAGATACAAAGAAAATAAATCTATTAAGGGGAGAGAGAGAGAGAAAAAAGAAAAAGGAGAAGAAGAATATGAAGATGATGATGACAAGGAAGATCAAGAAAAGATACAAAGAGAGAAAAATAGATATTGGCAAGAGGCAGAGAAGGAAAGAAAACTGGAAATGTTGAAGAGATAGAGAGAGAAGGAAATGCAGTACAATACTCCTTAATGTAACTCTCTACCGGGCTTTGTATAGGGTGAGCTTATTCAATCAGTAACTTAAGAAAACACTTCCCAAAGCAAGTATTTCAATATCTGAACATTTGAAAACACATTTTTGGAAGTATGTTGAACTGAGATCTTTTCGGCACACCTGCATAAATATAAAGACTGAGATAAATATGGTGGGGGTGCTGAAAATTTGAGTCTTACCCATTTATCAAAATCAGTATTTCAATGAATAGACATCAGTATAAAACTCAAAATATACATGTTTTCTTGCTGTTGAAAGTGGATTTGATACAATGAAATTCCCTCAAGAAGAGAGGTAATCATCTGTTTGTTTCTTTGCAGGAACATTTAGAAATTCTTCAAGAAGCAGGGAGAAATATTCCTTCAAACAGGTGAGTATTTGAAACTGATGGGAGCTAGGTTGAAAGTGATTCTGAAAAGCATATCTGTGTTTGTAAATATTTAACAAAGATAATGTATTTGGGTAACTTAGATGGATAACAGGGGTGCTGAAAACTTAGACTGACATAATTTCCAAAATTTAAGTTATTTATTTATTTTATTTTTTGAAGAGCTTTTGGGTCAAAGTGAGAACTTTTCAGCACCCCCTAAAAGTCGATCTGTACTGTAGCAAATAACAGAAACCACATCACCTGAGGGACTTCCAACAGCAGCAACAACTAAAATGGATATGTCATGCATGGTGCCAAACCCATTCTAAAAAAAAACTGTCAGCTCTCTACAACTGCTTTCTAAAATCAATGATTGGAAAAGTCTTTGAGTGAGTAGATCTGAAGATCTTGGCAAAGGTTATCCTCCTTTGAACATTTTGGACTGGCGCTACAGAATCTCAAACAGAAACTGCATCACTTGAGGACTACAAACAGCAGCAACCAATGCTGGGTTTAGGACAAGTGAGCCCCTGTGCTAGTTATGAGGCCTTATACTTGGGCCCTGAAGAAGGTAGGCCTGACCTGCCTACACAGGCATGGAAGGAAGATGGGGCTCCCTGACCAATGGCACCCTCTCTGAGGACTCCGTGCTTAAGCACACCTAAGCACAAATCCAGCACTGGCAGCAACAATTAAAATTTGATAGCACATGTAAGTCAAAGAGAAAATAAAATATAATCAAGATGTTGACATTTCACATAACTTCAGACAATAATGGAAAGAGTGATGACAGATACTGGGCTTGAGAAACCTATTTCCTGAAAAAAATTCTTTTAAGAGAAAGATTTTATAAATTTCAACTGAAAATGGTACTGGCTGCTTGGTTAATAAATGCCAAATGTTTCCTTATAGGGAAACAGCTAATATTAACATTATCATATGGTATGATTTTAAATTAAACTATATATAGCCTTGTCAGATCAAGACTTTCATATGGATGTCAGCATGTTGTCAAACCCATTCAGAAATATCTAAACTGTCAGTTGTATATAACTGCTTTCAAAGATCAATAGTTAGAAAAGGCTTTGAGTGTCCTGGGTAAGACGTTAAACTACATCCGCATCCTGGGTAAGACATTAAACTATATCCGTGTCCTGGGTAAAATGTTAAACTACGTCCAGCAGCAAGGCCTCTGATCAGAAGGTTTTGAGGAATGTAGGACCACCTCTTAATTGCTGGTGTTCCCAGATCCACCCTGACCTAGGGTGGTAGCACCTGTTAGGGTTCAAGCTATGGGCAAATAGTTAACTATTACCAGCAATACTTTTTTGGAAAAAATTATTACCAGCAATACAATTTTGAAGGAAATATATTACCAGAAACAGATTTTTGACAAAACAAAATATTACCAGCAATAAAAAATGTTGTTGGCATTAAATAACCCATTGAGGTTTATATGCCGTTAAACAAAATAAACCAGACCAATCTAAACCAAAGAATACATATTCTATTCATACGAATCTATCCTAAAAATGTCAGCATTAAATAACCCATTGAGGTTGATATGCCCTAAAACAAAATAAACCAAACCAAACCAAACCAAAAGGCTTTGAGCAAAAGGTCATCCTCCTTTGTGGACTGGCACTACAGATTCACAAACAAAGAACTATGTCGAACAGTTGAGGAATGCTTGGGTATTTACCCATGCCCCTCCTTAGAGACAGTATGTGTAAACAAGGTTTAACATGGGGAACCCAAGCGCATACATTCAGGAGTTATTTTTTGTTTCTTTTGAGGCCCCTTTATATCCTGCATAAGTCTTACAACAATGCTGGTTAAGATTTTTCTTCCAGTTGTTTTTAAAAAAATGTCGGACTGCTGAGAGGATACAACAATATAAATCCAAACTTTGAAACTCCTCCTCTTGACCCTTTGTACTCTTCTTTGAAAAAATATTTTAAATCATTGCTAATTTTTCACAATTTATATTTTATTTAAGACTGTATAAATCCAGTTCCATATGTTTGGAATTTATTAAAATTCTAAAATTAACTTTTTAAACTATAAAAATTGGTGAGGGAATCAAAAGAGTATACAGTAATGTGGGCGTGAAGAGAAAAACTATCTAAATTACAGTCATTGTTAAGGCATCCATTATTTTGTGCTTGGATCCCACAAATCATTTGGACATTTTTTACATATTCTATGTCCTCAAAAAATAGCTTGTATGATTTGCAAGGAAAATATGAAAAGCTTAATCCCAGTGCCTTGACAGTCGTCGTCTTCAATGAAACATGTATGTATGTATGTGTATATATATATATATATATATAAAATGCATTATTCTTCAAGTACAAAATTGAGTTCTCCAGGCCTCTGGTATATTTTGTATCGAAAAAACATTAAAATTTCCCTTCTTCTCCGCTGCCATGATGATGACTAAGGTAAGATATCTGACTGATGTCAAATCGGTTGAGTTTGGAACACGTCTTGAAGCAATTGGGTGTCTAGCCACCCTGAAGAGCTGTGAAACATTCTGTTTGTGGACGACACTATATATATATATATATATATATATATATATATATATATATATATATAAAACACTACTAAACTTATAAATGTAAGCAGTTATACTTGTCCGGCAAAACCTTAGACGTTTTAGCTTGTGAATGAACAAACTAATACCCAAGGGGGAAAAAAAAGGTAAAAAAAGAAAGAACTAAGAACATGTACTTCTGGCAAAAATAATCGTCTAGAATCTAAGTTCAGAGTCCAAAGAAAAAACCTCTGACACAAGTAAAGTAAAATAACTAAACAAAGCACCTCTTTAGCCAGTCTGTCCTGACGAGCCGCGTAGGTGAAACCTAGGTAGGTTAGCCTGTCTCTTTAGGTTTATTTACTTATATATATATATATATATCATATATGTTGAATCCCCCTGAAATAGGGGGCCGTCTTATACTCCAGGTATAAAATGTGAACATTAAATCCTGTGCATGGGAATTTTTTGATGATAAGCTAACCTCTGCCTAACATCCTTTTTTGCGATGATGTAAAACAAAAACACAACTAGATGGGTGTCTCAACAAGCTGTTTAAAGATTGCATTTGAGAACAGTGGAACAAGTGGATGGCTAATGGGGAAAAGTCATTCAAGTTACCGTAATAACCTACCAAAAACATAGTATCCACTCATGAAGTATTGTAGATTGTGGTAGTCAATTGACAATATCTCACCACCGTTTAGAATTTGAGTGAAAAGTAAGTATATGCTTACTGAATTTATTTAATAAATTCAGTACAATACATTTTAAAATATGATTGGTGGGGATTGTCTTGTATGGCAAATATAGCCTGAAACCTACATTTTAACTTAAAAATCTAGGGGTCGTCTTGTACACAAGTCACCTTGTATGCCAGCATATACAGTATATAAAAATTCAGATATGACTAAAAATATATCTGTAAAAAGACATTATGAATAAAGACAAAAGGAAAACTTATTTTAGTTGACATGTTTCATCCTCTGATAAAGTTCATCAGAGGATGAAACACATTGGCTAAGATAAGTTTTCTTTTTGTCTTAATTCATATCTCCCTGAAATAATATGAGTGAAATTGGGTAGATGGAACCCTTGGGAGCCATTGGTGGTTGTGCTAGCATGAAATCACAACTCATCGTGACCGAGGGTGTGAGCATGCTGGCCTTGTTCAGACTCTGTGGCTGTTGAACAAACACAAATGTGCCTGAATAGGCGTCTGCAATGGGGATTATCTAGCCAGGATACAAGTGGCTGTGTCATTTTTATATATATATATGTATATATATATATGTGTGTGTGTGTGAAAAGTGTGTATATAAATATAAATAAATAAATATATGTATAATTATTTATATATTATATGTGTGTACTTATTAGAAAGTGCTCAATATCAGAGATAGAGCTAACCATATATATATATATATATATATATATATATATATATATGCACATTGTTTCAAACACACTCATTTCATAATTACTAGCTTTTATAAAATGTGTAGTAAAAGTATTCAATACAAAGTAGAGCTTATATAAAACATAAAATATGAAAGATAATATCTTAACTACTAGAGTTTCTCCCCATTACCAAGGATCATCAGGCTATATTTTTATAATTACAAATGGAACCAACACCTTTTGTAATAACAAGGGTGTGCTGAAAAATTGTCCATCCCAGGAAGAAGGGATCCTCATAAATCCTGCTCTTTAGTCATTTAGTTGGATTTTGGGAAGTGGCTGAGAACTTTTCAGCATCTTCTCATATAGATAATGTGCAAAAAAAATAGCATTATTTTTTGGAGTCTGTCTATATTTCTGAGATGAGGTATTATGTACAGTATTTACATTAGTCGGACTATTGTCCTCATCTTTGTCGCCATATTTGTCTTCAGGTGGTTGAATTATCAAATTCCAACCTTCTGAAGGTGGGGCCGATTTGAAATAACAACCACCTGAAAACGCTAGACAAATATGGTTAAAGATGAGGACAATAGTCCCACTAATGTAAATACTGAGCATTATTTTTTATTTATTTTTTAAATATTATTTTTTATTGTGCATACATTGATATTTTTTGGGGTGCTGGGAATTTGTGCACTCACTTCATATAAAATTTCTCTTTTGTGACTTTATTTTGTAGACTTTCCCAGATGCTGTCTTTTGCTTCCACGATGTTAACAGATGAGTCTACTAGTCTTGGTCTTCCTGATTTTCCAATTGATAACTTAGTGACGGCTGTAGCAATCGTTGTAAGTCTTGTCTTATATTACAATTCTGTTTCTTTCTCCATTAGTTAGTAAGTTAGCAGGTGTATTTTGCCTTGCTATTGCCTCAGATAATTAATAGACTATTCCGTTTTGAAAAGATGGAAGAAGATATATCAGAGAAACTATTTCATTTGAGGGAAAGAAAAGAGGGAAGGAGAAAAGAAAGTGAAGAAGGAATGAAAGGAAGGAAAGAAGAGAAGGGAGAAAAGAAAGAAGGGAAGGAATAAAGAAAGGAATGAAATAAGGAAAGAAAGACTGGAAAGAAAGAAGGACAAGAATGAAAAAAGGGAAGGTAATAAAGGAAAGAAAGAAGGAAGAGAAAGAAAGAAGATAATGAAGGAAGGGATGAAGAGAAATAGAGAAAGAAAGAAGGAAGAAAAGAATGGAAGGAAGGAAAGAAAGAATGGAAGGAAGGAAAAGAAGGACAAGAACGAAAAAAGGGAAGGTAATGAAGGAAAGAAAGGAGAAAGAAAGAAGGGAATGAAGGAAGGGATGAAGAGAAATAGAGAAGGAAGGAAAGAAAGAATGGAAGAAAGGAAAAGAAGGTAATGAAGGAAAGAAAGGAGAAAGAAAGAAGGGAATGAAGCAAGGGATGAAGAGAAATAGAGAAATAAAGAAGGAAGAAAAGAATGGAAGGAAGGAAAGAAAGAATGGAAGGAAGGACAAGAAGGACAAGAACGAAAAAAGGGAAGGTAATGAAGGAAAGAAAGAAGGAAGAGAAAGAAAGAAGGGATGAAGAGAAATAAAGAAAGAAGGAAGGAAAGAAGGACAGGCATGAAAAAAGGGAAGGTAATGAAGGGAAGGAAGAGAAAGAAAAAATGGAATGAAGGAAGGGATGAAGAGAAATACAGAAAGATGGAAGGAAAGAAAGAATAGAAGGAAAGAAAAGAAGGACAGGAACGAAAAAAGGGAAGGTAATGAAGGGAAGGAAGAGAAAGAAAGAATGGAATGAAAGAAGGGATGAAGAGAAATAAAGAAAGAAGCAAGGAAGGAAAAGAAGGACAAGAACGAAAAAAGAAAAAGTAATGAAGAAAAGAAAGAAGGAAGAAAAGAAAGAATGGAAGGAAGGAAAAGAAGGACAAGAACGAAAAAAGGGAAGGTAATGAAAGAAAGAAGGGAATGAAGGAAGGGATGAAGAGAAATAAAAAAGGAAGGAAGGAAAAGAAGGATAAGAACGAAAAAATGGAAGGTAATGAAAGAAAGAAGGAAGAGAAAGAAAGAAGGGAATGAAGGAATGGATGAAGAGAAATAGAGAAAGAAAGAAGGAAGGAAGGAAAAGAAGGACAAGAACGAAAAAAGAGAAGGTAATGAAGGAAATAAGGCAAAGAAAGAAAAATTATTTAAAAGAAGTAAGAGGGTACAAATGAAAGATTCAAAACTGACAAGGATTTCCATTTAACTGAAGCAGACGTTAAATGTAAGAGTTACTGCCTCCTTTTCCTTTCTGGAAGAGGAGGCAATAACACATTTAACGTCTGCTTCAGTTAAATGGAAAACCTTGTTAATTTTGAATCTTTCATTTGTACCCTCTTACTTCTATAAATAATGACTTGCATTCATAACTATGTCATTGCAATATTTTGTTAAAGTTGTTAAGCTCAAATATTTAACAGTGCAACAGTGGAATTTCCACATAAAACTTGCAAGGAGCTTATTCAATCAGTAACTTAAGAATTAAGATTCAAAAGAGAATTCAAATAGGACCACTGTGTAATTTTCACAGGTACTGTGGGTTTATTTTATTAAATGCTTCTTTCATGTTGTGTTGATTTTTTTGCTTATTTGTTTTCTTCCATTATAAGTTATCCACAAAACATATCTTCAATTGAATAAGCTGGGGGAATTAAAATCCTCATTTTAATACACCCTACCTTGCAGTCATATCCAAACATGGAAAAGGCTATGGGAGTAAATCCGGACAGAAAATCCGGAGTGGAGCCCTGAAGGCGGTTGGCTGTCAACACTGACAAATTTCTGGCAACTCATGCAGCCAAGCCATCCCCAAATGTAATACCCTCTATTCTTTTGGATCTTGTCTGGGCAGCCTCTATATACCATCACCCAGGCCTGCGCTCTGGAGAGGCCACCCAGTCTCACCCCCAAAGGACTAAATTTTGACCAAACAGGGTGCTGTCTTTATCTTATGAGAGACCTACTATGCCTCTCAAACATTGGTTGCATACATTTACCAATTTTAAAAATAATTGTAAGGAGTAATAGGTCTTCTGTTTCACCCAGGCATCACCAAATCACCTTGTAAATTATTATTATGGGCATATTTTTAATTTTACAGAACAACAATCCTGACTTGTCTCTGGTGGATGTTCTTGAACGTGTCTACCCTTACAAAATGATGCTCAATAAAGAAGGAGTTAAAGCTGTAGAAGTTGCTATGAAAGTAAGAGAAACATTTTTGACTAATCTCTCTCTCTTTATATATATATATATATATATATATATATATATATATAAAACAGATTATGTCTGTGTGTCTATATGTCTGATAACTTTTCACTTGAGATCCATTCATCTGATTTTGATTTTGCTAGAATAAACGGAAAATGCGTCTGTTTGTGTGCAGATCTATGTGACACAGGCTTACCTTGTTTTCACTGTCTTTATGAAATTTCAGCAGTCGGTCGCATGAGATAAAGGCAGAGAAGTTATTTGTTACCATCGCCACATGTAAACAACTGCATATTTTCTTTTATGTGTCAATATCGCTAAACATATTTTTTGTAATATTGTATATGGGAATAAATATCTGAAAGATGTGAGTAATTAATTGAGTGTGAGAATTTCAGTTTTGTTTGTGTAACAAACAATCAAACAAACACCCTCGTCAAAGGTTCACTGAAAGACTAGTCAGCAAACAAGAATTGATCATATCTATATCTATCTATATATATATATATATCTATCTATCTATATATATATATATATATAAAGCAGAGGATGTCTGTGTGTTTGTCTGTCTGTTTGATTGATACCTTTTCACTCGAGATTCATGTAATTGATTTTGACCCAACTTGGCACATTCTACAATGTAAGCAATAGGTTCTTACCATAAAAATTGATCATTTTAAAAAAAATCAGTAATTTATTTCTATGTCACTGCGTTTAGTGAAAAACAAAACAAACTCCCTTAATTTTCAAGCTATCTAATACAAACTTCACTCAATTGTAGCCAACAATAAGTTGATTGTTTAACAGTCTTTTAATTTGATAATTGAGTCTGCCCATATAGTGAAAACCCGTGTAAAATGCGGAAAATGTGAACACCTTTTTAATATAATTTTTAACTACTGAGTAATCTTAAAAATTTAGGAAAATATTCTCCATAATCTGATGTTTTATTGAATTTTAGATACTATGACGTTAAATTACTATAGTTATCACTCTTATTTTCTGATTAACAGTGTTATTTTCATTTTTGCATAATTTAGATGACAATTTATCCATTGCATCATGTATGTATGATTTGAATTCATTGTTTACATGATTTAGATGCCTGTCAGTGGTCAGGAATACAGATGTTATTGACATGTTAATGTAATTCTGTGCATAATTTGTTTAATGGAATTCATTTTGAATTCAACAGTAATTCATGTTGTTGTGGGAGGTTTTTTCTTGTTAATTCATGCAACTAATGTTTATCTACAAAATTTGGAAGGCCTGTTTGCTTTCAAATATTTTCAGGATTAAGTGCAGGATAAAATTTCATACATTATGAAGAATTATTTGTTTCTTTTCAGAAATTTGAATTACATACTGGAAAAAAGAGAAATTTTTCTATTTCCAAAGTAGAGAAAAATGGAAACACAGCAGCTGTCTCCTTAAAATCGGGCTTCAGTAATTACAACTTGCAGGTAAAAAAAAAAAAAAGAAAAGTTTTTTACTTTTTGAAATGTGTTCTACACCTAGAAAAAAATTTCAGTAAACTATAACCAACCCTACTTAAGGTATTTCTTTTGGTAATTGAAAACAGTTCACAATCAACTGATCCATGAACATGTACCAACCAGGTTGATCAGGAGAGAAAGTTTTGTTTTTAGGGGGATGCAAAAGAAGATATACAGTAATAAAAAATAAAATGTGTGCACAAAATATATTAAATGAATCCTAGAACCACTTTTATAATACTGGTATCATACCTACTGTGTACCTACTTTTGCAGATCCCCCCCCCAACCTCATATATAGATATAACACACACACACACATATATATATATATATATACAAAGAACAATATTGGGAAAAATGTATGACAAAGAGAAAAAAAGTTTTCTTGTGGCATGTTTCATCCTTTAGGACTTAATCATAACAAATTTAGTCCAATGAAGTCCTAAAGAACAAAATGTATCACAAGAAAACGTTTTCCACTTTGTAATATATATATATATATATATATATATATATATCCATGTAAAATGAAAATGAATAGAGTCCAATTCCAATGTTCTTAACATTTAAAAGAGGGCTTAATGCAAAAGTAGAGCAATATTCTTTATTTTAGGATATTACATCAAAAACATGTAAAATAAAATGCTACACAAATGCAACCATGTTTCGATGCATATTAACATCTCATCAGGCATTAGTAAATAACTGGTGAGTAGACAATTTATTGAGATTTAAAAACAAGATACACCCTGTTTTCATGAGAAAAGGAAGAAAAAAAAGAGTAAGAAAGAAAAGAGTGGAGATGGTTGTAGGGTTTATTTTGTTGTTACTCAGATTGACCAATTGAAATGGCCTACGCTAAGTTTAAAGTAAGGGTAGAAACGAAAGTTAAGATGCAATCATACATAAGGGATCATGAGCCACAGATTTAGAATCATAGATGACATCTAGACATTGTATATGGTTGAATGTAAATGGCTACAATGTTGTACACTAGATGACATCATTTCCTAGGAAAGCTGAAAGGTAATCTAACAAGATACTTGAAAAAACATTCCCGATGAGTTAAAAGAAAAAAAATCTCATTTATAGTTGGAAATAAACAGGCTCTTTAAGAAACTAATGAGGAGTTTAAACATATAGATCTAACAAAATTATTAAAACATATACATCTAACAGAATTATTGAACATATAGATCAAACAAAATTATTTATAGATCAACCACCGATTACTAAATTTGTCTGTCTGAAGGGATATGGTGCCTTTGGTCAAATATTTGATTTCATCTTATCGTTCTTAACAAATCGTGTATTTAAGGTAATGGTGAACACCCACTGTTCTAAATCCATTCATATTAATGTCGGGTTCTCCGAAGGCTCTATCCTTCCCTTGTTTCTAATCTTCATGAACGACCTTCCCAAAGTCATCAGTTACCAACTCACTATTTTTGCTATTTACTCCTGTCTTTTTTACTTTTTTTAATGAATTCACCCCAAGTAAGGCAGTAATGCCACTAAGACACAAGAGAGTACTGGGAATGAAAGGGAATAAAAAAGACTTTAGAAGGACCTGGAACCCCAATCATGAACTACTACTGTTCAAAAGACTAGGGTGAAGTGTGAGCTGGATGACAGGTGAACCTATTTACTTCTGTTGAGGGGGGAAAAATTGTAAGTTAAATTCCAGATTTCAGGCAGGGATGTTAGAAGTATTAAGCTGAAGTAGACTTTAGAAGGAACCAGAAACCTGATCCTAAATAGGAAAGAAGGGATAAAACTCTACTGTTCAAAAGATTGGGGAGGAGTGTGAATTGAATGATAGGTGACCCTTAATGATAGGTGACCCTTAATGATAGGTGACCCTTAATAGCAAGTCTAATAGTTCTGATAAAATAAAACTAGCAGCTGATCTACAAAATCACAATCTGGGATAAGAAATGGCCTGTAAAATTTAATGGTTTCAAAATAATCTTAACAATTTTTGCCTTCTATTAGCATGGGTGATGCTAACCTCCAGGAGAGTGACTTATTGCACCTTTTTGGACTAACATTTTAGGCTGACATGAAGTGGAAAGAATATATTGAATCAACTGCTAGGTCCTTCTGCTAGGAAGATTGATTCACTGCGTTGTGATAGACAAATTTTCTTGTCAGAGTTCATCTTGCGCATTTATAAATCTACCATTCGTCTGTCCATTGAATATTGCTGCCATATCATGTCTGGTGCTTCTGCGATATATGTTGACATTCTTGATAAAATCCAAGGAAGGTTCTGTAATGTAATTGATCCTAACTTGGCATCTCAACTTCAGTCACTGCTAACCTCCAGGAGAGTGACTTATTGCACTAACATTATTTTGGACTAACATTTTAGGCTGACATGAAGTGGAAAGAATATATTGAATCAACTGCTAGGTCCTTCTGCTAGGAAGATTGATTCACTGCGTTGTGATAGACAAATTTTCTTGTCAGAGTTCATCTTGCGCATTTATAAATCTACCATTCGTCTGTCCATTGAATATTGCTGCCATATCATGTCTGGTGCTTCTGCGATATATGTTGACATTCTTGATAAAATCCAAGGAAGGTTCTGTAATGTAATTGATCCTAACTTGGCATCTCAACTTCAGTCACTGCGATGTGGCTTCCCTGTTTTTACCATGAATATTTTTATGGCAATTGTTCTAATGAGCTTTCTGCCTTTGTACCTTGACCACATGAATTTAGATGTCATACTAGATTGGCAATTAGGTCTCATTATTTTACTGTTGAAATAGCTAGTAAGAACTATAAGTTCTATTCTAATAATTTCTTTTCTCACACTTCTCACCTGTGGAACTCTCTTCTGTGTTCTTGCTTTCGTGTCTCCAACAATCTTCAGAAGTTTAAATGCAACATCACTCATCATTTTATGTCTTTTTAATTGATGTGTCAAATGTGATAATATTATGGTTTTAAAAGTGGACATTTTAAAAATATATATTCAAAAATATATACAAATATATTAAATTTGGTGTATTTATGCAGCAAGAATTCTTTTTAAAAAGTTTTGTTGAACAATTTTGACAAGATCTGTAAGTTCTATTCTAATCATTTCTTTTTTCACACTTCTCACTTGTGGAACTCTCAACTGGCTTTTTGCTTTCCTGTCTCCAACGATCTTCAAAAGATTAAATGTAACATCAATCATTTTATGTCTTCCTAATTGTATTGATGTGTTGAATGTTATAATATTATGGCTTTAAGAATGGACATCTCTGGTGGCAGTGTTCCCCCCCCTTATAATTTTAGTGGTGCACATATTTATGTTTTGTCCTCCATTGAACTCTGAAGAGTGAGGAGTGATAACCAGTTAGCTTCTGTTTTAGTTTTTTGTTTTTTCAATTCACGACTTTATGGTAGGTAATATATTTTCTTATCTCTATTCTTCCTCCTTCCTCTTTGTATATATTTTGTGGATATATACATTTTAAAATGTCTATTTCTTTTAAAGCACCAATAATTTCTTTTTTACCGATCACAGATCATTTAAATGTTATAATAATATCTTTGACAGGTTCCAGCTGGTAACTTGGACCCTTTACTGTTGGAAGCAGGCACCAGATTTGTAAATACAACCTATCATGATAATGTCCTTGCGGAAATGTTTGAGTCACATGCTGCCAAAGACTTATGTCTGATTGGTCCAAAGGTAAAAACTAAGATATTTGCTTTTTTTTTAAAAAAAACAAAAACATGACTTTCTTTAGAGTGACAGTTAATGAGCTAGTCAAGCAGATTATTGTTATTTTGTAGTTAGTTTAATCTTCGCTATCTTCTTCACAAAAGTGGCCTTGTGTCAGACTAGCCTAAGTACAAACTAATATATAAAGTTCTTGCCATAAGGTAATGGTCAGTATACTTGTCAAGCAGAGCTTTACTTGTATAGCAAGTTTGATCCTCACTAGGTGCCATGCACCAGACTAAGCCTAGTCAGTAGCTTAATGCTTCACAGTTTAGTCTTGCAGACTATAACACTTTCACTGTTGCATTGTTATAGCATTGTTGCATGGCTGTGCTGGCTCCTTTTAGTTAAAATAGAAAAATTACTGGAAATTAAAAATGATGATGCTGATGTTTTTTTTTTTTTATGGACGCCGACATTTTGGTTTCGATCAGATACTCGGCATTACAGACTAAGCTAAAAGACACTGCCATCACAGAGTATAATAAAAACTACATCACAAAACATTGTTTCTTATAGTTATCAACAAAATTCCTGATGTCATTCGTTCTTAACGCAGTATTTATGCTGATGACACAACTATTTATCTTATTTGCAGAAGTTGATTGAGGAAATTATAATACTGTGCACTGTGGTTTTAGATGTCTTGAAGGCGTTCAGCAGGGTTTTCACATGATGGCCTACTCCACAAGCTCATGGGCTACAGTTTCTCTGCACAAATATTTGGTTTTATCCAGTCATTCCTAATAAATCATGTAATGAAGATCATGCTGAATTGATACACTTCTAGGTCATTCAACATTAACATTTAGCACTTTACATCATTTATAAATATTACTCCCCCTTTTACTGCATATGAAATCCGCTCAAAATATACTGTTTTATATATTAGTTCTATATCTATTTAAAATTGTAGTAGCCTGGCTCTCATTTTCAGTCAAGGTTATTTGAGGTGTTGCTATAGTAGGTTATGACTACACAACCAAGAAATTCAAATTCAATTTGCATTGGCAAAACTAACATTTTGCTTGGTGAAAATACTCATCTACAGAATGCTAAAGGTCTCTATCCTTGGACCTACATTTTTTTCTTCTCTTCATCAAGGACCATCCTAATGTAATCAGTTCCCAATGCAGTATTTATGCTGATAACACAGCTGTTTATTCCTGTCTTAATAGTAAGTCCGATAGGTCTGACAAAGTAAAACTGGCAGCTGCTCTCAAAAATGACCTCCAATCAGTGGTTAATTGGGGCAAAGAATGGCTTGTAAATTTGAACACCTCCAGGACAAAACTGCTTTCATTTAATCACCCTAGAGAACCTTTTCTGACTGCCATCTGGCTGATGCTAACCTCCAGGAGAGCAACTGTTTGCTCTTTCTTGGATTCATGTTTTCCACTGACATGAAATAGAGCCACTATATTGAATCAATTGCTAGATCTACTGCTAGGAAATTTGGTTCACTGTATAACGCTGACAATTTTGCTTGTCAGTATCCATCTTGCAGATTTATAAATCTACGATTGATTGTGAATTGGATATTGCTGCCATATCTCATCTCGTGCTATATATCTCTAGATTCTAAATAAAATCTAATGAAGAGTCTGTAATGTAATCGATCCTGACCTGGCATCTCAACTTCAGTCACTATTCCATGAATATTTTCATAGCAATTGTTCTAATGAACTTTCTTCCTTTGTACATTGACCAAATGAATTTAGATGTCATACTAGATTGGCAATTAGGTCTTATTATTTTACTGTTGAAATAGCTAGTAAGAACTATAAGTTCTATTCTAATAATTTCTTTTCTCACACTTCTCACCTGTGGAACTCTCTTCTGTGTTCTTGCTTTCCTGTCTCCAACAATCTTCAGAAGTTTAAATGCAACATCACTCATCATTTTATGTTTTTTTAATTGATGTGTCAAATGTGATAATATTATGGTTTTAAAAGTGGACATTTTAAAAATATATATTCAAAGATATATACAAATATATTAAATTTGGTGTATTTATGCAGCAAGAATTCTTTTTAAAAAGTTTTGTTGAACAATATTGACAAGATCTGTCTGTCCAATATAGAAGCACCTGAGATTTGTATCCATATGAGATGACATTTATATTGGAGATTTTCATTCTCATAGACACACTGCCTTCATTATGGTTAAGGAGCATTTGTTTTAATTAAATTATTATGTCCCTCAAGGACACATTGGACAGTGGATCAAAGTGTTGGTTGTGTGATCCAAAAGTGTGTTGACCCAAAGAGTTGAGAGTTCAATCCCTGGCCACAGTAGAGGTGAACAAAAACTTGTAGAGTTGAGTTACTAAAGGGAATTAACAGAAACTGAGATATCCAGAAAAGGTATGGTACGTGGAACGAGAACAATCTACCCCAGTGGACGAAATAAAAGGTTTGGTTCAAAGTTTCAGTGTATTTTATCGAAAGAATGCCGGATGAAACATTAATGGATGAAACATTGTGAATATAGCAATAAAAATGGGGACAACAGACCAAACAATGTAAATATGTTTAATCATGTTTTAAGATTTTTTTAAAGTTGCTTATTTTGTTTTGTAAATGGATTTTCTTTTAATGTTTTCTCTTCTTTTTTTTTTTTTTTCTTTTTTTTTTGAAAGGGCTGTGGTAAAAGTATCCTTGTGCAAAAACTGGCCGATTGTCTTGGATATCATGTCGAACCCATCCACCTTCATCAGGTAAGACTAAATGTATTGAATTATGAGGTTTGATCAAAAGTTTGTTCAGTCGATGTTATTCAGTGACATTAGGAGTGTTTAGCTTTAATGTATTTGATCCAAAATAACTTCTTTCCAAATTTTTGATATGAAGAATTCACAGTTCAACTAATATCCTCATCTTTGTTGTGACGATCACAATGTTTGTGATCACATTGGTGTATTATGTCAGGACTGTACTGATTAGATGATTTTTGTCTGAATTTCTGATTATTAATTGATTGATTTGCTTTTTAAGGCTTATCAGCCATTTTTAGGTTATTTAAAGCCAGAAAATATTGTTAGATTATAAGAATTTGGGTGGGGTGATAATCATGATTTACTGGTGAAAGTTCTGCTAATTAACCCATAGCTGGGGGCAAAGATGTGGATTTTGCACGGAAATAAATATAAGAAACCTGACTGGAATTGGATCTTGCCTCTCTGATTTCCAATTCCAATATCCATTACATTACACTACCACACATACAAGCTTACAGCACCTGATATTCCCAAGTGGTCACCCAACTAGGTACTGACCATGTTCAATGTTGCTTAACTTCAGTGATTGTACAAGAACCAATGTTTCAATGTGATATGGTCTTACGCCATACTACCTGCACAACCAAGCTTACAGCACCTGGTATTTTCAAGTGGTCACCCATCTAGACACTGACCTGACTTGATGTTGCTTAACTTTGTTGATTGTACAACAAGGACTAGTGTTTCAATGTGATATGGTCATAAGCCATACTACTGGCACATCCAAGCTTAGAGCACCAGGTATTTCCAAGTGGTCACCCATCTAGGTAATGACCAGACTTGATGTTACTTAACTTTGGTGATTGTATGAAAACTGGTATTTCAATATGATATGGTCATCAGTCATATTACAAGTACATCCAACCTTACAGCACCCGGTTTTCCCAAGTGGTCACTCATCTAGGTACTGACCAGTTTTGATGTTGCTTAACTTTATACATTGTACGAGAACTGGTGTTTCAATGTGACATGACTGGAAGCCCTGAAATTTTGTGCTGAGGAATTATCCTTATTTACATTATTTAAAGTTTAACTAATATCCTCATCTTTGTTGTTTATGTGACAACATTTTGGCTGTTGTGCTCTTTGGTCTTCCTCAGGTATCTGTCAATCCAGATAAACTTCATGAAATTTTGAACTGATCCCTTTATTTAATCAACAGATTCTATAGAAACTGTGATTGTAAATTTATATCTCGAGTCCCATGACATATCTCCTTTATATCTTCCTGAAATTGTAAAACATATCTGCTATAGTAATTGTACTCCTGATGAAGGCATAGAATGAAATGGTCGGAACATTGTAATAAAAAAAAAACAAAATGAGATCAATAAACTGAAACGACTCTTGGAATGATGTTAACTCTTCTTGAAATTATAAAATATATCTGCTATAGAAATTGTATACCTGAAGAAGGCATAGAATGAAATATCTGAAACATGGTAAAAACAAAACTGAATAACTTTTGGAATGATGAAATACATCTGCTATAGAAATTATGCATCTGAAAAAGGGTTCATGTTGAAATACTGGTTCTCATCTGATCACCAAAGTTAAGCAATGTTGAACCTGATCAGTACCTAGATGGGTGACCACATGGGGAATACTAGATGCTTTAATTTTGGATGTGCAGGTGGTGTAATGTATAATGGCTTGAAATGAAAATTCCGAGAGCCAAGTTCAAATTTCCATTGGGCTCATTACATTCACTTACGGGCAAATACCCATGGGAAAGATATAAATTCGCTTCTTTTCCTCCTAGCACTGGGTTTTTAAATAGTAAGTCTTGTATCAGAAAAGCATTATCTCAAAAGAAATTCTTATCATCCAAAAATATGTTTTGGCTTTAAATAACCTTAAAAAAGCTTGATAAGCTGTAAAAACGAAACAAAAAGAAACATCTGAAGATGGCATATAATGAAATGTCTGAAACATTATGGTAAAAACAAAGAAAATGAGAGCAATAAACTGAATGACTCTTGAAGTTATGGGGTTTATTCTTCATATTTTGCTCATTATGTTGCTTTGGACAAGATTGGTTTATTTCTACAGGGTGGGAGGCTATTTAAAGCTGAAATATATTTGGATTGTAACAATATTTTATTTGCAAGCAAATATTGCATTAACAATTTATTTTGAAAATAACAATGATCTTTCTTGATACAAGTCATACTATTTAACTCATAGCTGAGGGAAGGAGATGATTTCACACCTTTTCCAAGGCTATTAGTGTGTAAGTGTGTTGGTTCCAATCTGCTAGGAATGATTGCAAAATACTTTTCCCTTCCCAATTTATATGCAAACCCACATGCTGGGATTTCTTCCTAGCCAATTAAATAGGCCGGTTCTTGGTTTCATCTGACTCAGTCCCGATCTGTCTTGCCTTATTACTCTTAATTTGCTTTGCATATATTTTTTGCTTGTCTTATATTATTTTTTTTGACCTGCTTTTTTCTTTTCTTTTTCTTGTTATTTCTTATTGCAAACTTTGTCAGTTCTGTTTGTTCAGTTGTTCTGCCAATTATTTACATTTAGACATGATCACTCCCACTACGCATAGCTTTCCCAAGAGTATTTAGGTGTAAGTGAATGTAATGAACTGAACTTGAATTTGAACTCGGCACTCAGATTTCTCATTCCAAGTGATTAGTTTTCTACACCTTATCAAGGTCGATATTTAAAGACAAAATATTTTTAGAATTTAAGAATTTTTTTTTTTGTGGGTGGGGAGATAATATTTTAGTGATGCAAGTCTTACCCATAACTAGGGGGAGAACAGGTGAATTCATACCTTTCCCAAAAGTATTTGTACATATGTAAATATAATGAACCCAACCTGAATTGGAACTCTGCTTGCCAATTAACAATTCCAAGCCATTATCCATTATGCCACCTGCACATCCAAACTTACAGCACCTGATATTCCCATTTCGAAGTGATATCCATTACAAAATACTATTGTTAAACCCAGGTTGAATCAAATAAGAACTTAGAAAAGCTACATTATTTACATTATTCGGTCTATTGTCCTCATCTTTGTTGCCATATTTATTACAACGTTTCGGCCGTTGTACGTTCCGGCCTCCTTCAGGTGGTTGGAATGTCGAACTGAATCCTTTATTTTGCTCACTGGGGTAGACTGTTCTAGTTCCATGTGCGATGTTTAATGGATGTCACTTATCAGTTATCGCCTGTTAATTTTCCCTCTGAAAGTTCTCAACTGCCTTAACTGGGTATTCAACTCACACTCTTTGGGTTCTGTCACTGGATCTAACCAACGCCTTTATCCACTGTGCCATGTATCCTCAGTTCGACATTCCAACCACCTGAAGAAGGCCAGAGCGTACAACAGTTGAAACGTTGTAATAAATATGGCAACAAAGATGAGGACAATAGTCTGAATAATGTAAATAATACCTCATCTCAGAAATATAGACAGATATTAGAAAGGCTAATAAATTGGTTGGTTCACAGTTTCATATGACTTAGTCCCAATCTGTCTTGTCTTGAAGTCAGAACAATATGGTCATTTGTCCGAACTTGCTTTTGTGTGTCAACCCCAATTCTTACTTTGTGAACATTTTGCCATATTACTGTTGCTTTGCCTTTATTACTCTTAATTTGCTTTGCATACATTGTTTGCTTGTTTTATATTATTTTTGGCCTCGTTTTTTTTTCTTGTAATTGTGTTATATACCGTACATATGAATATTAATGGGTTTGTCCCCAATCCTCATAAATACATTGGATACTATTGTAAGTGGGGGTAATATGCTGTCTAGCTGCTGGTGAGTATTGTATTTCGTTGATGTTATAAAGATTACCATTTTATTTCCAACCTCTGTTTTTGTTATTCCTCATTCAGTAACAATTTCTAGGTTTTAACAAATTGTTTATTGCAAACTTTGTCAGTTCTGTTTGTTGTGCACTTCTGCCATTTATTTACACGTAACCATGGTGAATATAATAAACCTGACTGGAATTTGAACTCCTGATTTTTCATTCCAAGATGCCATTATGTCACTGTATTTTTGATTATAAGAATAATTTTTTTTTTGCAAGCAAATATTACATTAATAATTTGTTTTGAGAATAACAATGATTTTTCTTGATACAAGTCCTACTATTTAACCCATATCTGAGGGAAAAAGATTGATTCATACCTTTACCAAGGCTATTAGTGTGTAAGTGAATGTAATGAGCCTGACTAGAATTTGAACTTGGCTCTCCGATTTCTCATTCTATGCCACTATCCATTGCATCACCTGCACATCCTGTCATTGCAAGAGAATTCAACTGATAAATGAAAACGCAATACAATGTCTAAAAACACTCAGACAAACTTCTTAGCACTTTGTTATTTATATGTCCCTCTTTTTTGCAGGATATGACATCACGGGATTTGCTTCAGCAACGTATGACGCACCCAAATGGCGACACATCCTGGACGCCTTCTCCTTTGGTTAGTGCTGCCTTAAATGGCAGTTTGGCAGTTTTAGATGGTGTCCATCGGATCAACCATGGATCTTTTTCTGTTCTACATAGGTGTGTTTTTTTGTGTTTTTTTTTTTCTTTTAGGGATAAAGAATTTGTCAAATATTGTCCGAGTTTCATCATCATTCCATTACTCAGTGTATTATTTTGATGGAAATCCCTTCATTTTTTTTATTTTTATTTATTTTAACAGTGTTGTGTTAGACAATTTTTCACTTCAGAATCTATCTAACATATTTATAAGTCTACCATTCATCCATGCTTTGAATATTGCTGCCACATATGGTCCGGTGCTCCTGCTATATATTTAGAGATTCTTAATAAAATCCAATGAATAATCTGTGTCATGCTAGACAATTCTCCTGAATCTATCTTATATAAGTCTACCATTTGTCCATGCTTTGAATATTGCTGCCATATCTGGTCTGGTACTCCTGATGTATATTTATAGATTCTTGTAAAATCCAAAGAAGAATCCACAATATTATTGGTCCTGACCTGGCCTCCCTATTCTTCACAAATGGACCAATTAACTTAAATAGTGCCAAATAATCTATATGCAAATAATGATCTGTCATTGTGTTAAAAAATGTCAATGTCTCAGAATCTAAATGAATTATCAGAATTTAACAGTGTTAACAAAGATAATTTCACCCAAAGATGATTTGGATCGCTAATCCATAAAATAGTTTTCTTTGTAAAGATGGATTTTTCTTTTGCCTATTTACAAGATTATATTTCTTGAAAAGTATCATTGTCGGAAATGTCCACAGGAACTGGGAATGTCATCTTTACCAAACTTTTGGTCATCAAACATTTCTATAAAAATGCAGGGAAAAAATAAGAATTGATTGTTAAATTAATTTTGTTTTTTTTGTTTTTTTTTAATTTTTTATGGCTTATCAACCCTTTGTGAGTTATTTAAAGCTAAAACATATTTTTGGATTCTAAGAACTATTCTTTTTTTTTTGCTATAAAATATTGAATTAATAATATTTTGAAAATAAAAATGATTTTTCCATCCTACTATTTAATCCATAGCTAGGGGAGGAAATGAGTTTGAATCAATTGCTAAGTCTGCAGCTAAGAAAGTTGATTCTATCTTATATATTTATAAGTCTACTGTTGGTCCTTGCTTTGAATATTGCCGCTACATCTTCTCTGGTGCTCCTGTTATAAATGCTTGATAAATCTGTGATGTTATTGGTGATAACCTGGTATCTTGGCTTCAGTCACTTTCCCACCACTGTAACGTAGCTTTCCTGTGCGTTTTTTATAAATATTTCCGTGGTAATTGTTCTGATGAACTTTGCTCTATGGCACCTAAACTTTGTGAATTTAAATGCAGTAACTAGATTGGCAACAACGTCTCAAGAAATTGACAGTTAAATTGTTCAGATCCAACCATAAGTTCTATGCAAAGGTTACAATGACAAACATGCTATTCTAACAGCGATAAACTGTTTGTGTAGTTATATAACTCTGTACCTATTTTATTCAGAAGTTTTCTTGAACTTTGATCCATTTTGAAATTCACCTTCTGTAGACATACATACAATACTTTAATCTTTTTACTGCTTCCCAGACTAATCCACGATCGCGAGTTACAGTTGTATGATGGAACGCGACTTTTGCAACAAGACAGGTATGAAGAAGTAAAAAATGTCACAGGCAAAACAGATGATGACATGAATGAAAGGTATGTATCTCTTTACTTACTGTCATTAATTTATCACTTGAATAATTAAGACCAAAAACTGTGCGATAAACGAGTGTTTTGAATTCAGTTTTCTTTCTAGACTGGCTGCCAGCAAAGGCAAATAAAACCAATATTCTTTGCTATTTAACCCATTGTTAGAGGAAAAAAGATTTATGCCTTTTCCAAGGGTATTAGTGCAAAGGGAATAACATAGACTGGGTCAGCATTTGAAATCAACACACTGATTCCATGTTGCATGCCTGTACCTGTTAAACTAGCTATGCATTTCATCCAACCAATAAAAACAGTATATTAGTTGGGTGCATTAATAACTTTAAAGTTATGATTGACTTTACTATGTGCACTACTCATATCTGAATTTACAACTGAGTCCTTTTCTGAAATTGTTTGCCCTGCCAAGGCTAAAGATACCAGTCTGCTCTCATTTATACAGGTTTAAATTTAGGGTTTTCCTTTGTGATGAGTTGCTGTATCAAAGCTAAAAAGCCCAGTCTTCCTTCTTATTTGCAGGGGTTTGAATTCAGTGTTTTTTTTCTTTCTAACATTTTCCGCTGACATGAAGTGGAAAGATTCTATTGAATCAATTGTTAGGTCTGCTGCTAAGAAAGTTGGTTATTACGTTTTGTGAGACAATTTTTCTCATGAGGATCTATCTTACATATTTATAAATGTACCATTCCTCCTTGCTGTGAATATTTCTGTTGGTGCTCCTGGTATATACTTAGAGATCCTTGATAAAAACCAAAGAAGAATCTGCAATATTATTGGTTCTGACCTGGCATCTCGTCTTCAGTCGCTTTCCAACTGCTGTAATGTTGCTTTCATGTTCCTTTTCTATAAATACTTTCATGGTAATTGTTCTGATGAACTTTCCTCTTTCATATCGAGATTTTAGGAATTTAAGTACAATACTAGATCGGCAGTAAGGTGTCATCTTTTTACAGTTGAAATAGCTAAATGTAACCGTAAGTTCTATGCTAACAGTTTCTTCTATCATACTTCTCGCTTATGGAACTTTTCCTGTTTTTTGCTTCCCAGTCAGCTTTGATTTTCAAAAATTTAAATGCAATGTCGATCGTTATTTTCTGTCTTTTTAATTGTTGTTGTTTTATTGTCTTCTCGCCTTAATATTTTTCCCGTGTTCTGTAACACTCAGTAAACCTTTGCGCCTTAGGGGCTTTATTGCCTTTGGGTTAAATGAGTAAAAAAAAACGAATTTACACTACCCATTAAGATTGACTACTAATCAAATAGAATCAGGGGGCATAACTCTTTCATCTTACGTTATTTCATTTATTAACAAAGGGAGATAACTATGTAATTTTGATACCAGACGACATAACTCATTTTTTTATGATCTCTTTTCCAGCAAAATTTTTCCCATTCATCCTTCTTTTCGGATCATTGCGTTAGCAGAACCTCCGGTGATTGGCAGCAGCAAACAACAATGGCTTACCCCAGAAATCCTGACTATGTTCCTCTATCATAACATCCGCCTTCATTCTTTGGCAGAGGAAGAACAAGTATTGAAGAATTTGGTAAGTAATATTTCATGTATATTATATCTATATATTTAGATACTCTGTTTATTTATTAAACCGCATATTTATTCATTTATTTTCGTCTACCAGCCTGAATATTCGAGAAATCTTGTTGAAGAAAAATATGCACCCTCTGGCAGCATTCAAACCTGTATACACCCTGCTTTAACCAACTCAACTACCAAGAACTTTTGCTAATCAAGCAAAGTTGAATAGTTCTTTTAAGTAAAAACTTTCTCATCATAGATTCTGGAAATAAACAGATCTACTCAGTTTTGTATCCAAATGTGAACATAGCAAATTCTAAAGAAGTAATGGATTTTTTATTTATTAATCTGACTGATTTTTATAGCTTTAAACGTTATATTTAGTGGATGCTCATATTTGAGTAGACACTCCATTTATTAAAAATAAGTATAAATACAGATTAAATAAATGGAGGGTCTACTCAAATATGAGCATTGACTAAAAATAACGTTTAAAGTTGTGTGTGTGTGTGTGTGTGTGTGTGTGTGTGTGTGTGTGTGTGTGTGTGTGTGTGTGTGTATACACATACACACACATCTCCACTTTGCATATTTTTCTATGAGATACCTCGCATATTCTGTCCAGGAGACAAAAATAAATATAAATATAGCAAAAATAAATGGAGGGTTTATTCAAATATGAGTATTCACTAAAAATAATATTTAAATTGATAAAAATCCTTTAGGATTGATAAATAAATCCATTGCCTTAGAAAATTACAATTAAGTTACTAGATTGCCTGCAAGGTCTCATCGATTTTGTCATTGTTGAAATGGCTAGATGTAACCATAAGTTCTAAGCTAACAGTTTCTTTTCTCACACTTCTCATATGTGGAACTCCATTTCAGTTCCTTGTATTCCAGTCAAATTTGATCTTCAAAAACTTTGGATGCAATAATAATCATTATTTTCTGTCTGTTTAATAGATCTTTTATTGTTTTCTTTCCTTAATTTTTTTTTCTCATTCTCTCACACTTGGTCACTCATTGCATCTTAGTGGCTTCATTCCCTTGCTTTGGATGAAATGATTAAAAGTATATAAAAAAACATGATTTAATCTTTCAGTTTTTATCTACTGGCATGAATAATTGAGACTATGTAAATGCAGATTCAACTCCAGCTGTAGAGGGCATATTGATCATTTCTTTTTTCTTTACATGGCAGGTACCAAATTGCCCGGATATGACCAAACTATTGGATTTTGTTCAGAAACTTCGAGCTTCTTCAGATTCTACTGTACGTATCAATGCAGAATTATCTCCCTTTTATACTTTTTATGTTTCTCATAAATAAAATATATATATATATATATACGGGATTAATACAAATATAAAATTTGTCACTTAACTGATTGATGTTATTTTCAGCATCATAATTCTAGAGTTTTGTAGCAATCAGTCCGTCCACTCGTCTGGAGACACCAGCAATTCACTGTTTATTTTCTCATTTTTATATTGTATTAAAACTTTTCATTGGTGCAAGCTTGATTTTTTGTTTCTACTTCATTCATTGTGTATGTATGGGTGCGTGAATATGTCTGCTTGAACACATGTATGTATATACAATTATAGATTAAAATTAAATATATATTTATTTATTATTATTAATCTATAATTTACAGCTCTGTTGTTTTACATTGAGCACTATTTTATTAACACCAGCACTCAATGTGCAATATTATATATATACATACACACACACACACACACACACACACACACACATATATATATATATATATACATATATATATATATATATATATATATATATATATATATATATATATATTTGTCCTTAACTGATTGATGTTATATTCAGCACATCTACACCAGTGTTTCGTAGATGAACTTTTGTGTAATTGTTTCGGTCCATTTGTCAGGCAGATGTCTATCAATTTTCTTATTTTTGTTATTTTTATATTGAGTTAAAAGAAATAATTTATGCACTTTTTTATTAATGTTGGACATTGAGCTCAACACCCATCAGTATCAGTCTGTTTCATGCTTAAATGCAATCTGCAGGCCATCAAATTATGTTCTTTGTCCTGGGTATGATGATACACTACATCTGCGTCCTGGGTAAGACAATAAACTACGTCCAGCAGCAAGGCCTCTGATCAGGAGGTTTTGTGGAACCACCTCTTAATTGCTGGTGTTCCCAGGTCCACCCTGATATTGGGTGGTAGCACCTGTTAGGGTCCCAGCAATGGGCAAATAGTTAACCCTGAAACTGGGCTAAAAACACTATGAAAGTGTAAAAATAGGTTTTAATACCAGAAATATTTTAAAAAATTATTACCAGAAATAAATTTTTGAAGAAAAAAATATCACCAACAATGTTTTTAAAAAATAAATATTACTAGCAATACATTTTTGAAAAAAAATTATCAGCAATACGTTTTTGAAGGAAAAATATTACCAGAAATAGATTTTTGACAAAACAAAATATTACCAGCAATAATAATTTTGTCGGCATTAAATAACCCATTGAGGTTGATATGCTGTAAAAAAAAAAAAAACAAAAAAAACCCAAACCAAACCAAATTATGGTCTGAAGATTGTGTTTAAGCATTAAACAGACTGTCACCTCTGGGTATTGACTTCAGTGTCCACTTTTATATTTACATATGCTTTATCCCTGATATTAACCACTTTAACTCATAAACACAGCAAACCTTAAAACTATATTTTTATCATATATATATATATATATATATATATATATATATATTTGAATAAAAACAGACCACTTTAAGGTTCCATGTAATAAGTTATTTCAACACAAACCCTTTAACAGGGCTCTGGATCATCAGACTTTACTTCCTAAGGTTGAAATGAAAAACATCAACCTTTTGGAAGTAAAGTCTGATGATCCAGAACCCTGTTAAAGGGTTTAGGTGAAATAACTTATTACATGAAACCTAAAGTGGTCTGTTTTTATTCAAACATATCGGCTCTGAATTTTACATTGAGCTCTCCGGATATCATCCTCCTTGGGTCTACCCATGCGGATTACCTAGTTTTGCATAAACTAAATATATATTTAAATAAAAAGAAAGAACAGTAAGATATGTAATCTGGTGTTCTTATTAATATTTTGAGTCAGGAGAGTAGTGGGATAGAGTAAAAGAAGTACATTGACAACTAGGAATTATGAGTACTTAAAAAAAATATATAGGGAGTAAAAAAACACCCATGTGACCAACACATGTTTAAAAATGCACTCTTGTATTCTGTGTGGGTCTATTCTCAAGATACTGAATCTATAGCTGGCCACTTGTATTCAAGAATACCTGTCTACTAGGGTGGCTAGCCAATCCCTATTGCAGACATTTGTTCAAGCACATTTGTGTTTGTTCAGAACCCACAGAACCCACTTGTGGTTTATTATTATTAAGCTGAGCAGACCTTAGTTACAGTTTCTGGGAAAGAACATGTTATCTAGCATGATCGACAATCTGATCAAGTCCGGCATGCTCAAATCCTTGGTCATGATGACTTGTGACTGTGAGCTACCACAACAATCAATGGTCCCCAATGGTACTATCTATCCAGTTTCACTCACAAGTCTTAGGTCAATCCTTGGTATGGTTTTCAGACATTTTCCAAAAGTGCCACACACTGGGATCACCTCCTCCAGACTGATAACATCTAGAAGTTACCTTCCTGACAAAATCAACCCCCGGTGAGATTCAAATCTTCTAACCACTTGGCTACATGCTCATTCTCAAGATACTGAGTCAGTTATGTGCCATGTGTGATACATGCCTAGGTGATCATGTATCTTTTGATACATGACTGACAAGGCAGATTTTATTTCCTGCAGTAGGTTGCCATTACTTTCTGCGGTAGACCAGTTGCCATCCAAGGCTATAGAACCCGGTCTGTCCTGCTATTTACCCATAGCTGGGGAGAGAAGAAGAGGAGTCATACCTTTCCCAAGGGTATTAGAACGTAAGTGAATGTAATGGATTTGACTGGAATTCGAACTCGTTTCTTCGATTCCTCATTCTGAGCTGCTATCCATTACTCCATGGTGAGTACCATTGTGCTAAAATGCTTGTCACATTTTTAGTACTACTATACAAATGCACTTTTACATTCTGTGTGCTGCTGTCCTCATGATATTGAGCACTGTATGCAAAAAAAAAAAAAAGGAAAAAAAACAAAAGAGAAACCCTATAATTGGTGGTGGGGAGATTAATTTATACCCTTCTTAAGGGTATTTGTGTGTAAGTGAATGTAATAAACCTGACAGAAATTTGAACTCAGCTTGCCAATTTTTCATTTCAAACTACTAACCATTACACTATCTACACATCCCCTGAAATGCACATATTGGGCATAAAAAACCCAAGACAATTAAAAATAAAAAAATTAAATTAAAAAGAAAAAGTTATCTTTTTCTAGGTGTCTTCCCTGGCTTCATCATTATCAACTCGACAACTTCTGAGGATTGCTCGTCGACAGGCTGTGTTCCCCAGTGAAGACCTTGGCTCGGTCATTGAGAAGTCATGCTTGGCAAGGTAAGTTTCTTAACAGCTGACGTTTCGACAAACTCATATCAGAAACTTCATGTTTTCATCATTTTTGCAAATATCGGTTTTATTTATTAGAATACAGAGCCCAAGCGAAGTGTGTGAATTTCCTGACAATTTAAACTTGTGACTAGAGGAAAAGAGAGAGATTAAAATTGAGTTTTTGTGACATCCAATCAAAAATTATGAATAATATGAATTTGTTTACATGTTGCATGTATGTTTTTACCATCCATCCATCACCAATGGATACTACCTGACACTTACTACTGGGAGGTTGGGGCTGGAGCCTGATTAAGGGCCCCGGGCAATGCTTTGTGTCCCTCACTATCAACATCTGCTTTTTTCTACTTACCTTTATATATGTTACAAAATAAACTGAGCACAACTGATTATTAAGTTGCCAGCTATACGTTTCTGAAAAAGTAATGTTGCCAGCTATACGTTTAATAGTATATATTTATTTATATATATATATATATATATATATATATATATATATATATATATATATATAATTTTTTATGTAACCTCATATACATACTTAAACTTGATGTTAAAATAATCCTACATAATATAATGGATTCTAATACATTTAACTGTTCTTAAAAAGAATATAGTATAATAAAATTAAAAAGGAGAATATTTCAAATCGTAGTTAAAAAAAAAAAGTATTATGATCAAAAAACCCCCAAAAATCTTTTAAATTTATAAAAGAAAAAAATGACATTGAAATTTTTTTACCGTTAACAATAATTTTTTTTTTTTTTTTTTTTTTTCAAAAATCCAGACGACATCCATTCAACTGATGTCAGGTTTCATTGTAAAATACATCCCTACCCTTACCAAATTGTAGCTAATAACTGATACAATGATACTGACATAAGGAAAATCTAGACATCCCTTGTTCAATTTAAGTAGAATATTCTGTAACCATGGAAACGTGATTTTAGCTGTGTCTTTAAAAACCCGTAATTTTTGAAAGTTACTCCAAAATTCGCTTGAAGATGAAATGGAACTAATGCTTTTAATTTAATTGCAAAATTAAATTCGGGGTTTTAGCTTCTATTTTTGAAACATGGTTGGAACTGTAGTAAAAAAAACCATATTTTAAATCAATTAATTTATAATATATATATATATATATTTTTAATTTCGCATTAAATGACCTACAGTGGTTGATATGCCATAAAACCCCACCAACCAACCAACCAACCAACCAACCAACAACTGATTATTAAAGGAAGAAAAATTTTGGCTGATTTTGATGACATTCTGGAGGGGGGGGTGTCCAAATCCATGAATTTGTTTTGTTTTGCTAAGTCTCAAAAATACACCATATAAAATTCATTATTTTTTATCCATAATGTTGAAGGCATTAAAATTATACAACCCTTTAATAAGAAAAATCTCCAGTTTATGCTAAAAATTTCGGCATTGTTGATTTCATTTAAGATGTAATGATCTATTATGACATGTCTCTAATTTGTATTTAGATAGATTGTATTTAATTTCAATTTTTCTAGTTGAATTGTTTACCTATATTAAATATGATCCATTATTGTACATGATTAGCTTGCAGTAATATTTGTATTTAATATTAATACTACCTTATGAAATTTGAGATTTAGTAGACGGTGGTGTTGGGGGGTGTATCATAAATTCAATGGGTATCATAGATTTGTAGAGAGGGCATAAGACTCTTGTACCAACCCTGTATCCATCCATCTATGTTCCTCTCTCTCTCTCTATATATATATATATATATATATATATATACACACACATACACACACCCTTTTGCAAATTAATTGAAACAATTGCTTCAGTTTGACAGGGTGTAATCAATTTCTATTTTTTCACCAGATTAGGTCATTTGCAGTGGTGTGCAGTAATATGAATCTATTTTTGGGCTGTATGGTGAAATTTGTTTGGCTTTGAAAACTACTATGTCATCCGTGATTGTATTAGATTTTCATCATGCCTAGACACTAATGTCTCGACTGTCGATTAGTTGTCCTAGGGCCATTGTCTGCAATGGACGTTACTCCAAGGAAGCATATGAAAATTATAATGCTGCATGAACACAATGGCAAGCATTACCAGTGAGTAAATCAAAGTACTATCGACTGGCTTGGAAACTGTCCTGATTTAAATCCAATCAAGAATCTGTGGTCAATTTGCAAAGAAAGACTTTGTGGAATGGACATACGAAGTACTAACATATGCACTAGTTCATGTTTCACTGGAAAAATAGGAAAAAAGTAAATAATGATGGTATTATTTGTTTTGTTTCAATTAATTTGTACAAGGATGTGTGTGTATGCATGCATATATATATATATATATATATATATATATAATTAAATAGGTTGTTTAATGAAATTTGAAGGATAAAAAGCCAACAAAATGATACCAATGTTGTCAATAAAATTGATATTTATTAAGATTTTGACAAAGTATGAAGAGATAAATTTTATAGTTGGAATTTTTTAACATGCCTGTGTTCTTTTTCAATGATGTGTGGAATAAACAAAGAATTAGGACTTACTCTTTCAAGGAATGTTGTTGGTTGGAAGTCTCCCTGTGGAAGTTATACCCTCTGATTAAACCCAAATCCTTGTTTAATCCCCTCAATGTTTGAATTTATTTTGAAAATAAATTTCAACTCTGATCTATGTCTTGTTTCTCGGCTGTTGAACAAGACACCAAAAGCCCACATCTGATGTCATCTGCATTATGCTATGGTAAATTAAAGTGTTTTGCAACTGGGGAATTATTTTTGTTGTCCCTGATGGTTTTCTTATGGTTGTTTAATTGAAGTCAGAATTCTGTCCCTGTTTCTCCCACATAATTACCTTGGCACTTGTAGCAAAAAAGGAAATGTCCAAGATTTGAAATATTACAATTTAAAGCCAGTGGTTTGAATACTATGTGAAGGCTGCTGGGTGTGTAACTGCTATTAGTGATGATATGTTTACAGAATTGTGATCAGGGTTTGTTGCAGGTCATAATACCTTGGTGAGATATGTATACAGGATGTGGTTAAGAGTGTGTGTAGGTTAGGGGTGCTGGTGTCTAGGGGGAAGTGTGTTTTCGTTGAGTATTTTTCCAATTATCTGGTCAAGTTTTAAATACTAGAAATGATATAGAATCAATATTAAATAATATGTAGTAATGATCAGCATCAAGCCATCTATAACTATATCTATATCTTTCTTTCTCTCTCTCTCTCTCTCTCTCTCTCTCTCTATATATATATATATATATATATATATATATATATATATATATATAATCAATATTAAATAATATGTGGTATTGATCAGCATCTATTCACTCTAAAAAAAAAAGGTGCCTTTAAGAAAAATACTTGTAAAATCTCCAATATTATTTAGAATGCTAGAGAACATTTGTCTGCAAGCTTTGACACGATACAAAGCACAAAATAACAATCAAATGATGACTGTCTCATCTTTTGAGATCTTTTTCAATTATTTTCCGTTTGATCCAATTTGAAAAAGAAATTTTTATTAGAATGGATTTTAATTAAAGCATGATATCATTATGGAAATTAGTGTAATTTTCAGCCATCAAAATTCAAAATATTACAAAAGGATGTTGAAAAGTTCTCAGCCCAGCACACTTCTCAAAATCTGGCCAAAACCCAGCATTTTTTTGTTTAATTCCTTTTTAGTCAGGATGAGAACTTTTCAGCAACGTTTAAATAAACACTATCAGCTTGATAAGCATCAATAGATAGATTTATAATAATTTTGAATTATACTTATATTAACCTTATGAATTTTTATAGTAAAATCATTAGCAATAAATTTCCATTATATATCTAATAGCCCTATTCTATCAGTAATGACAATCTCTTTCTTCCTGATTTTCAATGCGTTTTTATAGTAAAATCATTGGCAATGCATTTACATTATACATATAATAGCCCTGACAATTCTATCAGTAATGCATTGCATTCATTCCTGACCACTGACAATCCCTTTCTTCCTGATTTTAAATGATTTTTTCAATGCATGCATTTTTATAGTAAAATCATTTTTAATGCATTTACATTATGACATGATAATCCCTTCTTCCTGATTTCAATGCATTTTTATATCAATAATGCATTTTCCATTATATATATTTGCATTCATTCCTGACCACTGACAATCAACTCTCAACTAACCACCATCAGATAAGCATCAACAGAAAATAGTCCCCCATAAATTTAAACTGTCTCTTCCTGATGCCCTTTGAATATATTTCACTATAGAATTTGGTCTGTGAGATAAGCTTGTCAACTGTAATGTTACCGTTGGTGCCCTATTAAAATGTATAGACTTCAGGCAAATTAAATACAATTCTTTTGTTCATGTTAAAATATTTGCAGGTTTCTCCCCAAAATTGCTCGTTCAGCACTGGATCAATGTTTGGAAGAATCTGGAATTGAAAAAACAGGTGGAGATTTGATTGAAGATGTGGAAAAAGCCAGAATTTGTAAGTCTGTCTTCATAAAGCTTCTTTGAGTTGTTACAATTACAATGCTTCAACTATTCTACCTTCCAGCCTTCTTCTGATATATGTCATATTTGGTAATCTCTTGGAAATTATCATTATTATACATGATGTGCCCTCAAAAATTGACAACATTGAAAATGTGAATATCTGAGTAACTACATGTTCCAGGCAAACAAAATTAAATAGGTTTCATGTTGAACAATAAAAGATTTATTGATCAAAATTTGAACAAGATATTCAAAAGGCTGTAGATTTTATAACCTATTTCACAAAGCTACCAAATGCACACAACCTGTAACACGGCACAAGTCAAGTCGATAGTCCAACTCCTACCAAACATGTTGTAGCATGTCTTGCATAACATTCTCCAGTACCTCAGTGATTCTCTGCTTAACTTCCTCTGGGCTTGTAGAAAATAGGGGATATAGACCTGTCCTTTCACATAGCATGATAGAAAAAAATCCCAAGGTGAATATGGTGGCCATTTAAACAGTACATTGTCATTATCTCTGGCATGCTTGATCCATCTTCCTGGTAGATTCTCAATAAGTCTGCAGAGACAAAATTTGAGATCATTTGAGTGATAATTGGACTGCAAAATGATATCAATTTTTTTAAACACCCTGTACATTAATCTGTTCAAACTAGTATCCTCATCTTGCTTGTTATTGTTAAAATGCTTCGACCATTCTACACTAAATCCTTCTTCAGATGTATGTCATATTTGGTAATCTCCTAGAAATTATCATTATTATACATTAATCTATTCGGACTAGTGTACTTATTTTAATTGTTACAATTACAATGCTTCAACCATTCTACTCACAAGCCTTCTTCAGATGTATGTCATATTGAGTAATCTCCTACAATTTATCATTATTATACATTAATCTGTTGAACTCTGTACTCATCTTGGTTGTTACTGTTACAATGTTTTGACTATTTAATCCTCCAAACTTCAAATTAGGTTTCTCTCATTCTACAGTCAATACTAGGGGAGATAACTCATATCACTTAATTTGCCTTTTTGGAATCAATTTTTCTTTTTCTATTGAATCAGAGCACACATGACTACTCATTGTCTGACTCAATGACATTTTTCTTTTTTCATAATATGAGAAAAAGGAAAACATTGTTAAGGAGAGAGAATAATAAAAGAAGAGGAATTAAGAGTGAAAGAGAATTAGAAGACTTTAGTGAGGGGAAAGGACAATAAAAGAAGAGGAATTAAGAAGACAGAAGATAACGATTGACATTGCATTGAAATATTTGAAGATCAAAGTTAACTGGAAAGTAAGAAGAGTGAAAGAGAATTAGAAGACTTTAGTGAGGGGAAAGGACAATAAAAGAAGAGGAATTAAGAAGACAGAAGATAACGATTGACATTGCATTGAAATATTTGAAGATCAAAGTTGACTGGAAAGTAAGAAGAGTGAAAGAGAATTAGAAGACTTTAGTGAGGGGAAAGGACAATAAAAGAAGAGGAAAAGAAGACAGAAGATAACGATTGACATTGCATTGAAATTTTGAAGATCAAAGTTAACTGGAAAGTAAGAAGAGTGAAAGAGAATTAGAAGACTTTAGTGAGGGGAAAGGACAATAAAAGAAGAGAATTAAGAAGACAGAAGATAATGATTGACATTGCATTGAAATATTTGAAGATCAAAGTTGACTGGAAAGTAAGAAGAGTGAAAGAGAATTAGAAGACTTTAGTGAGGGGAAATGACAATAAAAAAAGAGGAATTAAGAAGACAGAAGATAACGATTGACATTGCATTGAAATTTTTGAAGATCAAAGTTGACTGGAAAGTAAGAAGAGTGAAAGAGAATTAGAAGACTTTAGTGAGGGGAAAGGACAATAAAAGAAGAGGAATTAAGAAGACAGAAGATAATGATTGACATTGCATTGAAATATTTGAAGATCAAAGTTGACTGGAAAGTAAAAAGTGGGGAAAATAGAAACGGCCTACCTCGCAAACGTTCTCGCATCTTCCTGGCCTGTGGGTTGAGAAAGGAAAGAAAAGATTCAAAATGGCGTCCGTGACTTTTTAATATTCACGGTCTCGTGCAGTTTTAAAGTCGCGTTACACACATGCTAATGAGGTGTGTCTGGGCTCCATAAAAGCAGGTTGCTTGGAGACATTGGCAGACCAACATTTCACCCGATGCTTGGTGTACATCGTTTTGCGTTGCAGACATTTTCAGACGGAAAGAGTTGCGTCCCTTACACTGTTTAAGTCGACTCATTTGCTACAAGCTATTTCGCAATTATTACAGCATGGACAGATTCGACTTGAAGTTAATACCAGAGTTCGACGGCTACCCCGCTGGCCGTCTGTGGTCGAAAGTGGTGGGAAAAGGCAGCGGGTCTGCGGCTGTGTAAAATTAAAGATCCGCACTGGTTATCCCTCTTAGACTCACCAAAGGAGCTTACGCTGTGTATCAGCAGCTAAGGGATGACGAGACTTGGAGGAAATAAAACAAGCTCTATCGCGGCATTTGGTGCGGACCCTTTGTCGCCTGGAGGCAGTTTGCGAGCAACGGCTTGGACCGGATGAAACAGTAGATGTCTTTCTGGCGATTTGAGGAAGCTGGCGCACTGTTCGTGGAGCAAGCGACCAAATCCTAGGATCGCCTTTCTGGCAGGACTCCCAGACAACGCAAGTCGACTGCTTCGAGCATCGTCAAGGCTCAATGAGCTGGGGCTAGATCAATTACTGGCCAGAGCCGGAATATTCTAAAAGATGCCAGCGGAGCCGGCCTCAGCAGCTGTGGAAGCACCCGCGCCAACTGAGGACATAAGGTGCTATAAGTGTGGCGGACTGAACCACTTCTCCAAAGACTGCGAAGCCGTGCGAAGGATACGGAGACGATATGCGTTGCTACAGGTGCGACAAGCTGGGCCACGCAGCAAGAAGCTGTCCGAAAGCGGGCAAGGGGAGTAAGCTATAGCGCCAGTCTTCTCCCCAGATCGCCGCTGAACAAGGCGCTACCCGCGGTAGCGTGCGGATTAGCGGGGCGTGGCGCTTCGCGCTTGTTGACACCGGGTGCACCCAGACCCTTGTGCGCAAGGCATGTTGTGACATCGTGGGACAAGAAAAAATATTCCAGTTCTGACTGTTGGCGGGGGCTCGCTAACCTCTTGTGGAGTGAGCGTCATCCGCGCAAGCATCGGCGATGGGCCTGCAGTAGCTGTACAAGCCCTGGTCGTGGGACGGAGGGCTGCTCGGCTATGATCTGCTCCTGGGAATGGACGTCATCAAAAATTGGGTGGTGTTCGTGTTGACGAAGAGGGTCGGAGGCAGCGTTTCACTGAAACAGGTCTAGCTCTAGGTGCAGCAATGGAGCTGGAACGGCCTGACTTTTAAGGCGGAGTTCGACCAGCGCACAAAGTCCTGGGACGGTATCTTGGAAATGGTCAGACGATCAACCGCCAGAGAAGCTGTACAACAGTGTGCCGGATAAAGATCCCCCCCGAGCTCGTGCGGAGTACGACAAGGAATTGCGAGCCTGGATTAATAACGGGTGGTTGGTTCCTTATCCAGAGAAGGAATTGGGGCCCCAAAGGGCCTGATCCCGCTTAATGGCGGTTCTCCAGCACAACAAACAAAAGGTGAGGCGGTGCTCGACTATCGAGAACTGAATGAGCACGTGGACCCTTTTACTGCCAGCGGACGGTGTGTACCCGAAAAGCTAAGGGAATGGCGACAAGCAGGATCAAATGTATCTGTGCTGGATCTTCGCAAGGCATACCTTCAAGTGCGTGTGCACCAATCACTGTGGCCCTATCAAACCGTGCTTATCAAGGGGCAACGGTATTGCCTGACCCGCATGGGGTTTGGACTCAATGTGGCGCCATCGATTATGCAGATGATTGTTGACGCCATTCTAACGAAGGATGAGCGATACAGCGGGCAACATCTGCATATATTGATGACGGTACGTGAGCGAGGGAGTCGTATCTGCGGCGCGCGCGTGAAGGAGCATCTCTACAACTTTGGCCTCCTCAGCAAGGAACCAGAGAGACTACAGGATGGTGCACGGGTGCTTGGTTTGCAGGTCTGGGGAGAAGATAACGTCCTGTATTGGAAACGGGGAAACGAACTCCCAGACATGCCTCTGTTGTCTGGGCGAAGCATATTTTCCAAAAGCGGCAAGTTAGTTGGACACCTTCCTGTAGGTGGCTGGCTGCGTGTTGCGGTGGCGTTTATCAGCCGGAGAGCATCTGACGTCACCACTGGATGGGATGACGAAGTTCACGACGCCCCTCTCAACACCATGATGAAGGAGGTCCTCGCTAGAAACGCAAGGAAGACCCAGCGCGGGGCAGATGGTGCGTTGACAGCCAAGACCTCTGTGTGTGGGTTGACGAAGCTCTCTTGCAACCGGCGCGTCGATAGTTCACGATGGAGCCGTGGTAGAAGATGCTTGCTGGTTACGCCCAGAAAGGACTCCCAGCACATAAACCTAGCGGAGCTCGATGCTGTCATCAAGGGGATCAACTTGGCGATCCTCTGAAGTCGACCACCCTGCGCCTGTTCACTGATTCCGCTTGCGTTTATAAGTGGATCTCTGATACCTTGACCGGGAGGGCCAGGGTGCGGACTAAAGCCACCAGCGAGATGCTTATCCGACGGCGGCTCGACACGATCGTGAATTTAGTGCAAGAATACGCACTGACAATGGAGGTGTCCCTGGTCAAATCTAGCCTCAACAAAGCAGATTGTTTAACGAGGGTGCCGCAAAGGTGGCTTTGACGCCGCTAAGAAAGCCATTGAGCCCGTGCAACCAGCCTGCGCTATGTCCGTGAGTCCCGTTCGATTTAATCAAATCAAAGCAGTCCACCAACAAAGTGGGCACCCTGGAGTCAAGCGGACACTGTATTTCGCCAAGTTGGTTGACCCAGGAGTACAAAAGACAGAGGTCAGGAGAGTGGTCAGAAGCTGCGTGGCGTGCCAGTCTATAGACCCAGCACCCGTTCGCTGGAAGAAAGGGCAGCTGAGCGTGAGGAACCACTGGAGCCGGCTGGCGATAGATGTTACTCACCACAACGGCGAGCATTTCCTGACACTCATTGATTGTGGTCCATCCAGGTTTGCGATATGGCGACTGCTGCGTCGGCAAGATGCAGCCACTATCATCCATCAGTTAAACAGCATCTTTCTTGAGCGTGGCCCCCAACGGAGATATTAACCGACAATGGCACCGCATTCACCAGCGAGCAGTTCGAGAAGTTTGCGGATGGCTGGGGAGTGCACTTACGGTTCCGGTGCGCCCACGCACCGGTGTGGAAATGGAATCATCGAGCGGAACCACAGGACCGTCAAGACCATCGCAGCCAGGACGGGCTGCACGGTGTGAGGCGGTCTACTTATCAACGTGACCCGAAGGATGATGTCTCACCCTCACGGCGCCAGCAGACACATTGCATAGGTACCCACGTTAGAGTGAAGGGCATAGAAACCAACCCACTGACGGAACTGAAAGTAACCGGAGAGAGGCTGAAGAAAGGCGATGTCGTCTGGATTAAAAATCCGCACAGCAAGTGCACCACGAACACGGAATCGGGACGGCGTCACTGAGGTGATCAGCCCACAGGCGGTGCGAATATCGACGGTGTGCCCGTCACGTTAAGGACCTGCGTCCGTCGGCGCAGTTGCAACCACCGCTGGACGATGAGAGCGAATCGGAATCTGAGACCAGTGAGGCATCGCTCTGGTTCACGCCAGCCCCATCAGGCAGTGACTCGGATATCAGTAGCCTTCCAAGGGACGCGTGTCTTTACCCTCAGACCTCAGACAGGGAGCACTTCGATGAGGCTCGCAATTCCCTCTTGAAGAAGTACCGGCTAAGCGATCACCACCTCCCTGTCAACTCTGTGATCATGAGATCAGGGGTGTGGGGAAAATAGAAACGGCCTACCTCGCAAGCGTTCTCGCATCTTCCTGGCCTGTGGGTTGAGAAAGGAAAGAAAAAAGATTCAAAAATGGCGTCCGTGACTTTTAATATTCACGGTCGTGCAGTCATTTAGAAAGTCGCGTTTTACACATGCTAATGAGGTTTGTCTGGGCTCCATAAAAAGCAGGTTGCTTGGAGACATTGGCAGACCAACATTTCACCCGTGCTTGGTGTACATCGTTTTGCGTTGCAGACATTTTCAGACGGAAAGAGTTGGCCCCTTACACTGTTTAAGTCGACTCATTTGCTACAGAGAATTAGAAGACTTTAGTGAGGGAAAGGACAATAAAAGAAGAGGAATTAAGAAGACAGAAGATAACGATTGACATTGCATTGAAATTTTTGAAGATCAAAGTTGACTGGAAAGTAAGAAGAGTGAAAGAGAATTTTAGTGAGGGGAAAGGACAATAAAAGAAGAGGAATTAAGAAGACAGAAGATAATGATTGACATTGCATTCATTTGAAGATCAAAGTTGACTGGAAAGTAAGAAGAGTGAAAAGAGAATTAGAAGACTTTAGTGAGGGGAAATGACAATAAAAAAAGAGGAATTAAGAAGACAGAAGATAACATTGACATTGCATTGAAATTTTGAAGATCAAAGTTGACTGGAAAGTAAGAAGAGGAAAGAGAATTAGAAGACTTTAGTGAGGGAAAAGGACAATAAAAGAAGAGAATTAAGAAGACAGAAGATAACGATTGACATTGCATTGAAATTTTTGAAGATCAAAGTTGACTGGAAAGTAAGAAGAGGAAAGAGAATTAGAAGATTTAGTGAGGGGAAAGGACAATAAAAGAAGAGGAATTAAGAAGACAGAAGATAACGATTGACATTGCATTGAAATTTTTGAAAATCAAAGTTGACTGGAAAGTAAGAATAGTGAAAGAGAATTAGAAGACTTTAGTGAGGGAAAGGACAATAAAAGAAGAGGAATTAAGAAGACAGAACATAACGATTGATATTGCATTGAAATTTTTTAAAGATCAAAATTGACTGGAAAGTAAGAAGAGTGAAAGAGAATTAGAAGACTTTTTGTGAGGGGAAAGGACAATAAAAGAAGAGGAATTAAGAAGACACAAGATAACGATTGGCACTACATTGAAATTTAAAAAAATCAAAGTTGACTGGGAAGGAAGAAACCTGAAGAGAGTTCCACAAGCGAGAAGTGCAATAGAAGAAACTGTTAGCATAGAACTTACAGTTACATCTAACCATTTCAACTGTAAAAAGATGAGACCTTACTGCCAACCTAGTACTGCACTTAAATTCATAAAGTCTTGGTGCCATAGCAGAATGTTCACCAGATCAATTACCATGAAAGTATTTATAGAAAAGGCACGGTAAGTACCATTATGGCAGTGGAAAAATAACTGAAGCCAAGATGCCAGGTCAGGACCGTTAAGATTGTACATTCTTCTTTGTATCTTATCAGTTATCTCTGAAGGTCCAAACCAGATTTGGCAGCAACATTCAATGCAATGAACTTACCACAATCAGTGCTATTACTTTTGTTATGATCAGTAATACTATGTATGGTCCTGGTCTTAGGTTTATTGTCAAGAATTATAAGATTTAATCTATCGCCCCTCTTATTCTCAAAAATACCAACGCATTTTCCTTACACACAGTCTTTAAGTTTCATTCTGACCTGAAGAAAATGAACCCAACACACACTTTGGTGAAATGCTATGTTCAGAAGCTATTTCACTTTGTCTCATCATCTCCAGTTTTTTTTTTTTTTTTTGGATAATATTATGCATCTGTTACGGGGGTTGGTATTAATGTCTGAAATTAAAATATGCATACGATAACAATAATAAAAACTTGAGACACTTGTTGACATAAATAACAAGAATTAGTGTTTTCTTTTTGTGATGTGAATTACAAAATATTGGTATGGTATGGGTAAAAATGTTCTCAGTGTCTCTTTTGTTTAAAAGTCAGTGCTTACTTGGTTTGGTTCTGAGAATTTTGTTTGTGAAGATGTGTTTGAAATCATCTGTTGATCTTCACAGAGCGCTGGCTAGACATCTATTTCTGTACTGCTACTTATCTACTGACTACTGCTATGGGTACCCTAATCTACTCTACTCTACTGTTCTCTATTGACTCTCTTGTGGTGGAAGGGTCGTTCTTTATGAGGAATAGGGTTAGGATGATGAAATATCCTTCTTTTCTATCATCATCATTTAGCTTGTTAATTTTAATGTCTTTAATGTAAACAATGACAACATATAAAAATATCAATAAAAATAATGTATAAACAGAAAATATATTAAATAATTGTCAGACTTAATCTATTTCATATGTTGTCATTGTTTACGTTAAGATGTGTTTCATGAGCAGAAATGATTGATTGAGAAAAATCGTTGAAGGTTTGTGCTTATAAACAGTAAGACGCTTCTCTGTGGCTGAATGGTAACAGCATGTCAGTTCTTATAAGAAGGATTACAGGTTAGATTTCTATGAAATTTCTCAAACATTCAGGCCAGTAAATGTAATTCATACTGTATATTTAAAACCAGAGTATTTACTTAAATTATATATCTGAAGATAATGTATAAAAAGAAAATATTCAGTGCTTTCTGCATTCTGTTGAGGATTCTTCTAGACTCGATGAATTACTTAATTCTGATTATTTCAAATCCTCCTAATAATTTCTAACACACACACACACACACATTATATATATATATATATATATATATTGTGGCTGAGTGGTTAGAATGTTCATATTCTGGCCATGAGATCTGGGTTCAAATCTCACCATGGTCAATATGTCAGGAAGGGGACTTTCTGATGTCATTGGTCTGGTGGGGTTGATCCCAGCGTGCGGCACCCTTGGAAAGTGCTTGGAAACCATACCATGGGTTGACTCAAGCCATGTGAGTGAAATTAAGTAGACGGAACCCTTGGCCTGGCGATAGCTGTGCTAGCATGAAGTCACAATTCATTATGGCCGAGGACTTGAGTGTACTGGCCTTGTTCAAATTGTTGATAATGCTAGATAACACTGTCTTTCCCAGAAACTGTAACTAAGATCTGCTCAGCATAGTTGCAGTATAAATAACAGGTGGGCTCTGTGGGTGTTGAATAAACTGAAATGTGCCTAAGCAAGCGCCTGCAACAGGGATTGGCTCACCACCCTAGTAGACGGGTATCCTTGAATATGAGTGGTCAGCTATACTTTATATATATATATATATATATATATATATAATGTGTGTATTTTATGTATGCCTGTACTTCCTAATTTATTCATGCTTTATTTGTTTTAGGTGAAGTGAAAGATGGAATGGTCAAAATTCGTGATACCTCAGTTCCTGTTTTCAAGCCCAAAAACTTTACCAAGGTTCCAAACATTCTCTTTTATGAAAATCCTCAGGTAAGCTGCAATATGAGATCCATCAAGAAATGGTCCTGCTCTTTAACCTTTATCACTCTGTATGTGATTTTATTTGCTGTACAAAGCATTTATCCTGACAGTGAAGGTGACTATGATCCTTGCACAGTAGTGTGTTTGAATTTACTAGTGGTGTTGTCATATCCTGCTATGGCAACAGAAAACAACTTTGAGTGAAATTAACAATAACGATACTGCAATTGAGAGTTTTTGAAAAAGAATGTAGTGGAAAGAGTAGTAATATTAATAATGCAGAGTGCTAACAGTTAATATTAACGCTTCCATTAACCACATTGCTATAGCGTTGTTACCTGGCTGATCTTTGAGCATGTTTTTAGCATATTAGTTTCTGAGAATTCCAAACCTTTTAAAGTTTTTAGCAAGAGCTTCGGTTTACAATGTGTAAGGCTAAACTGGATCCTGAAAACTTTCTTTTTTCCTATACCATATACTTCTGGGTATAAGGCAACCTTTAAATCTTAAAAATTACTTCCCAAAATAGGGGGCGGCAATCTAATATAACAGTTAAAAAATACTAACCTTAAATTCTGTGGTGTATTGGGGCTGGTATGCTAGTATGCTTGTGCCATAGATTGCTGTAGGCAAACAACTGCCTTGGTCTGGTAACTACCGATGTAAATGTTTCTAGTTGAAACAATTCACATTATAATACTGTACTACAGTTATAAATGTAATAAAACCACTTTTGCTTGTTGATTTCACATTAAAATGCAATATTCAAGAGAGTGATGTCATTAAAATGCAATATTCATGAGAGTGATGTCATTAAAATCAATATTCATGAGAGTGATGTCATTAAAATGCAATATTCATGAGAGTGATGTCATTAAAATTCAATATTCAAGAGATGATTACACAACCATCTGCAAAAGTTCCACTGAGCAACATTCACAAATAACAAGTAACATAAACAATTTTTCATTCTTGATTTGTAGAGTTGTGTGTGCGTTCACACCAATCATTATACCTTATAGTAGTGTTAATTAACAAGGCAATCTATATTTCTAATTTAATTCATTATTTATTGTGGTGTTAAATAACAACATTTAATATAACATGCAAACTTTATTTTTCAATAACATACCTTATATGGTACTTTTTTTTGCAGTGTTAAACAATGAAACATTTAAAGATACCATAAAATCTTTATTTCTATTTAGAGAATAACAAAACATAAGACCCCCACATACATAATTACAACCCTTCAAAAAGACTATGATCATCACCGTCTGATACAAAGAGCTTATCATAAACATTGCTATTTACAGTTTCGTCATATGTCCCAGTTGGTTGTCTTAGATGTCTGTTTTTGTACTGCTACTTGTCTGCTCATCTACTGATGATATCTGTAGAATATTGGTTAGCTTGCAAATGGTCTGACACACAAGTAGATTGGTGTAGTCACTTCAAGCTGAATTTTTCACTGAGTGATTTGATGGAGAGATATATTGGTGAATAGAGTCCACTCATGCATTCATGTGTTGGGCAGGTCCATTCTAGTAAAGTAGACTAACCTACCTGCTGTACTAGGTACTCTCCTATAAATGAGTTAGAAATGAGGTAGCCTGCCTTTACAAGGAGACAGCCATGTTAGAAGGTAAGTCATTTGACTTCTACATCTCCCTCCTCTCCCCATTGCAGGAGCATAGTGGACATTGAGGAGGAATCAGTTCCTTATTGCTTGGCTGATTGTATGGGAGTAATTGGGATAATGCTCTGGGTATCCTGGTTTTTGATGGCGGTGATTGAGTAGGGCCCTGGGCTTCCAGGTCACTTTGCAAAGTAATGCCACCATTTCTTGATTCTTTGGCAGATTGATGTGGCCTACAGATATCCGTAATTGTTCGGTTTAGGGGACACAGGCAAGGCACTTGGGATAGGTGTCTTGATTACAGGTGCTTCAAGTTTCCTCAGGTATCTACAGTTCCACAGGGTTATTCTACCTGATCCTGCAACTCTAATCCTATTTTAACACTTGGGAAGTGTCTCTACTATTCATCCAGCTATATCCCATCAATGGCTATTTGGATTTTGAATAGAAACTGTGTCACCCTCACGAAGTAGGGATAGGGCATGTGCAGTATGATTGTATCTCTTGATGAGACCTGCATTATGTTTGGATAATGTCTTTCCATGTTTTTGGGCTGCAGCTATCCACTCAGAGTGTGCCTTATATAGGTGTGTGTGTGCGACGGGATAAAATCCCGAAGAAGTCTATGAAGCAGGAGTTGCACTGGTGATAAGCCAATACCTTAGATAGGGGTGTTTCTATATTGCAGGATCACTCGTGCTGCCATATCATTGTCCAAGGAACCCTGGTGTCCTGTGCAGTCCTTTATGAGTCTTTTTGCAGTTTTGACTGCTAATTCTGATCACCTGTTAGACTGGGGATTGGCCACGAATGAAACCCTTTGTTTAACAGCCCAGGTTTTTAGGAACTGTTGGAATGAGTAAGCTGAAAAGGGCGGCCCACCATCAGTACTAAAATAAAAAAATAAAATCACAAAACTGTGAAATTTTGGGTTTCATCTTAACGATTGGTTGTCTTATATGTGGAAATTTACATTATCTGAACTATAATTTTTGAGAATGAAAATTTCACTGCAATAGGTTAGAAAATTTCCAAGTTTTTATCAGAAAACATAAAAATGATGAAGATTAAGCACTAGGTGAGTCAGTGATGGAATATAATCTGCTTCAACAGAAAAGCAGAAGAATGTTTATAAATTCTCTGATAATATCTTTTCTCTCTCATTTAATTGTCACCCTCATTTGTTATTAAATTATATTCAAATTTGTTTGAAGCTTGTAGTTCTATTCCTCACCTGAAGCATCGGAAATATCATCTACACTTTCCTTTTCTTGTTTGCTGTTGGCTGAAACATCATCTTCTATTTCCTCTAAATAGGTTTAACAGTAAACACCTTCGCTCAGCCACAATTAGCAGTAACACCATGCAAAAAATGTTTTTCTAATTTGTGTTGAATATTAAATTAAAAATGTATTTAAATCTGCTTAAATTCCTGTTAATAGTCCTTAATTTCTTTTTAAAAATCTCTTTTTAGCATTTGGCTGTGATGGAGGATATGCTTAAAGATTACTCCCTTGGGGAGCATTTATTGTTGGTTGGTAATCAAGGTGTTGGCAAAAACAAAATTGTTGACCGCTTTCTTCAGTTGCTTAACCGACCCCGTGAATATTTGCAGCTGCATCGGTGAGGCACATTACAATAAAATATTTTTATTTTTTTGTCAATTTGATAGTATAACAACAGACTCATATTAAATTGATTTTTTTTTTACATTATTCTTTCATTTGGCAGGTATTTGTTAATTTTTAGACATGCTGAGGATAACACTATCTGTATACACTCATATATATATATATATATATATATATATATATATATATATATAAGCGAATATATGGATATAGATCCGACAGTATGAAGAAAAATATACTGAAAAAACAAACAAAAATCCTAATATGCGATTATGCTGTTTTAATGTTTAATGTTAACGTCGGATGTTTCGGTCAAATAGACCATCTTCAGGACATATTCATAAAACATAATTAACATAGACCATATACAATTCAACATGAAAAAGACGATGGACATAAAAGATCAATCCAAACAGATAACTGAAATCTTTTATAAGATCAGCGTTCCGTTTATGATCACGTTGTCGTCACATGGGCGATGTTGTGAAAACGTATTCCTAAAATTTGAGTATTTTGAATGAAAAACGAAAAGAATTTTATTTTGATCTAAAACTTATATGTACGTTTGTCGAGCATTAATCTTGCTAGAAAAGGGGAAATATTAAAGAAGCCAGGTCTAGTGTTCACCGTGTGTGAGATAGATATTATGCCTGCTTCATAAATCCACCTAAGATTTTTATTATGAAAATATTTTAAAATCTTCACAGAATCAAAATCGAAATTATGATCAGCTTTAGTTGTGTATACAACTAAAGCATTGTTTAAATTTCCGAGGCGAATATCTCGTTTAAGTTTGAAAACATGAGATTTTACGGACCTACATGTTTCACCCACATATTTTAAGTCACAGTTGTTGCATGAGATTTGGTAGATGCAAGCATCAGATGTAATATGTTGTTTGCTGGTGTTATTTACTACAACTACATCAGTGAAAGGCACACTTTCAGCTGCCCCTGATAATTCTTTTGGTCGCATCTTTCTACCAAATAACCATTTGACCGAACGTATCTCCAATAATTTAAATGCGTTAAAAATCAAAACTACAATATTACCTACTAGAACTATCCGTAGTTTATTAAATAACACCAGCAAACAACATATTACATCCGATGCTTGCATCTACCAAATCTCATTGAAGTCAACACTTAGAGCTGACAGGCTGTTTCATGTGAGACACAATTGTCAGGCCACCATGGCTAGCATGAAACAGCTTGTCAGCTCTAAGTGTTGACTTCAATGTTCACTTTTATATATATATATATATATATATATATATATATATATATATATATATATATATATATATACTACAGTTCCAAAGTTTGAAGTGATACTCATAATTAGCATGGGATGAACTTGACAGAAGAGTGAAAAAATTGAAAAAGACCTCTTAGAGTCATTGAAAAAAGAATGGAATCGATTATCAAACTTATACTTTGAGAAACTTTTGCAATGAATGCCAAAAATTTGTGCTGCAATAATCAAGGCTAAAGGAGGATATTTTGACAAGAGCAAAATTTAATCATAAAATGCTTTTTTCCTTTTGGTCATAAAATTTATAATAAAATATCATATCTCACTTTTTTTTTTAACCAGATATAATTATTTTCATTTATTTAAAGTAAAAAAAAAACAACTCTTTTTAGGACAATTTAAAAAATTACCAAGGATGGTCTCAAAGTTTTGAACTGTAGTGTAAATGAATACAAAATCCCTAAAATTCATCAGGTCAGCTTATAATTTATTTGATTTATATCCTCCTTGTAATTGTCCTTAGTAATCATCAAGACCGAGTGTTTGAGCATACTTCCCTTGTTCAAACTCTCCGAGAAATTGTAACAAAGGTCCATTCCGCATAGTTGTAGCATAAATCACAGGTCACCTCTGTGGGTTTCAAAAAAAAAAAAAACCAAAACAAATGTGCCTGAGCAGGTGTCTGCAGCAGGGATTGGCTAGCTACCCTAGCAAACAGGCATACTTGGATATGAGCAGCCTGCCATTATATACATATTCTTCAATATGATTTCTTGAATACTCAGACCAGTAGATGAAAATAAATAGAGTGTTTAATAAATAAAAGGAGCATCCACTCAAGTACAAGTATCCACTAAAAAAAATAATGTTTAAAGTGATAAAGACAAAAGAAAAACTTTATTTATATTGTCCTTTTATAGATATACTCTAACTGAAATTTTTGCATATATATCTATATGTTTAAATGTGTCAATATCTGCTAACTCACTCATGTCTTCTCTATCTCTCCTCACTTCCTCATATGTTTAATACAGCCCGTCAAAAATGTGTAAATTTTCTTTTCATTTTTTGTTTGGAAGTAAAGTCTGATGATCCGCAGTCCTTTTAAAAGGGCTGTGGTGAAATAATTTATTACATGGAACCTTAAAGTGGTCTGTTTTTATTTACTCTGAATTTACATTGAGCTCTCTGGATTTTATCCTCCTTAGGTTTACCCATATGGATTACCTAGTTTTTCATAAACTAAATATATATAATATAAGCCTTTGACAAGGTGTGGCACAAAGGTTTACTACACAAGCTCTCTAGTTATAGAATCACTGGAAGGCTCTTCTCGATCATAAAATCCTTCTTAACAGATAGGTCCCTGAAGGTAGTTATTAATGGCCAGTTCTCCAGAGCCCTAGCAATCAATGTAGGTATCCCCCAGGGGTCACTTCTCAAACCAACTCTGTTTTTGATCTACTTAAATGATCTGTTTAAGAATATACTCAGATCATTTGTAAACGCCTATGCTGATGATACGATGACCTACGGGTGCACCTCTAAAAATCTTGATGATCAGAGATTAGTGACTGATCTCTCTTCCAATCTTGCACAAATTACCCAATGGGGAAAAAAGAGGCTTGTTACATTCAATGCCTCGAAGACCAAGCTAGTTACATTCCATCATTGCTGATGTGACTTTGAACTACCACCAGTCAGGATGAATGCAGGTCCTCTCAGGGAAGCACCGTACTTTAAAAGACTGTTGGGCCTCAAACTCACACGCAACCTCAATTGGAATTTGGGCATATAATCCATTGTTTTTGAATTTTCAAAAAAAATCTTTATTTCGCAATCAACACTATCACTAGATAAGACACCAGAAGTGTTGAAACAAAATGGCTATTTTTGTGATGCTATAACATATTTATGTTATAATTTTTGAATAAATAATAAATATATATATATATATATATATATATATATAGAAAAATATATACGGAAAAAACAAACAAAAATCTTTATATACAATTATGCTGTCTTAATGTTAATATGTCAATGTCGGATGTTTCGGTCTAATAAACCATCTTCAGGACATATTCATAAATTATAACATTATCAATACAACATGACAAAGACGATGTACATAAGAAGAAGACTTATCCAAACAAATAACTGAAAGTTTTATAAGATCAGCTCCGTTTAAAACATGGTCACGTTTGTCGTCACGCATGACGCAGAAAACGTATTCCTAAAATTTGAGTATTTTTGAATGAAAAATGAAAAGAATTCTATTTTGAACTAAAATTTATATGTACGCTTGTCGAGCATTAATCTCGCTAGAAAAGATGGTTTATTAGACCGAAACGTCCGACGTTGACATATTAACATTAAAACAGCATAATTGTATATAAAGATTTTTGTTTGTTTTTTCCGTATATATTTTTCTTCATACTGTCGGATCTATATCCATATATATATATATATATATATATATATATATATATATATATAGATAGTGAAAGAGATAGATAAATGCACATTACATGATGGGGACAAAACTAGCAGTTTTAAAAAATCTTTATGGATCTTTTATCATTTCAGTGATACAACTGTACAGACATTGACTTTACAACCCACAGTTCAGGGCGGAGTAATAACATATGAAGATTCACCCTTGGTATGTGTTTCGATTGATTTTTATACCTTTTTAACCAATGCATACCCCAAAATCTAGATTTTAATTCTGTGTAAGTTTCATTGACAGTAGAAAGATATGTGTTTATGGGCCTCCACAGCTTTTTTCTTTTAGTATTTGTCACTTGTGCTTTGACATGATTGTTCATCCAATGTGCAAATACCCTTTGGGAAGGTATGAATCCATTGCTTCTCCTCCTGCTATGGGTTAAATAGCAGGACAGACTGGGTGCTATAGCCTTGGTTAGCAACCATTCTAGAACCTGCATATTTATGATTTGTCGTACCTGCTCTACAATGATGTTCAGCAAGTAAGACTGCGTTAATATCTGATGTAGTTTACTGGTTATCAAATGATGATTAGTATATTTGTCAGTCAAAATGTGATGTTCAATTAACTAAAGGGTTCACCTGTATATTTCCTTTGAAGCATTATCTTTTTGCTTCTATTCCACAAGGTGCGAGCTGTGAAAGAAGGTAATGTTTTAGTGATTGACGAAGCTGACAAAGCGCCAACTCAAGTTACGTGCATTCTTAAAACTCTTGTTGAATCTGGTGAAATGCACATGGCTGATGGACGCCGCATTGTTTCAGGTATGTGGTTTTACTTTCTAGAGTCTCTTATCTGTTTTGCTGTTTGCTCTATTGTTTGTTTACACCTACGAGAAGGTGCTGAAAAATACATTTCAGAACATTTCAGCACCTCCTACTAATAGTAGTAGATGTAATAGTCTTCTCTTTTTCTCTTTCATACTCCACTCCTTCAGGCAATAAATGCCCTCATCAGATTCTTGTTTCTTTATCATCTTCGAAATGCCATGACTTCTTGGGAAAGATAGTGGAGTGCTATCCTGTTGCCTTCTCCCTGGTTTTGAATTCAGATCAGTCTTTCTCCTAGACTGGCTGCCACCCAAGAGAGCCTGAATTACTTTACTATTTAACCAATAGCTGGGGGGTTCCTATTGCCTTTTAAACAGTTTTGAATTTAGAATAGTTTTTCTTGTACACCGTTTTGCCACTCAAGGCTAGAAAGCACAGCCAATAGATCTTCACCATGGTTTTGTTTACAGAGTGTTTTTTCTCCTAGTCTGACTGCCACTAAAGGCTACAGAGACCAGTTTACCCTGCTATTTAATCCTTAGCTGTAGAGAGAAGAGATAGATTGGTATCTTTCCAAAGGGGATTAGTGTGGTAATGAAGGCAACAGATGAAGACAGAATTTGAAATTGGCATCACGATTTCACTTTCCATGCCGATTTTCTGTAATAGTAATGGCAATATTAGCAGTTTGGTAAGGGCAATTTATAATATTAATGGTATTAGTAATATTAGCTGTTTGGTAAGGGTAATTTATAATATTAACCATTTGATAATGGTAATATTAGCTGTTTGGTAATGGTAATTTATAATGTTAACCCTTTGGTAATGGTAATACTAGACATTTCCCTCCAAGGAAACATATGGCATTCATTGACCAAGCAGTCAGTACTGCTGCTTTTGGTTGAAATTTATAAAATATTTCTCTTAAAACAATTTTTCAGGCTTCTCAAATCCAGTAGTTGTTATTGCTCTTTCCAGTATTGATGGGGGTTTCCTTCCTAACCTTTTATTTGAAGTGGTGTGGAATATCAACATCTTGATTATGTCATTATTTTCTCTTCCAGTTACATGTGCCATACATTTCAGTTCAGTTGTTGCTGTCATTGGTAGTCCTAAAGTGATATTTCTGTTATTTGGTACAGTTCTATGATTCTATGGCACCAGTCCCCAAGAACTGTTATTGCCAAGAGTCTCAGGCTTCATTTATTCAAAGCCTTTTTTCACCATTGATCTTAGAATAGATAAAAATGAACATTTAGTAGATAGATTTTTTACTTGAAAACAAATAATGCCAAGATTAAAAAAATTAAGAATGAAATAAAAAGTGTAACATCCAGATTTTCTTTGATTTTAATAATGGCCAGAAGTCTGGGCATTTGGTGATTGATTTAATATTTGTTGTATAAATAATAATGAATTCTTTTTTTATATATTTAATAATAGACATGATGCGATGGGTAAATTGTTGCCATTTTATATTTTTAATTTCGCATAACAATATTGTTTTTGACTTTGTCAACTTCACTGTTTAGTAGTGTCAGTTGGGCACTGTGAGAAAAAGAGCACCATGATGCAATTTATTCTGCCCAAAATTTAGAAATGACTTGCTGTACTACTTGGCATTTGGGCAGGAAGCTCCAATACAAACTAGGTGTCAATCTGAGGAAAAGAGTTTGATGATTACGAAGGTATGGCAGCTCAGAAAACTCACTCTGATTGTTCTGTTCAGAAAAGAACTCCTGAATTTGTTGGTGAAGGTCTCAGACTCAACGCAGAGGCCTACAGGTTGTACTACTCTGGGTCAAGAGGGTGGCTGCTGGAATACCCTTTGTCTTGAAACAGGACTCTGCACCATGCCACACAAGTAGGAGAACTCAGTCATGGCTGTCAGACAATTTTTGTGACCACATCACCCCTTAAACCTGGCCACCTAACTCCCCAGACTACAACCCCCTTGATTATTGTGTGTGGGGTGCAGTTGAGTGAGTGACCAACAAAAGTCCTCGTAAAACCAAAGATGAACTGAAGGCAAGGATTATAGCAGCATTCACCAACTTAAACAAAGAAACCATCCAGAAGAGCTGCATGAGATTCTGAAGTCGTCTGGAGGTCGTGGTTGAAACCAATAGCGATTCTATTGAATAAATTTACTCTTTACTATTTCATGATATTTTTGTGTAATTTTGGTAAATATATGTTAAAATGAGAGGTATCCACATTTTTGTGTTATTTAGACAACTGTTTATCCATCACACCATGTAGGAAGCCCTTTTAAGGTATGCAAATATTGCACAATATTTTTAGACCATTTTATTATATTGATGTTATTACTAATATAAAGGTTAAAACCTTTGTACTCACAAAACAATGGAATGGGAAAAGGTTACATCACTATTATGAGAATTACCTTCACTCTCTTGGCAATGTTTATTCTTTTAAAAAGTGATGATTAGAATTTTAATAAAACCCAAACATATTAAAGTGGATTTATAGATTTTCTTTGTTCTTTGAAAACTTACAATAAAAATATTAAACACTATTAAATTGTTTATTTACAAGAATAATTTTATATTTACAACATTCTAAAAATGTAAACCAACTACTACAATGCAATATTTTTCATTTACCAATTTATAAAGAAATATGAAAACAATTTTTTTATTCATAAATTTATAAAAATTTCCTAAATTATTAAAATATGTGAAACAACAATAAGGAAATCCTTATTATTTACCATTTTATAAAGTTTGAATCGATTGTTAATTTGTTGATGTTTTGTGAACCCTTCCAAAGAACACAATTTGCCATCTTTGCCATTTGCTTTTGTCAAGTTGCTTCATGTCCATACCTTATTTAAGATTTTTTCATCAGTCAGCACTTGGTTGATAAATAATTTATTGGCAGATTTTCTAAGCATTTTTAGAAAAATTAGCATCATTTAAAAAAAAAGTTTTAAATAGTGTTTTTCAAAAAACTATCAGAAGCAGGGATAATCTTTAATTGCTGGAATTAGGCCCTGGATTTATATGAATTAGACATTTTTGATCATAGATCACGATTATAGAATTGCAAAAAACATGAAGTAATGAGATGTAAAATAATTTGAGAAGAAAATGTATAATGTCTGGAAAAATCATGTTTATTTAAATCTTTTTCTTTTATAACCCACAGATATTTTTATAAAATTACAACACCACCCGTGACCTGTTGGGTCAACCTTGTGTTTATAGTTTACATTTAGTTTCATGAAAAGTTTGTGAAAGTAGAGATATTTTAAAAACGCATTTATTTGTAGTTATTGATGTTGCTTTCAACTTTAAAAAAAATTGTCAGTTTGAAGAAAGTTGAAAAATAAGAGGTTGGAATATCAAAATTTGGAATGTTGGGATTCGATACAATAACATAAAATATTGTTGTGGGGCTGCATGTAGAATAATCGATTTTGACTGAAAGAATAAAATTCAGTAGAAAAGACAATGCCGTTTCAACAAATGAACATTAATATAACAACAAGAATACAAGCAATTGGTCATACATTGGAGAGTAATGTCTTTTTGTTTGGGTTTATAAAATTCTGAAATAAAATATAAATTCTCTTTGTGTATGTATATGAGAAACAATGAAATGATGATATATGTGTGTTTGTGTGAAAAAGTCAACACATTTGTGCATGGTTCATAGTAAAAAGAGGATACAAGAGATAGAATTTGTTTCTTACTGTGAATGGTGATGCCGTAATCTGAAGCAGTCTCTTTGAAGTTTGTCAGTATTGTCGCTTTTAGCATAAGGTTGAGAAGTTCACAAGTGAGAGTGATATGGACCTTGATGACAACTGTGTGTATCCTGTTTGGGGCTGGATTTCATATGTTTTATACACTTTCTTGTAAGAAAATCAGCCTCATCCCTCACTTCCTACATGATAATAAATTTACATCTTTCTTTTCCCAATTCTCTATATATGACTTATATTTTTCCCACTCTCTATATATAAGACTTCTGGTAAACACACAAGATATAAAGTTCACAGAGTTTTATATAGTAATAAGATCAATAAAAAAATTTGTTTCCATAGTTATTTATGAAATGGTAAATCTATTTATCTATATATAAAATTTTGTGACTTCTGTCTGTTAGTCCATCACACCCTCTAAAATAGCTATACATTGACCAAGCAAAAGCAAATTTTGGGGAGAAGTGCAAACAGGTAAAGTACAGTTGGTTTTACTAGGGTGTGTAACTTAGTACAATAATTTTTCATTAATTTACTTATTTAATAAAAATGCAACATTGTTTTTTTGCATATCTTTTCTTTGTTTTTATATATACAAGAATCCAGTTTCCTGTTTGACCTGTGTAAGAACTATAAACAAATCACAAAACCAAATGCTTGAAAAAGTTGTAATTTGGTTATAGAAAGAAATATTTATGCATGGCCAGTTTTATGTTGCATACTCAAGAGTAAGAAATCCTAAGAATTTATAATTTATTTTCACTGTTAAAAAGGAAAAAAAGAAATTTTCTTAAAAAATATTGTTTACCATGAAGTCCTATAAAATGAAATTAATTATTAAACCATGAAGTAGGGTTTTTGTCAAAGTATTTTTCCAAACAAAAATCAGCTTATTCAAATTTCACACCCTCTAAAATAGCCATATATTGACTGATCAAAACCAAATTTTTGAGAGGATTCAAACAAGTGGGTACAAAGTACAGTTGGTTTTACGAGGATGTATGGCTTAGTACAATAAATTTTCATTAATTTTTTTTGGAAAGATTAAAAGTTTTATCATTTAACACACAAAATACTCTCACTATTTTAAAAACAATTTAACGATTAAAATAACAAATACTTATTTAATAAAAATGCAATATTGTTTTTTGTGTATCTTTAAGTTTTTATATTTCATCGATTGGTTTGTGAAATTGAATGAAATGTAGAGTTTGTAAATCTTGACAAAAAATGCTAGTGATAACTTCAACAACGCTAAATACTCTGAGAATTTCTTCAGGTGTCAGTGTGTTGCCAAAAATTCTAGTAAATAAATATTGCATTGTAGTTGGTTCACATATTTTGAAAATTTTGTAGGATTTGTAAACTTTTGAATAAAAAGATTTCATTTTAGATTTATTTCTTTATAGAATGATAAATAATAAATCTTTTTAAAATAGTAAATAATAAATATCACATTGTACTTGGTTCACATATTTTTATAATCTTATAAATAAACATTGCCAAGGGAGTCAAAAGTGTAATAATATAATACAATAATAGTAGTGTCAGCAAAAAAAAAAACAAAACAGTCTTTTCGAAACTTTTTTTTTTTTTTTTTTCATAAAGTTTAAACATTGAAAAAAAATTTTGGGGATAAAAATGTTCTATAATATTTTTAGGTAACTGCATTGCATCAATGTTATTATTCATACAAAATGACTTTTAAAATTAAAATATTCTACAATATTTTTAGACAGTTGTATTACATCAATGTTATTACTCATAAAATTATTTTTGAAATGAAAATATTGTACAATATTTTTAGACAATTGTATTGCTTCAATGTTATTACTCAAAATTATTTTTGAAATGAAAATATTGCACAATGTTTTTAGATGACAATTGTTATTGCATAAAATGATTTTTAATATTAAAAATTTATTTTTGAAATGAAATTATTATTACTAATATAAAATTTTTAGACAATAAAATATTGCAATTTTTTAATGGTATTATCATTGTTATTACAATGATTTTTAATATGAAAATATTGCACAATATTTTTAGATGATTGTATTGCATCATTGTTATTACTAATATAAAATGATTTTTAATATTAAAATATTGCACAATATTTTTAAACAACTGTATTGTATCAATAAGGTGTGTAAATATTAGGTATGTCTAATTTACAGTAAGTGTGTTTTAAAAGAGGACAGAAGGTTCAACAGTGAAATCCAAAAATACATTGGGATAGTGAAAAGTGCCTTCCAAAAGCTAAGCAAAGTATTAAGATACAGAAAAATTTTGTTAAAAACAAAGAAAAGAGTACTGAACTGTTATGTAATATCAGTCTTGTGATATGGCAGTGTATGTTGGACAATCTCCTCAAAGATGAATAAGAGACTTGAAGCAACAGAAATGTGCTTCTACAGAAGGATGTTGAGAATAACATGGATGCAACATGTGTGAGCAACAACAAAGTTTTAAAGAAAATGGAAACTAAAAGGAAACTTATACTTAACATCAGAAAGTAGTGTTGAATGGGAACATCTTAATTAGTGTCATTATTTTCTCTTCAAATTACATTGGTACAATAGTATTGCATCAATCTTATTATTCACATAAAATGATTTCAAGAGTGAAAATGTGTACAATATTTTGATTCAAAAATATTACTTTATTTAAATTTTTTTTTAATCAAAAATTCTTTTTTTTTTCTTTTAACTTCCAGCAAATTCTGCCCTCCCATCTTCTTCCAACATGATTGTTACTCACCCAGACTTTCGTATGATTGTTCTGGCCAACAGACCCGGCTTCCCCTTTTTGGGAAATGACTTCTTTGGTGCTATGGGTAAGAACAAAAATTGGCAACATTATAAGAAAGCTTGTATAATGAGTATGAAATACATTAGATGATTGAAAGATCAGGTAAGCTTATCAAGACAATGTCACATGTCATGTTACTGAGGCTCAGTAACCAAAGGCCAGTGGGACTGAGAATGTATCCTGACTGTAACCCCTGCACAGGAGGAAGATCTCCCAAAAAGGACTTGATTATAAATCTAACCTATGAACACAAGTCTAAACCCAGAACTATGGACTTGTGTATAAACCCTGACCTACTGAGTCTAGTATAAAGCCTATGGGCACAAGTATAAACCCTGACATATAGACTCAAGTATAAACCCTGACATATAGACTCAAGTATAAACCCTGACATATAGACTCAAGTATAAACCTTGACCTATGGGCTCAAGTAAAAACCTTGGCCTATGGACAAGAGTGTAAACCCTAACTTATAGACACAAGTATAAAGCCCGACCTGTGGGCTCAAGTATAAACCCCAACCTCTGAACATGAGTATAAACCTGAACCTATGGATATGAGTATAAACCCCAGTGGTTGGTATACTGTTGAATCCACTACTCACCCTCAAAGATCAACTGAATGTGACAGATTGTAATTTGAGGAAAAAGAGAGATCTGGATATGGCTGATGCATTTATATTAAATAATGAGGTCGTAATTTTAATGTATCAGAAAAGTGTGGATCAAAGGTTGTGCTTCTGGAAGAATTTCTTGTCTTCTGTGTGTTTACACTGCAATTTGCTTATAAGTTCAATATCAAGTCATTTAGAACGAACAGAATTTATTATCTGCAAATATGCTAAGTACTCTGTTATTGACCAAACCCCAATGACATAAATAGGAATAAATATTAAGGCTCTACCTTGAGTGACCCACGGGCCTTGTATAGGATGAAAAAAAAAAGAAACATTAAAGATTTTAAATTAACTTGTATTTCTACTAATCATCAGAAGTCTGTTTTCACTGTTATGGTAATATGAAGCATACAAGTGATTACCATAACAATGGCATATCTCATTAGCTCAAGTAGAGGAGATCAGGCTGCATGCCTGATATCTTATGTATAAAGTACAGTGTGTGTGTTTGTGTGTCCAAGCAACTCCGACGCTCCCATTGGTCTGATTTTAATGATTCATTCAAAAGCCCTAGAAAAGTTAGGAGCAGGGAACGATTTTCATTGAGCTCAGATTCAGGGTTGCCAGATTATGTGAGGTTAAAAATATATATTAATATATATTATACTAGCTATTATCATTGCTTTCATAGTTCAAGGTGAGTAACTCTTATTTTCTTTTGTATCCAAAATTGCAGCTAGCTTAAAATTTTAAGCTACTTTAAAAGCCGCCATATCAGGTGGCATTTAAGCTATCTCCTGTGGAGGACTCTTGGTTTGGCCATCATCATAATAGCTAGGGAGGAGTAGATAGAATAGGCATCTATAAACTACAGAACTCTAGATTGATCACTGCATTTAAGTATTGAATTAATGTTTAAGCTTACCTTTTGCCTGGGGAGACCTTACAGTTGAAACCTGGGTTGTGATGTTTGTTGGCATTTTAGCCTTTTCTTAAATATCTTAGCTTGACAGGGTTAGGTTTTGAATTTTGTATTGAGCACTTTTTTGTTGTCTATACCTTTTAGGTGTGGTTGTTTTCAGTCTTCCATTTATACTTCTATCCGTTTAGTTGCATTGATGTGAATTTGTGATACTGGATTTCATGCCCTTTGCGATCGTCAGACAAACTCGTCTGCCAATTGCAAAGGGCGTGAAACCCAGGGTCACAAACTCACATCAATGCAACTAAACACACACACGCACACACACACACACATATATATATATATATATATATATATATATATATATATAAGTTATGAAAAACTTGGTAATCCGTTTGGGTAATTCCAAGTAGGATGAAACCTGAGAGCTCAATGTAAATCCAGAGCTAATATTTTAAAGAAAAACAGACCACTTTAAGGTTCCATTATAATAATTTATTTCACCAGAGCCCTTTTAAAGGATGCTGGATCATCAGATGGCACTTCTAAAAGATGAAACAAAAATGAAATATATCACGCTCTTTATATATATATATATATATATATATATATATATATATATATATATATATATATATATATATTACGCCCTTTGTAATTGTCAGACAAGTTTGTCTGATGATTGCAAATATATATAAATTAATTTCTGTAAGTAATTTTTGACAGGATAGTAATAGTGAATATGATTTTATCTAAAACTTAAGAAAATATTTTAAAATAATGTTTTGCTAATTTTCAGGTGATATTTTTAGTTGTCATGCCATAGACAATCCAGATGCTGACTCTGAAATGGCCATGTTACGACAGTATGGTCCTGACGTTCCAGATATGACACTTAAGAAACTAGTGATGGCATTTGGAGAATTGAGGGACATGGCTGACCAAGGACTCATTGCTTACCCTTATTCCACCCGAGAAGTTGTCAATATGGTGAAACATTTACAGGTACCTGTTTCACAAATTTTTTTTTCTGTGTTGTACATGTGTGTATTTTTACAAGATGACTCAAGAACAGTTTGACAATTTGTAACATTATGGAATGAATTAGTTCACATGGGTGTAAGTAAAAAAATTATCTGCTTGTTCACCATAACATATCTTTAGGTTTGTCACGTGTGCTTATAGTTGGTGCTATTGTGGTCACATGATCGAAGTTTGAGCTTGATTGCACCAGTTTTCTTGCTTTTTTTACAGTGTAAACTTGACCTAGTAGATTGAAGTATTGGTTAAGCCATATCTGCTTCCTTGGCAGTTGTAAGTTCAATTCCTGGGTCTGGTAGTGCTGAAAAGTAACTGATGGTTGTTGCTTTTTCTCTTACGCTCTTGCGTTTGGTTAATTTGTCTGAAGATCTTCTTTTCTGTTTTGTCATTCATTTCCCCAGTATTATTCGGATATGGAACATCTCTGACAGGTAAAATTTAAATACTTCAATAAAAAATTTGTTTTTAAATTACTTAATTAGATAAAAAAATAAAATAAAATAAAGCAAATAAATAAAAAATAGAATAGAAATAAATACATGAATAAAAAAAATAAAATAAACAAATCAGCAATATTATTGGTCCTCATCTGGCATCTTGGCTTCGGTCATTTTCCCTCTACCGTAAGATTGCCTCCTTTTGCCTTTTCTATAAATATTTTCATGGTAATTTTTCAGATGAGCTCTTTGCTATTGTTGTTTTATTCCCCCCCTCCAGACAATGAATAGTACATATGGGGACTATTTAGGATTTTCATAGAGACAATGAGGTATTATGGTAGATGTAGTAAGAAAGGTACATAAAAATGCATTGTTTTGGTGTAAGGAATATTGTGGTATTTTTGGGTCATTGTTTGTGGCTAGCTAAGTTTGATGTTAAGACAACTGAAGACTGTCCTTTTCCCCATTCCCATTTTGGCCTTGTGCCACATTTTGTAAATAATTACAAATAAATATCACTCTTTGCTATTGGGCTTAGACTCTTTGAATTTAAGTGCAGTACGTGACTGGTGATGACGTCTTGCCAATTTACAGTTGAGATGGCTAGATGTAACTGTAAATTCAATGCTACCAGTTTCTTTTCTTGCACTTCTTGCTTGTGGAACTCACTTCTGGCTGCATGCTTTCCAGCCAACTTTAATCTGCAAAAATTTAAATGCAATGTCAATCATTATCTACTGTTTTCCTGATTACTATTCTGTTGTTCTCTCGCCTTAGTAATGTTCCTGTTTTCTAATTCTTCCACACCCAGTAACCCCTTGTGCCTTACTGGCTTTACTGCCTTGCATGGGGTGAGCTCAATTAAAAAAAATGTAAATAAAAATAAAAATTAACAAACACAATGCATTCAAGACAAAATGCTGTCATTTACTCACCATAAAGAAACTTCCCTGGCTCCAATCAGCATGGTTGATGCTCAACTCCATAGGAGCACCTCACTGCGTCATCTTGGTCTTCTATTTTCCTAAGGTGGAACAATTACATTGAATCAATAGCTGCATCTACTGCAAGGAAAGTTGGTTTGCTGTGTTGCACCAGAAGTTTTTACTCGTCTGAGTCCATCTTTCACATCTCCAAATCTACCATTCGTCCATGCATGGAATACTGTTTTCATATATGGTCTGGTGCCCCTGCTGTTCATCTTGAGGTTCTCAACAAAATCCAAAGATGGATATGCAATGCAATTGGTCCTGACTTGGGGTCTTAACTCCAGTTGCTTTCTTGTTAACGTAATGTGGCTTCCCTCTGTCTTTTCTATAAATATTTTCATGGCCTCTGCTCTGACAGACTATTTTCACTGGTGCCCTGACTGCATGAATTTAAGTGTACTACGAGGTTGGCATTTCACTCCCACCCTTTTACTCTCAAAACAATTAAATGTAACTGCTTCTTCTACTCCAACAGATTCTTCTCTCACACTTCCTGACGGTGGAACTCCCTTCCTCTTACTTGCTTCCCTGATAACTATAATCTTCAAAAATTTAAATGTAATGTCAATTGATATCTTCTGATCCCCTGAACCCTGTTCTTCTTTTTATCCTTTACTCAATCCCCCCCCCCACCTATACACAGTTTTTTCCTTTACTTACACTCTCAGTAGCCCCTTGCATACTAGTGGCACTCCTGCCTTGTTTCGTGTGAAATACTAAAAAAATAAACAAATATGTAAATGAATGAAAATAAAAATAAACAACTACAGGGTGTGGCAGAAATACCTCCCACGTAATGGTAAGACGTTAGCTAGATGAAGACATCATTGCCACTAATGTCTTACCTTATATTTGAGGTATTTCTGTCACAAACTCTGTTATCTATTGTTGTGGAGTGATTTCACAGTGGAGGCTTGTATTTGTACTAAGTCGGTCCTAAAATAGGTTCAATGTTAGAAACTTGATATAATAGGTATAACGCAGAGTAATCTAGTTGTGGTCGGTGATACTTTAGTATTCGACTAACTGTCGTCCGACATCGACTGACTCACCAACTGACTCACCACCTCCCTCGTTACTCTTACTACTCCTACTTATTATAGGTGGGAGAGTCTATTAACTATATAATAGGTGTGTTTCCCCATGACATCTATACTTCTAATGTCTCCACCTAAAACTCTGAATTTTTATTTACTATTTATTTACATTTTTTTCTCTAATCAAAGTAGATAGGTTTGTCTATCGTCCAATTTACGCTCCTCCCTGATCTTTTGAACAGGAGCAGAGGTTTATCCCTTATTTCCTGTTTAGGATTGGGTTTCCAGTTCCCTCTAAAGTCTTTTCCTTCTCTTTCACATTCAATGGCCCCTTGCATCTTGGTGGCATTGTTATCTTGCTTGGAGTGGTGCCTCTTACTCTGCAACCCTCTATTTTGAGAGGCTCTTGGACCTTGTACAGTGTGAACATCATTGTGTGTGTTTGTGTGTAAGACATCATTGCCACTAATGTCTTACCATTATGTAGGTGGTATTTCTGCTGTGCTGCACCTTCTATTTTAATCGAAAAATAAAATAAAAATAAATATTTAAAAAGGACAAAAAATAAAATAAAAATAAATAATTAAAAAGGATAAAAAATAACATAAAATAAATATTTAAAAAAGTTAAAAAAAATAAAAGAAGAAGAAATAATTAAAAAGGATAAAAATAAAAATAAAATTTAAAAAGATAAATGAAAAATAAATAATTAAAAGGACAAAAAAAAAAATAAATAATTAAAAAGAACAAAAATAAAATAAAATAAATAATTAAAAAAGGACAAAAAATAACATAAAAATAAATAATTAAAAAGAGAAAAATAAAATAAATAATAAAAAGGATAAAAAAATAACAAAATAAATATTTAAAAAAGTACAAAAATAAAATAATAAATAATTAAAAAGCATAAAAAAATAAAATAAAAATTTAAAAAAGATAAAAAATAAAATAAAAATAAATAATTAAAAAGGATAAAAAATAAAATAAAAGTAAATATTTGAAAAAGATAAAATATAAAATAAAAATAAAAGTGCTTGAATAAAAAAAATGAGCAAATATTTAAATCCATAAAAATAAAATGAAAAATAGTTAATTAAAAAATATGAAGATCTTATCAGAGGTACAAAATTAGAGCAAAAAGAATGGATATAATTAAAAGGGAATAAAAAGAAAAGAAACTGCAGTAGTTTAATGATAAAAAAATAAAAAAAATAAAGAGACTGAGCTTACCAGTCTGAGTCCAGATGGGTGTGGAGCGATAACCGGTTTGCTCATTCTGTTATTTTATTTTTTCTTTTGCATGAAACTACTGTCATTGTTTCCCCTTTTAGTCTCTTCTAATTATATTCGTTTTTTTTTTATAACTGAGCAAAAAATAAAATAAAAATAAATTAAATACTTAATTAAAAAGTCCTTGCATTTTCAACATTTTCAATCAATGTTTAATTATAAACAATATTTATTTACATTTTAATTCCTTCTCTGCTACATAATATATGTCCTGGGTTTGACAATAAACTACATCCAACAGCATGGCCTGAATTACCTAATATCTTTCATATTATCATGCTGCAAATTTGCATATATTGTCCTCTCTGATAGATAGTATGAAATTATATTGAACGGAGGTGTTTGGTTGCTGTATTACAATCTTCTTGTTTACGGTAATACTGTTCAGATGAATTACGTTCCTTAGTTCTACCAGTTGTAACCTTCATGGCTAAGACCTGCTATATCACACAAATTGTAGAGATGTAGGTAACTTCTTCTCATGAAACCACTGCTTTACAAGAGCCAGATCAGTCCCAAAATGGAGTATTGTTGCCATATATGGACAGGAGTTGCCCAGTCTTCACTTTCCAGTCTAGATAGTGTCCAAAAGTGTCTCCATGTCCTTGTGGGTGGTGAATTATTTTCCACCCTACAACTCCTTTCTACAGATGAAATATCGTAAGCCTCTCACTACTCTATTGCTATTTCCATGAAAAGTGTTCAGATGAACTACATTCCTTAGTTCCACCAGTTCTAACCTTTCTTGGGGACTTCGACATGCTATGATAGTTAGCAAGGTTATATTGCTAGACCAATTACAATTGAGTACAGAGTTTGGTTCTTACTGGAAGCTCCACACTTTTGATCTTATGCCACATCTAAGCTATGCTTAGGAAATCATTAGGACACTTCGGTGATGTGTAATGGCTAGCAGGAGTAGTGAGTTTGATTTTCACTAGGTGCCTGACTTATAAAATCATTAGGCACTTGTCTTAATGGTTAGCAAGCATGTCTTGCTAGATAATTACGAACAAGTAGTGAGTTCAATACTCGCTGGATGCTCCATACTTTCGGCCTTGTGCCACATCTAAGCTATGCTTAGAAAACCATTTAAGACACATAGGCATGATGTAATGGCTAGCCAGCTTGTCTTGCTAGATTAATTACAGCTGAATAGTGAGCTTGAGCCTCACTGAGTGCCCCATACTTTCAGCCTTGTGCCACATCTACTCTAAGCTTAGTAAATCATTTAGAGCACTATGACATGGTGCAATAGTTAGCAAGCTTGTTTCACTAAATCAGTTATGACTGAGTAGTGAATTCGACCCTTGCTGAGTGCTACATACTTTTGGCCTTGTCCCTCATCTAAGTTATGCTTAGAAAATCATTAGGCATTTCAGTATTGTGCACTGATTAGTAAGCTTATCTTGCTAGATCAATTGCAACTGAGTAGTGAGTTCAATCCTCACTGGGTGCTCCACTCTTTTGGCGTTGTAGCAAACCACCCTTATTCCCTTCATAATTCATCTTAACGAGTTCAATTCTAGGGTTAACTGATATCTTCCCCACATATCTGCATAAATTGTGCCTCTTACTCTGTAACTCTGTACCTTGAGTGGCTCTTGGGCTTTGTACAGGGTGGACATTATTGCAAAAAAAAAAAAATAGAAAACTACTGTTGATAATATTTTTTTGTTTTGTTTCTTCTGCCATCCATTTTAAGTAAATGTCTGAGAATTTATCATCTTTCATTGCAGAAATTCCCTCAAGAAGGATTGACAACAATTGTGAAAAATGTTTTTGACTTTGATTCTTACAACAACGAACTGCGGGAAACAATTATTGATGTCATGAAAAAGCATGGTATTCCACTTGGGGCTCATCACGCCAATGTGCACCTAAGCAAAGAGTAAGATGTTAATTTCTATACAAGTTGACACAATAGAGTTGTAGACAAAAACACAGTAAAATAATATATGGACGTGGATATCTGTTCCCTTTTAACAACTATAAAAAATAAATGTAAAAATAAGTTTGAAGACGTAGAAAAACTACATATTGAGATCACCCCTTCTTTTTTTTTTTTCCTTTTTTCTTTTTTTGTCTTTTTCTCTTTCTTTTCTTTTTCTTTTATTTCTCTTTTTCACTTTCAGTTTTTGTCTTTTCTTTTCCTTTTTTGACTTTTTAATTCTTTTTCTCTTTTTTCTTTTTCTTCTTTACTTTTTGTCTTCTTTTTTGTTTTTTATCTTTTTGATTTTTCTTTTCCTTTTCATCTTTTTAATTTTTTGTATTTTTAATTCTTTTTCTCTTTTTCATCTTTTTTCTTTTATCTTATTTTTCATCTTTTTTGTCTTTTATCTTCTTTTTCATCTTTTTTTTTTTTTTCCTTTTCTACTAGAATTTTGAATTATTGAATCTTGAATTACTGTCTATTACAATTCAGTATTGTATTTTGTCATTTGAACTTTTGAAAATTAAATCATGTAAATTTTTGGTCAATTAATGGAGCAGAAATCCTAAAACCTTCAAAATATAAAATATGTGCCATACAGTTTTTGTGTACAATTCTCTTGTGGTTCAGTAATTTTTCACTTCTATACAAATATATCTGTTAAAATGATTTTTAAATTTAAATCTAATTTGTGATATTGAATGTCAAATTCAGTGAAAATTTTATTGGTTTCCAAAATATATATATATATATATATATATATATATTGAACAATAAAAAAATATTAAAAAAATGTTAAATATATATATATATATATATATATATATATATATATAAAATTTCAGATAGAATATATCTGTAAAAAGACAATATGAATAGTTTTTCCAGTTGTCTTTAATATATATATATATATATATATATATATATATATATATATATATAAATCGAATGGCTAGATATAATCAAGGGTATGCATGTATGCTGGTGTGCAAATGCAGGCAAGCAAATAAATAATTGTCAATGAGGTGTAAACATAATAGTGCTCAGTGTCCTTATATAGAGCAAAGATATATATTAGTACATATATGTGTACCTATGTTTTGGTGTGCAACTAAAGTTTCACTGGATACCAGCTTGTCGGTACAAGATCTATGTTGTAAATAAATAGGAGTATCACTGCTACATGGCGCAAAAATAAAATTGCACAGAAGTGTCTTAAAAGCTATGCTGGTGAGTTATATTTTTTTTTTTTTAAATTAGAAAAATTTGAGAAGAGTAGAAAAAATACGTGTAAGAAAAAAATGTTGATTACAAATTTAAAATTAAAGAAACTGCTTTTGTATAGTCAATATAACATTAAGTGTTAAAGGGAGGTAAAAAATGAATGAAAATAAAAAATGATGATAAGGAAAGAAATAAAATAGAAAAAAAAAAAGAAAAAATGTGTGGAAATGAAGATGGGCATAAGGAAAATAGTTATAATATATGGGAATATAGATTTAGTATAATAATGTAAACAGGTTAGAGTGGGGTATGGTACCTATATCCTAATAAAATAAGAGTGTGGGGTAGAGGGATTAGAATCAGTCAGGCTTCCAATATTTTAAGATATACAGTTTTTATTCCTACATGCATATATATATATATATATATATATGAAGAAAAATATACGGAAAAACAAACAAAAATCCTAATATGCAATTATGCTGTTTTAATGTTAATATAATGTCAACGTCAGACGTTTTGGTCTAGTAGACCATCTTCAGGACATATTCATAAAACATAATTAACATTAGACTATATTTAATTCAACATGAAAAGACGATGGACATAAGAGTAAGCTTAATCAAAACAGACAACTGAAATTTTTCAAGATCAGCGTTCCGTTTCAATATGATCACGTCGGCGTCATGTGGGTGATTTTGTGAAAACGCATTCCTAAAATATAGTATTTTGAATGAAAAATGAAAAGAATTTTATTTTAATCTAAAACTTATATGTACGTTTGTTGAGCATTAATCTTGCTAGAAAATATGGATATATATATATATATATATATATATATAAGGGAATTGCTTAACCTGGGACCCAACTGCCATATACCAGGTGTAACAGCAAAATTGTCCAAATCATGTAACTGCCAAATTGGAATTCTCCAAGGTTTTTATAACACTAATGGACTCTTTGAACAATAAGAATGTATTTAGCTCTAAGTTGAAATGATGATCCTTATTCTTCTTGTTGTCACCTCCTGATCCAGTTTACCTCGCTACTGTTCCTTCTTTTTTTAAACTTCTTCACCGATCTCTTGATGGTTTTTGAATGGACTTTGAATATAAAAGCCAAAGTATGAATGTTGGTACCATTACTGAAGGCTTGAATGATCTTTTTCGTCTCACTGCTGGGAAGATATAGTGGGGCTGACATAAAATGATTTTAACCTGTTCACTTTCTAGTTGAATAACCCAAAGTTTTTTCAGTATTTCTTACAGCAAATGGTGTCAAGATGGTTAAACATCTTATTTGAAAATCTGTGAAAAAGAAACTCAATTAGTTTAGTGGCTTTTTAGATATTAAACATTTTGTAGGATGAACAAATATCCCATGTTGTTACACGATTTGGACAATTTTGATGTTACACCCGGTATATTGTAAGTATAATTGTCTAATTAAAAAAACTAAAATTGAGATGTTATATCAAAGTATTAGAAAACTTCCGGACAAGAAACTGATCACAACAGTAGAATTGTGGGATTTAATCAAGGCTGAAGCAGTCAAGGATAGGCATGACAAAAGTAAAAACATTTAAAAAATATTAACAAGACCATTACAAACTTAAGATTAGGAACTAAAAAATCATCCAGATATAAATGTAAAAAAAAAAAATCGGCCATTTTTGACACTTTTGTAAACAAAAGTTAATTCTCAGTTTTAAAAATCTTGCAAATTTAAAGTTAATCTGATTTAAAGCAAATATTACTTATAGCATGAGATGTTGTATACAAACATTTCTTAACTATGGGGTCTTGTTTTTCTGATGTGTTAACCAATTTATTGACAGTTGAATGTTTTCATAGTTAAATATGGTAGCACTGATGATAAAGTTTATAAGGGGGGGGGATAACCCTTAGTACATGAACTTGTAATGATTGATTTATTGGTTCGTACATCCCTACTTCAGGAATTCTGCACATAATCACACACAAAAAAAATCAAAATTTTTAAAAAATATTCAGGGTCGTCAAATAAGCTTTACAATATATGATTAGTAAATATAGTTTTGCTTAATATTTTCTAAGAATTATCATACTGAAAATGAATTTTAAAAGATTTAAAATCTTTATAAATTATTCAATTTAAAATTGTAAAAAATGAAAAAACTTGTAAAAATTCATTTTTGTCAAAAAATCTTTTTTCCTTTGGACATTATTGTCTTTAATATATATTGTTCATAAATGCAATTAAAAACTTCTTTAATTAATGTCTTAGTTTTGTTGTGTTTTTATTTTTTGATTCAGAATAGATATTTGCTAAGATGGGTTCCAATTTTGCAAAAAAATTGGTAATTTGAATTCTTCAAAGAACTCTTTTAACATAGTCACGAAAATTTATGTTGAATTTCTCAAGTTTTCATAAAATTA